GATATCGAAAACTATGTGAATAATAATATCCTTATTCTTTGATATTACATTAATTAAGATAAAGAATGGCTGAATGATTGAAAGAAGATAATCAATCTGGCGCCATTTCTCCTAATTCAGCTGAATATGAAGCTGGTTATATTTCCGACAAAACTTATTAAAAATCAATTATAATCGTTTCGCACGTCGAAGCATCAAAAACGTTGAATTTTAGCAGATTCGAACATCTTATATTGACACAAATTTCGGTTCTTTTGTTTAAAGCGCTAGAAAACACTCACGACGCTGAAGATTTTTATTAATATAAACGGCTAGCTTTCGAATCTAGTGTGTTGTTAGTAAGAATAATAATAAAAATAATATTAAAAATAATATCTTATCTTGTTTAATGTGTGAATAATCTCTTGATTTTCTTTTTAAAGATTATCTGTTTTCCCAATGAATTTCATCTCTTCTCTATCATTTTTTGAATTGACTTCCATCTAATCAAAATATTCCTTTAGACTTAATTGAATAATATGTGTGATACATAATATATAAAGAATTGATGTCTGATTCGATAGCTCAAGCGTTTAAAAAGAATCCTAAATACTTTCTAATAACGTAAAGTTATTGAACGCGTTATTAATGATAACAGTTAACATTTTATCTTCAATTTAATGTTTTTAAAATAATTAAAAAAAATTGCACCAAAATTATCATCAGTATATGTCTCGTGAAGTGATTTAAAGCCAAACAAAATTTCACAATAGTTCCAATCCTGATCGATAAAATAATCAATGACAGTCATAAAGACCTGATAAAAAAAAATTCAACAATCTAATGTAATAGAGAATTTGCCATTCATTAAAAATTTTTAAAAAAGACTCTGTTGTCATTTCTCGACTAACTCATAAAGCTGACGACAGACAATATGCGAAAAAAAATTTTTTGATATAAATGAAACGAATCGGATCATTTCAATCAGAACACAAAATTGAGAATGTTCAACGAATTGAAATGATAATTGTAAATTAACGAAAAATATTATTAATCTTTTAAGCCAGGCTTGATGATTAAAAGAAGTTTTTTGCAATAATGATGGTGTCTAGAATAAAGAGATTTTAATATATATTTAAAAAGTGAAATGAATTTTTTTATATATCTCATTTTGAATAAATCTTCGAATATCTTTTGACTTCGATGTCATTTTCCGACAATCAACATCTTGCGAGTAATGTTTATTCATAAAAATTGTTTTACAATGTTCATCCGCTGGATAATTCAAAATATAATCGCATGTTTTGCATATAATCTTTAAAACATTATTTTGAATAGCAACAATCTAATAAAAATGCCAACAACATTCTGTCTAACGTTTGTTTTCAAAGATATTCCGATTCATTCGAATATCAAAATCTGTTTTTAATCATTATGCAACAAATTCATCATTCATCATTTCCGTTCAAAGAACGAAATTCTTCTTTTTCGATAGATCAACGCGCTGAAAAATATTCAAAAAATAAAACGCGAATAATGACCGATTGAAATTAAAATCAGATATAGAAATAAAGATCTAGCTATATGAAGCATCAAGATTGAATGACTGAGCGTTATCAAATAAAAAAAACGGAAGATTATTTAAAAGAGTATTTTTAAAAGATTGATGAAAAATAATTATCAAAAATTTGAAAAACCTGATTCTGTGACATAGTGAATGATAAAACAAAAATAATAAAAAATGTAGTTTTAGAAGAGACTCACGAGCAGCCTTTTAAAAACTAATGAAAGTAATTAGAAGAATTCAAAGAAATGTAGCGATCTACGCGAGTTAAATGAGAATGTGCATATATCTATTTGAATATAGACTGGCCTATCTACTTCTACGCGTAACAATTAACTATTATATTTTACACCGCTAGATTCTATCAGATTCGAATCTGAATTCGAATTTAACGGAATCTGAATTTGAATCTAATAGATTCTGACAGAATCTAAATCTAAATTTAACAGATTTTAAATTTGAATCGGATCAAACCTAAAATCTATTTTTGAGATTTCTGAAAGCTAATTTATTTAAATATATTAATTAAAACACATAATCAGATTACAAATTACTTTAAATGAGAAAATAGAGAATATCAATATTAAGAATTCAGGTTTAAAAATCCAAAGTACTTTCTAAGATCTATTATTTTAATTTAAATATAGAATTAATTAGTTTTTTTAACATATCGCGCATAAATATTTCTTAAAAGAAATCGTCAGAAAAATACTAAAATAATATTGAATACAAAATATATTTTTCTTATTCTATATACTATATTATCTACGATATTCAGTCAACTTAATCACAAAAAATCTAAATAAAACTAAATTAAAAGCCAGACAGATGATTTGATATCAGATAATTCAAATACAAAAATATTTTGTATAATTTTATAATCAAAATAAATATACTATAAGATTAATACATGTAATGATCAGAACGAATGTAAATAACAATAAAAAAAAATGAATTAGCAGTTTATTTATCCGAAATAAAAAATATCTTGACAAAATTATGCAATTCAGATTCTGTCAGATTTAAATCTGAATCGAATCTAATAAAGTCGCGATCCGACTCAGATTCTAAAAGTTGGAACCTGAGAACCTCAGATTCAGGTTCGAGGATCCAACTTTTAGAACCTGAGTCGGACCATGCCGAGGTCTAACAAGAATCATTTTAGATATATGATAATAAATGTTTTTATATTTTTTCTCTTTGAATTTTTTGTAGCTGATAGAGGATATATTGATATATGAATTGTGATCGTATATCATTTATTTATATATTATGTAATCACGTGCAATGCGTGTAAAAACTTAAATACACATAAGCGCATATATATCATGATTTTTAATGTTTTTGTCGTTCTTGATTTAATGCTTAAAATGTGTTCATTGAGCACTAAAATGAGCAGTGAATATCTTTTTATTGCGAGATTTGATTGATTGTCGTTTGTTCGATGTTTTGTTTAACATAATTGTTTTTATTTAAGTGATTAATGTTGATGTCGTAACATCATTCTTTCTTTTTCAGATTTTCGTTCTTGAAAACATAAAGATTTGATCATTTTTTTAGACAAGTGTTCATTGAATATTTCTTTACTTTTTTGATGTCATTTCATTATGTTTAAATGTTGCGTTAACGATATATTAAAAAACGTTTTTAAGATTTTTTGTTTTTTTTATAATCAAATCGTCGTTCGTCACAATCAGTTTTATTCAGATCAATTTTTTTTGAATTTTATTTTTCAAATTTTTTTCGAATCATGCGATATAGATATCGTCATTTCAATTTAAATGAAATATAGTTTATTAAAATTTTGATGTGTATTTAGCAATTGAATTGATTTGTTTAAATTGTTATAATTTTTGTTTTATATTTTATAATGCATTGATATTTTTGAATGTTGTTTGAAAATATTTTTTGAATTTGTTGTAATTAATGAAGATTTTTTTGATGTTATTATTTTGACAATTTTCATTTTTTTGATAATTTTTGATGAAAAATTCAAAATAATTGAATGTTGGATTAGTGAAATAGATTGATGCAAAAAAAATTTTGTTTATTTTATGTATCAATTTTTTATAATTCATTTGAAAATATATATTTAATTAAATTGTAAAAGTTTATAGCTTGGATTTGATGTTATCGAATGTTTCAAATGATTTGATTTTGATTGATTTGATAATTAAATAATCTTTTAAAATCATGATTTATTATTATAATTGGTCGATCATGTTTTCGAGATTATATATGATAATTGTTTGTTTATGATTTTGATCTAATCTTCTTAATAAGAATTGAGAAATCTTGTTGATGTTTGAAATAATTGATATATTGTTTAAATTTGATTTGTATTAATTTGACGTTTAATGTGTCAAATCTTAAAATCTATTTAAATTGTGTTGTGTTGTGTTGTTAAAATATAGTTTAAACTTTTGATGATTAGTCTGATTGATTTTGAAAACAAATAATATTTATTTAAAGAACATTGTTGTTTTTGAATGACTGAAGATTATGTTTGAAAATCGAATCTGAATTTTGATAAATTAATTTGATAATTGAAAGATTTTTAAACAGTTAAAATAAAAATAAAGTCAAATTGATATATATATCTTTTTATGATAAAATGTGAACGAATCGCATTAGTAGTGTAATTTTTGTAATTATCAAAAATAGTGATTGTATTGAACGCAAAAAATTAAACAAGAATCATTTTAAATACATGATAATGAACGTTTTTATATTTCTTTTTTTTGAGCCTTTTGTAATTGGTAAAGAATATATTGATATACAAGTTGTGATTGTATATTATTTATTTGTATATCACGTAATTACATGCAATGCGTGTAGAAATCCAAGTACGCATAGGCGCATATATACTGTGATTTTTAGTGTTTTTGCCGTTCTTGGTCTAGTGCTCAGGATGTGCTCATTGAACACTGGGATGAGCAGCGGGCATCTCTTTATTGCGGGGCTTGGTTGGTTGTCGTTTGCCCGGTGTTCTGCCTAGCGTAGCCGCCCTCACCTAAGTGACTGGTGTTGGTGTCGTAACACAACTCCACCAATTTGAAATGTTAGATTTGACAGATGCTGAGGTCTATTGCTAATTACAAGAAAACATTACTCCTAGGTCCAAGTTATAGTTCCAAAGACTGTCACTGAGAATACCTTGGTATAAACTGTGCCCATCCTACAGGCAAATGCTTGATATAAATAGAAGCTTTAACCATCCGATTGAAAGAAGACGCTCGACTACCCAATGACCCACCGATCTATAGAAAACTTCACCCGTCCGAAAATCCAATGTTATGTAAATAGAATGACGGACGGCTAGCCCAGGCCTTACAAAACTTTAAGGGTGCTGGCTCTGAAATTCGTTGGTACGCTGACCTATGAATGACATCTTTTTATATGTTCCTCACACATTCTACATTTATCATCAATCAAGCATTTGCGCCTCATCGCCGAAATGGATCGTCTCGAAGGTGCCACCCTTTTTAAACTCGAGGGCTCTACCATCACAGTTGCCAATGAGGACTTCAACTTGAGAACTCTTTTCTCGGAGAAAATGTGCGACGCATTGGGACAACGCAAAGCTGTTTTTTTTGGCGAGCGAATCTCCGACCAGGTCCCTGCCGCCATCAAACTGAGATACCAGTATGCACTTCTCTGAAAATTCCATACGAATTAAATCTCTGCTCACACTGGGAAACTCACGATACAGGATGAACCCGAGAGGCGTTGTAAGCGCGAGGCAGAACCCCTGGGTTAAAGACTTCGCAGGAACAATCTTCCACCGCGAGGTAGATGGGCTGAACGATACGTCTACCATCAGCGGTATACCCGGCCTGTTGGCGCAAGATACGCTCGAGCAAACCTCTTCGGACGAATACCCCGGCGGATATTTGCATGTCATCGTCACCCAGCTGATGCCTGGTAGGCCCATTGAAGACTATCACAACATCAGCGCAAGCGAGGGCAAGCAAATAGAAGGGAAAGTCGTTCAAATTCTGGAGTAAGCAAGGCCTAACATCATTCTGGCATTGGGCTCTTCTGAAAAACACTATTATGTAGGGATGTGCGCGCCAGCGGCTGGTGTGTCACCAGTGGGGGCCAGGATGATGCGATCTACGGTCGCAACACAATGACCGTGTATTAGATAGTCTTATTGCATCGCATATTGATCTTATAGCTGAGCTTACAAATTATAGTTCTCTGACCTGCCTCGGAAACGTGTTGAAAATGCCCCCTGATCATCCACACTCAACCCCTTACACGCCCGAATCGATGGATGTGCGGCAATTCGGCCAAGGAATATGGTGGGATAGGTAGATGTATATCATTGCCATGAAACTAGGCATCTTGGAGACTCGGGGAGGGAGTTTACTTGGCTTTCTATTTTTAGCTTGAGGAAATCAAGACGACTGATTTAACTCCTGGAGAAGGCCCGAAGTAGAAAAGTAGTATACTCACAGTACTACTTATTCGGTTGTCATGCAAGGACTTGTTAAACCCTACCTTACTTCGACCTGATGGAATAAATGCCCCTTAGTCCCTTAGGTAAAAGAAACATTTCTTTATATTCTACATTTATCTTCAAATAAGCACATACGACCACAGGGTGTGGAGAACAGGGCTTCCCGTCCGCTCAGCCGTACTTAAGCCACACGCCGGCCGGTTAGTAGTTGGGTGGGTGACCACCAGCGAATCCCGGCTGTTGTATGTTTTTGCTCTCGATTTTCTCTCGCTTTTCGGACAAAAACGCAGGAAGAGTTGCCCTGTATGTGTGTGATCTTGCTTCTAATTGATTACTTCACAGGTCTTGACTGAAAGCCATCAAGACCCCCATATCACCAAGACTACTCCGAACCTCTTTTCTTGACGCAGTTTCATAATGGCTGAGTGATAAACAGAAAGGCGACCTTGGAGCTTCCAGCGACCAGACCCATATAAGAAGAGATTGGTGCGATACAATTGACTGGCGTGGCCGACGCTTAAGCCCCCTATAATTTTAATATACCAAATGGTGTTCAATAAGTTTTATGGGCCGACACCCACGAGCTGAGCTGTGGGGCAATTCTTTAGGATTCTATCCCAGTTAGGCACATTCTAGCACTCTCACTGTGAAAGACTATTTCGAAGAGTTATCTGCTATAAAAGCTGTTTTGAGTCTATACAGGTATATCCTCGCTTTGGAAGATAGACAATACGGATAATCTTTCTATCCTACGCCGTCTTGGCAGCGAGATCAGTATTGGGGAATCGTTATCTTCATCTACTAGGCTTATTGGCTGCTAGTAAAAGCTGGTTTCATTTTTGAATCTTATATATAGATTTTGCTACCTCCCTAGTGATATTTACTTCCGACTCTCCGTGTTCTTTATCCGATTCAATATGATATAAATTACCGGTCCGTAGCATAGCATGATTAAGCATCCTTAGGAATGATGGCTGTTGAGATATTGAGCTTAGAAAAAAACCTCGGCCAGATCGGAGTAGATTAGGTCTCAGGTGACCCACACGGGGCCACGGCTTCAGCTCGCTTGGAAACCTCCAATCTCTTTCATCTCCGCTCCGATTGAACTGCCTGCGTAGCGCTCATCGCTGAGTCTGACATGCTATATCCAGTAATTGTCGCTGATCATTAAGGATTCCGAGTTTCTGACTGCAGATAGGAATGAAATCTCCGATCTCCTGGTGGATTCATGAATCAGAATCCCATCACAATCGCAAATCTTTTTTTCCGACTCGGTGGACCCGATCGAAAATCTTTACCAGATCGATCTCGCACCCCCGCCAGCCCGAAAGGACCGGATGAGCAGGGAGTTCGTGCGTACCAGCTGGCCCAGCTCACTGGTGCTTGCTGGTTCACCGCGGACTCCTTCCGTGCCGATTGACCCACGTTTGCCGGCAAATGGTGCGTTTCATGATAGAGGACTAGAGATGACTGCTCCACTGGGAAGGGTGGATTTCATCATTTCAGGGGGAGATTTTTTCCGATGGCGGCTTTGTTTATCTCGTTGAGGATTTTCCCCCATCTTCTTTCTGGAGAATGATCGTCTCTGACGTTCTGCCAACATCATGCCCCTTCGCCAGGTTCGACTGTCCCTAAGGTCGAGGCCTGACTCCATCCGGACGACTGTTGTATTCCCCAATGTGGACTCCCCGGATGACGACGTAGGTAGTCCTTCCGAAACCAGTCGCGATGTCTGGGATGAGGCCTACATCCAGCTGAGGGTTGAGACTGCCACCGCCGCCGTCATCGCCGACTATGAACGTGTATTGGGGGCAGCTCTTCGTCCCATCAGCCCGGAACATGCCCATGGATTGGACAGAAATCCTTCGCGATGGATGTCAAGCTTGGACGAGGCCTCTCGGCGTGCGTTAATCGAGGCACTCGTGACCCGGGGCTGTGAGGCCTTTGAACGATCCTCGTACGGGCGCAACATGTTGTCCTTTGTCGCATTGTCTATCGAAAAGATGAAGTCCACCATTGAAGCCACAGTGGAGACCTGCCCCGCCTCGTCGACCGCATGGCTGGCGACTTGTTTGCTCGTTGCCCCGATAATCATCAGCAACGTCCAGAAGGCCGATTTGCAGCCGGGAATCAACTACGTGATATCCAGGATGCCCTGGTACACGGAACTAACCAAGGTCCCGACAGTGGGTTCGTGGAAGACGCCAGCGCTGCAGGCGGCAGTGACCACCAAGGTCGTCGAGCTGTACAAACTGGTCATCCGCTATCTCCTCGCCAGTGCTCGCTTCTACGACCACTCCACCTATCGTTTTGAACCAAATTCGGCCAAATGGGGCAGCTGGGAGACCATGGTCGCCGAAATCCAGGCGGCCGAAACAGAGCTGCTGTGGTGCATACACACGCATAGCGGCAAGTCGCTGAAGCGTGCGCTCATCGAAGGTGCCCGACAGGGCGAGCATATTAAGAACATCACCAGCGTCTTCTCGGTCGCCCAGCGGAGAGCCAACCTGATGGATAAGATCATGCCGGATGCCCGACTGTCCCACTCCGAAACGTACCACGACTACGTGAATCAGATTGCCAACCCCCATAGCAACACTGGGCATGGAGTGCTCAGCCACCCGACCTTTACCACCTGGAGCAACGCCGACAGTGGACTCCTCGTCCTTACCGGGCAGCCAGGAACGGGCAAGTCGGTCCTCGCGAAGTATCTCTTGACGGAGCTGCCCCGAGTACGCCCTACATCAATCTGCTCCTTCTTCTTTAAAGACGATGGCGAACATAATAATCTGAGCACTGCCATGTATGAAGTCCTCAACAGCACCCTACAGCAGTGTTCCCATTTGGACGATGTGGAAGAAAAGGCAGAACAGGCCACGCGGCACAGCGTGCGACCCGACTCGGACCTGTTCTGGGAGTTGGTAGGGATTGCCAGTCGAGGGACTCCCCACGGGCGGGTGACCGTAGTCTTGGATGCTTTGGATGAGTGCAAGAACGCCCATCTGGAGACTGCCCTGGATCGACTAAACCGGTTCCAGTCCAGGTTCCCTGACTCTAACGTGAAGTTCCTTCTCACGACCCGTCCCGTTCCCGGCCTCCTCGAGCGACTAACGAACGGCACCATTCTCAATCTTGGTGAGGACGCCGAGTGTCGTGAATCTATCATCGGCGATATCGCTCGGGTGGCGCAGGATCGGGTGGAACGGTTCGCCCGTGAGAGATGTGTCCGCGATGAGGGCACAAAATCGAAATTACTCCGGCACCTCGAAATCCACGACAGCGCGAGCTACTTGTTTACCGACCTGCTATTCGCCTATCTCTATTCTCTTCCTGTCCGACCGGGGACAAATTACTGGTCACGCACAGTCGATCACCTGCCAAAGAGTGTGATCGAGATCTACCGGGCGCTGCTGGACCAGATCCCCGAGAGCAACCGCGACGACGTGCGAATCATGCTAGAACTAGTGCTCGCCACGACCAAACCACTCACCGTCCGGGAGATGGCCATTGCACTCGCTCTTCATATCGATGACTGCACGAGCTGTGATCGGGAAGACGATTTGGGCTTGCCTGCCGAGGACTTTAAAAACTGGCTTCGCGACACCTGCGGACCGTTCTTCGACGTCTACAACGATCGCATCTACTTTGCCCATCAGACAGTCAGGGATTACCTCCTTGTGGAAGAACCGAAACATAGGCCTGCCTGGTTAGAGCAGTTGTCGATTGAGTCCTGTCACAAGATGATGGCCCACAGTTGTTTCGCCTATCAATCGCTTCCGTTCATTAGAAAGAATAGATTCATGTCGATCGAGGCGTACATCCAGGCGCCGTTTTACACAAGGAGACAGTACCATCAGTGGTGCCAAGGGTCGTTTGTATTTGCAGAGCATGCGTTTGCCAAGTGGGTGGTTCACGTCAAGAATTCCAACCGCTCATCCGACAAGGCAAAGGGACGCGTGATGGAACAAGCTGAAGGGCAGACGAAGGAAAACGGGGTTCTGAGCCAGGAAGAGGCAGGGTCCGACACGACGGACGAACACGACGCCCATTCCGAGCAGTCGTCACAAGAGCACGAAGATTCGATTAATGAAACAACCGGAGAAAAGAGGGAAGATAAGGCCGAAAAGGAGATTGAAGTGGACGTTGCGCACGACATCAAGGAGGCTGGAAAGAATTCAGAGGCTCCACCAGATGAACCTGTAGTGGAACAGCCTGATCAGCAGACGGAGGAATCTGATGGCCTGAGTCAGACAGAGGCAGGGTCTGATAAGATGGACGAGCAGGCCAGGAAAAATGCTGAGCAGCCACCGGAAGAGCACGAAGAGTCATTCGAAGAAACGACCAAAGCGAACACAGAAGATATCACAGAAAAAGAGACTGAAGTGGATGCCGCGCAAGGCATCAAGGAGACCGGGGAGAATGCAGAGGGTCGTCCAGAGGGACATGTGATGGAGCAAGCTGGCGACCAGAAAGACGAGGCATCGGGACAGACAAAAGGCCGGTCAACCCAGGTGTCCGACGGACGAGATGAAGGTATTCTGATCGATCAGGTCAAAGAGCTATTCCCAGAGTTCCGGTTCAAGCTAGCCCTCCCCCTGTTTTGCTGCTCCGGAATGCCGTCGTCTGTCGACGTCCAGACTTTTGTCGAAATGCTTCCCGCGAAAAGCCCGGCCCGAGATAACCTTCTCACCGCGCTTAGTCAAAGCCTAATGGCCCGATACTGTCAATTGGGCGATAGGGCTGATCTCAACTATGGCGCTGATCTGGCAGAGCAGGTTCTTAAGAGAACACGTCGCGGCCACCCGCAATTGACCCAGAGACTGGCCACGTTCGATCAGGGTTTGAACATGCGGTTTTGGGATGCGGTGCATCATGACGTCCCTATTACTGGAAATGAAATGCGTGAGGCCGACCAAGCTGTCGCCATCACGCCTACCGGTCATCCCGGCCGCCCAGCTGCCTTGCATGAACGTGCGATTGTTCTTGAAAGACAGTACCAGCGCACCAAGGATGCCCAGGCCATCAGCCAGGCTATTGAGGACATCTTCAGCGTTGTGAAACTGGTCACCCCGTCATCGGCCAAACCGCGGTATTTGGACTATCTGGCGAACTTGCTGGGACAGCGATTTCTGGACGGAGGCAACCCTGCGGATCTCAATTTGGCTACCCGGGCCGCTGTCGAAGCGGTTGTCACTACGCAGTCAATCAATCCCGGCGATACCAAAGTTGTGGCGATGCACCGAAGCACCCTCGCCTTTTGGTTAGGGGCCCGGTACAGGATGACACGGCAGCCGAGCGATATCGACAAAGCACTCGAGGTGATCCGGATCGCATTGGACATCACGCCCGCTGATGATCCTAGCCTCCCGATCTATCTTTGTAGTCTCGCGCGACGTCTCTACGAACGCTACGAGCAGACCGGCGCAGAAGAAGATCTTCGCGAGGCTATTGCGGCCTCGCGTCGCTCCGCACAGCTTATGTCTACCAAACATCCCCTTTATCCATTCCACCATCTGTTTCATCAAGTGCTGAGCACGGAAGAGTGCAGTTAGACCGAGCGTTGCGTTGGCGTTTGGTCTGTTGGTCTTTTTGTGTCTTGGTACTTCTCTTTATATGTACACTACCTTATACTATTACTTTGTATGTAATGTAATGATCCACCTAGCTTTTCAGGATTGCAATGAATCATCCGCTGCCAGGTGAAGGCATCCAAACCACGTCGCAATATCGCTCGAGCGTTTTTGAACGGTTACTAGTGACGTGTAAATGGGTCTTGTTCAAACACGCCCAGCTGAACATTTTAGAGTATCGATTGCCTGAGTAGCCTTCCATCAGATATTGCTCTTCATTCACCTAGCTATCGGTTTAGGGAAGACTGTATTTTAACGTTGGGAGATCTCAACGATCGAGCTGCTCAACGCAATTAGATGCCACCAAATACATTATACAAGGCTATATACAAGCTACCAACATGTACTCTTCAGAAGAGTATGCAGAGTTGTATATTTGAACAGTCTGCAATCCATGCTCAACCTCATGGGCTAGTTGGAAGGGATAGACCAAGAGAGTGGGACGTACTAACAGGGAAGAATCTGTTAGGTGCATTCAATAGTTCCATTCTTAGTCTTCCCCATCCATCAATCAACCCCGCCACTGTCGGCGGATCTTTCCGACGGATCGAATCACTAGAATACTCTCAAATCATCCACGTCGAACATTGGAGCTCATTCACCAGCTTGACGCCGCCCACCATGTCCGACAGCCATAGCGAAGTCGGCTCGGAGGTCTCGCTGCCCAGCACTGCGGCAACCAACGAGCTGCTCTACAATTACAACCAAGTCATCGCCGCCCTCGAAGGAAGAAGCGTCCCAAATGATCTCACCTCGGTCACTGCGCGCTGTGCAGTGATTCGAGGACTGCGTTGCTCCTACGACTTCGCAGTCAGCCGAGACATAGTCGACCTGTGCGCTTCACTGCACTTTCCCGAATTTGTTCGAGCACGCAACGCCCGGCTTATCATGAGCAACGTGGTTCCGGACGGTCTTGAACACCCCGAGTCCCAGCCATACTGTATCTGGAACCCGGACTTTGCCACGGAGCAGACATATCGCCAGGTTGCGCAGCGGTACCCTGCTATGCGCTATCAGGTCGGCCGTGCCTGTGCCGCCGCTGGGTATTTCACGCTGTATACGGAGCTCGATCTCCTTCCGGATGTCTCCATTGCTGAAGAGGCTCGGGAGGGGAATACCGTGGGGGGAGGCCAAATCTACCAGTCGATCATGTCTTCACCCCTGAAATATGCCGTGATGGATGATTATTCGCGCTCAATTAACGCGGAGAGCCCGCATCCCGCCTTCCTCAATGCTGACACACATGTTCGCTGGAAGTTAGAGTGGCGGTTCACGCCCGCAGAGGATGCCACGGAGGAATTTGGGCCTGAGGAGATCGATATTGAAGAGGATCGGTACATAGGTCTTGAAAGGGACGAGCCAGATGAGTCTCGCTACGATGAGCTGAATTCGCAAGAGGCGACGCTCCTCTGGCAGCCTCTGCCTCTCGATCTACCAACGATGAAAAAGAATCTTCTCCGTCAAATGGCCGCCTATGAAGGAAGTGTGGACCGATATGACAGGTTGATGAACCGCCGATCTCGGGCAGCAATCGACTCACTCGAGATCCTCTGCGTCGTGCGTGGTATCTATCACCACACGATGTTCGCGCGGTGGTGGCAGCACCAGATCGACACAGGCGCTTTTCAAGACCGAATGACGAACAGGGAGCGGGACGAGATTCAAACCGCCATTAATGCCCGCCGCGTCATGATCAACGAGATTGGAACATTCACCGAAGACACCCCCTGCAAGCCGTGGCTGATCTGGCATCCTCTCAAACCGGAAGCCGTGGCACTGTATAGTCTTTCGAGGCGATGCCCTTCCATGCTTGTGCAGATCGCCATCGCCGCCATATATTGCGACTACAAAAATGTATACGACAGCCTCAAGGTCCGGCCCTGCATTGCCCTCTTGTTCGCCGCCGAAAAAGTCGGCAATCCCTTCTACAAGCAAGACATTGAAAGGCGCGCAGCAGAGCTCGGGATTACCGACCTCTGGAAAGAAGGCCCCTGGATTGAACAATTCGGCGAGACGCATGGGACGTTAGGCCTTGACTTGGAGCCCACGGGCTCTGGAATCACTACACGCCTCCGCTCGGAACACATGGAACCGCTGGATGGAGGATACTATCGGAAGAACTTTGCATACGGGGGCTATTTTGAGAGATATGTCTTTGTCTCGTTTGAAACGATTCGGAAGATGGAAGTCGAAGGCTACCGTTGGGAGGAGGGTTCTGGAATCTTACACAGTAGTGATACGCATTGGTTTGTGTCTCATAAAATTATAAAGGATGAGGATGGAAACGAGATTATCGACGCCAGCGATGAGGACTAGCCTCCGCCGAAATCAAATATCCATTTGGATACTTTCAATATCCACTCGAACTAGAATAGAATGGTTTTATAGTTTTGCAATAGTAGACTTTAATACCTAATTCACTGATTATAAACTGCATTAAGATATATAGATCTTAAGTGTTAGATAGGGTTATGAAACAATTTACTAATGCTTGAAAATAGTTCAGATGCAATTATCAGTAACGATCGTCAGAATAAGGCCCTAGTCATCAACTCATCACCACCCCTTAAACTTAGAACAGCCTTTACTTGGGTAAGAAAATAAATTCCCCTTGCTGTGAATAGCAATATTCATTGATTTATAGTCTCTAGTCCATTCTATGATTCACCCATTGTAGACAGAATTCAGGGAAAGGGCGTTTTGACTCCCACTGTGGTATGTCAAAAAACACGTCACCCGGTGGACTTCGTCAGATCACCCTTTGAAAGATAATAAATGGCCACTGCCAAGGCTACCGTTTGTATTGACTTGGTTGCTCGTAATCGAGCCCATTGCTGGACATACTGTAGGACTTGCTGGAAAAGTCTCCTAGACTGAGACTCTATCTAGGGTAAGGCGGTACACAGTCATCATTGTTTTGCAAAATAGAATGACAGCCTGTACCCTGTCCACAACATTGCGTCTAAATCCGGTCCGGGGATTTTGGGAATCAATCGCAAGAGTAAATCAAGGTTGATTCAAATCCCTGGTGGAGATCAATCCTACTCCGTACAATCGGACCCACTAATTCGCCGACTTGTTGTGGGGGCCGTTACTCATTAGTTGCTCTTTTATCGCGCGTAATGAGCACCGTAGAACTTCCACCGCGCATCAAATGTTTACGAATACATTTTGCCATCGTTGCTGGCTCTGAAAGGTCGCCGAGCTAACGGGAAATTTTGGTAATAGCACAAGTGCTTTGCAGCACAGGACACCCCACAACGTAAGAATGTTGTCCTTCCGAGACTCCGGGTCCCTTGGCCGGACAACCAAAGAGTCAATGCGATTAATTTCAGTAAAGGAAGGAAAGGAAATCGCCGATCCCGGGATTTAGGGGCTTATTCCTGATCTGTTGTCTAGTGCTATCCTATTTTGAGCGATATGTTGCCGATTGATCCGCGTTCTCGTAGATGCCTTTGATATACATACCTGCACCTTCCAGGGACAGTGATGACCAGGCTGAAACCGCAGAAACCGAGAAAAATGAACCAAGCCACGGAAGCGGTTGAGAAAGGAGATGTTCTGTCTGACTGGGTCAAGGATCCTGACAACGCTAAGAACTGGTCAACCGCAAAGAAGCTTTACAACACTGCCATCCCTGCGGTCTTGTGCTTTTTGATGTACGTGACGCCCCCTTTTGCCGCCAATGAGTGGCCCAACTAACCCAAGGTCGTACCATGCAGCTCCTTTACTCTTGCTATCTATTCCCCTTCGCACGAACATGTCCAAAATGACTTCAAGACGACTACTGTGCTATCTTTACTGCCATTCACCCTCTACGTGTATGGGCTTGCCTTTGGCCCTGCGGTGTCAGCGCCGCTCAGTGAAACATTTGGTCGCAGATTCATCTATATTTGTATGACGCCGATCGCATTGCTGTTTGTCTTGGGTGCGAGTTTTGCACAGAACCTTGCTGCACTTGCTGTCTGTCGACTCCTAGCCGGCATCATGATCTCCGCACCCCTCGCCGTGGGCGCTGGCACAATGATGGACATGTGGACAGGGATAAACACCAACCGGGGAGTCGTCTTAATTATGACTATTGCATTTCTCGGACCGGCTGTTGGAGAGTTAGTTGGCGGCTGGGTCGCCCAATTCCTGAAATGGCAGTGGTCGCAGTGGCTCAGTTTATGCCTGGGCGCAGCACTGTGGATCTTCGCTATGGGTGCCCAAGAGACTTATGCAGGGCCAGTAATGCGCCGCAAAGCGAAGAAGCTGGGATTGCCCATTCCCCCGTCACCTATCCCGCCTGGCCTGGCAGGTGCCCGTTTTCTAGTCACGGTGACTTTGGCGAGGCCTCTGTATATGTTGGTCCGTGAGCCCATAGTCCTGCTGTGCTCGCTCTACTCGTCCTTGAACTTCTCTGTTCTTTTCTGCTTTTTGGCGGCCATCCCACTTATATATGGCGATACCTATGGATTTACACCTGGTGAAAGTGGACTGGTATTGATCGGTATCACTGTAGGGTGTTCTCTTGGAGGAATTACCATTGCGCTTCTCGACTCGTACACTCTGAAGCGACATGTCCGCAAACGCGGAGCCGAGGCACCACCGCCGGAGCGCATGCTCTGGGGAGCAATGATAGGAGGCCCTCTGATGGCTAGTGCCTTATTCTGGTTTGCATGGACAGCCCGACCAGGAATTCATTTCATGTCTAGCATTGTGGCGACAGGACTTTTTGGTTATTCCAACATTCTGGTATTTGTAAGTTATGCTGCGTTTTCTTTACCCGACAGGACGAAGTCACTGACAGATGTGCTCTACAGGTCTCAACAATGCTTTACTTGACCAATGTTTATGGTGCCCAATTTGGAGCGTCAGCCCTGGCAGCGAACGGATTGCTACGTTACCTCGTCGGGGGCTCCTTTCCTCTTTTTACAATCCCCAGTAAATACCCCCGCCTCTTTCTATCTATGTGTGCTAGAGTCTAACAATCACTCAAGTGTATAAAAACTTGACATACCCCTGGGCGTCAAGTTTGCTTGCATTTCTAGCCGTCGGATTTGCCTTTCTACCATGGATCTTTTACATCTTTGGTAGTAAAGTCCGTAGCACTAGTGCCTATATCAAGTAACATCCGAGCGCTGCGATCTCGCCGACTTGTTCTGCTGAACGGTCAAAAACCTGTACCTTCTTTCTTTATTTCGTTGCTTTCTTGTATTCTAAAGAGCTACTAAATTTCAAGTTGTATAAGAATAGACACAACTTCCCTAAATCCTTTTCGTAACCCATTGCTTCGGTTGCTCAACAGCCTGTTCGTTATATATTGAAAGGAGTTGCGTTGATTGATTCACTGGCGGATTGAGTACCGGCTTACCGATTTTCACCGAGATAATGATAATAGAGTCCAAGTAGTCCTCCACACTTAGCGATATATAATTGCTGAATATATAGACAGGTTTTCAAGAGCTAACCCGTCGTAGCAAAACCGCAAAGATAAAATAATTACACATTCTCAATGAAAACATCTGCCTCCTTCTTTTCAGTAACATCCGCTGGCGCCCGGCAGACATGCGACTTGAATGTCCGTGTTGGGAGTCGGTCTTCAAACATCTGCTCAATCTCTTCCAGGGAGCGTTGATTCAACTCCGGGACAAAGAACCAGGCGAAAAGAAACGCCACCACAGAGAGACCCCCGTAGATGAAAGCGACTCTACCACCGATCTCGGCCTGAGTGTAGGGATTGACGAACACAATGATCAATCCGATGATGTAGGCTCCCATTCCGGACATCGCTACGGTCTTCTCTCGGACTTGGTTTGGAGGCACTTCGGCTGTCAAGACCCATGCCAGAGGCCCCCATGTGATCTGGAAGGAGAAGAACCATAGCATCAGCATCACGACCGCCGCGACTTGCATGGAGTAAGACATGGCTTCGGCGCCGTTGGCGGTCAATCCGCCGATCGTGATCATGCAGGCGCCCAGCATCAGAGAAGAGCAGAGCAGCACGTTACGCCGGCCCAGCAGATCAGTGGTGGCCATGGCGACGAGGTTTGCCACGACACCGATAACGTAAACCACGACAGCCATCAGAAGGACTTCCTTGAATCCAATCTCCTGAAGAAAGACAGATTGGTAGTTTGCGACGAAAGAAATGCCTTGGGCCTGCTGGAAGACCTGGGCACCGACCGCAATGATTGTTCGCCTCCTGTTAACCGGATGGGTGAAGCAGGCGGCCCAGGTTGCGGTTGCCTGTCGCTCACGCTGCTCCTCCTGCAGCAGCTGAAGAGCTGCGACTTCTGCCTCAGCGGGGAATGAGGAGCCGCGGAGACGATGGAGAGAAGTCACAGCTTCGTCTAATCTTCCTCGTGAAACGAGCCAGTACGGGGACTCTGGCAAGAAGGGAAGACTGATCCAGCTGGCCGCGGGGATGGCAATTTGGGCCACTATCACAACCCTCCATGCCCAATCTGTGGGGATGTGTTGACAAAGATACACGATAAGAGAAGCTGCAAAGCCTCCTATCATGAGGAAGGCGTTATATGTTCCGGACATCAAGCCACGGAGGGACTTGGGCGCACACTCGCCTTGGTAGGCGGGGATCACACTGGTGGCAATGCCACCCCCGAGGTACACGATGAGCTTGCCGATGATGAATTGTGTATAGCTGGATTTGGTAGTCGACTCGATTATAACTCCGACTGTCACCACGAAGCTTTGAATCCAGAAGGTTTTCTTTCTCCCCAGGTGTTCATTGAGGGGTGAGCCGCAGAATACACCGACAATAACACCGACGTAACCCAGGCCGGTACCCAAAGACTGCTGCTGCGATGAAAGGGCCCATTCGTTTGTGGCAGGATTATATGATCCAAAGTTTTCCACAAATTGAGAAGAGCTCATCAATGCGGACCACCATCCTTGGTCAAATCCGAAACCAGCCGATGAGATGGAACCAAAGACAAGAACAACCCAAATCAACCAAGGGAAGGATCGCAGTGAATCCGCTGAGTGGCCTTGCTGCACCATTTTAAAAAGATTCGAAATAAGAGGAGAAAGGTGAAAAGGCAATAGACCGCCGAACTGAACAAGGCTGGAGCCTCAGGTCTAGGGTATACTTATACTTGCGTTATCAAGCATGGAGCATCGCCTAAGAAAATTTATCAATCCATTTTCAAAAATGGATAAACTGACGAGGGGACTTCAAATCCTCCGGAACTTTGTGCCCCAGACTGTCAGCACTACTCCGTGCAAGTGGAACTGCTGTTCTTTCGTTGATATTCAATTCGGAGGACTAGACAGGGACCACATTTTCCCCAAGGGTTTAAGGTCCCCCAGGCTCGTGCTAAAGCCCGTCTGGGGTGAGAGTGGGGAATTCTCTGGATGACTAGATCCTGGTGGTACAATACTGGAATAGTGGACCGTGGCCAAGTAGCAAAATGAGGATGCAAACTCAATACGAGGGAGAGGAGAAGAGAAAAAAAATCCCGGGTATCGTCTCCACTATATCGCCGAAGTCAACCACGCTTGAAGCTATGACGACAATGGCACCATGTGTCGCGCCAGGAATTTTCGAAAAATGACTTTCAGGATCCTGGTACTCAAAAAGCAGTATTTGGCCAACTTTATGCATGTGTGTCGCTCACAATTGACTTCGAGCCTTGTTCATCTCTTAACATGACGGCAATGGATTCCGACGCTCTCAGTCCCGTCGTGGAAAAGCTCCTCGAGGTTTTGACTCTGGAAGAAAAAGTCTCCCTAGTTGCCGGTCAAAACATGTGGCAAACTGCTCAGGTTGATCGACTCGGTATTCAATCTCTTCAGACGACCGATGGACCGGCGGGCGCACGAGGCACTAAATGGAATTATGGCTCTCTTACTACTCTGATCCCGTGCGCGATATCGCTCGCGGCCACCTTCGATCCTTCTCTGATCGAGCGGGTTGGTACCGTGCTTGGGGAGGAGACGCGGCGAAAGGGCTGCCATGTTCTGTTGGCTCCGACAATGAACCTCTCGCGTTCGCCGCTTGGTGGCCGGAATTTCGAAGGCTATGGAGAAGACCCATTCCTAATCGGCACTTTATCTACCTCAATGATCCGGGGTATCCAAAGCCAAGGCGTCGGTGCCTGCATGAAACATTTTCTTCTGAATGATACGGAGACGCGGCGTTTCAATGTCGATCAAACCATTGACGAACGTACCCTTCGTGAGGTTTATATGAAGCCTTTTGCCATGGCTCTTCAAGCCTCTCCATGGACGTCGATGGTTAGCTATCCGAAGGTCAACGGCATTCATGCAGATATGAGCACCTTCGTCCTCAAACGCCTCCTTCGGGAAGAGTTGAAGTTCGATAGGCTTGTCATGAGTGATTGGGGTGGCTGTAACTGCACCACCCAGAGTCTTATCGCTGGGACCGATCTGGAAATGCCGGGGCCGCCTGTTCGCCGAGGGCAGAAGCTGTTGGCTGCTATTCGAGCCGGACTGGTGGACGAAAGCAAACACTTGGATGTCAGTGTGCGACGAGTGCTGCAGCTACTCGAAAAGGCCGGGCTTCTTCCAACGCTGGGAGATTTGGATGGCCAGCCTCTACTCGCATCGCAGAAGACTCAGTGTTCGGAACGTCGGCAGAGCTTCCAGGCATCCGACAATGCCGTTTTCCACCAAATCGCCCGAGATGCCGCTGAAGGCGGCTTGGTTCTGCTCAAAAATGAAGGCCTCTTACCACTTGAACCAACATCACTTAAGAGTGTCGCTATCTTGGGCCCGAATGCTCGCAAACCGACTGCAGGTGGATCAGGCAGTGCTGCAGTCAACCCATTTTACACCACCACGCCCGAAGATTGTCTGACCCAGGCTCTGAAGAAAGCCAACCCAGAGCTGAAAGTGTCGTATGAACAGGGTATTCCGTTTACGCTGCGCCCTCCTCTTCTGGATGGTGCACTCACTCTTTCCGATGATTGCAAGCAAGGATTTAAGGTGGAGTTCTTTGGGGGATACGAGTTTCAGGGCCCGGTCGTGGCCACCAGCTTTTGGCCGAACTCGCTAATCTACATGATGAGCGACGGAGATGTGCCGGCATCTCTGAAGGGAAACCCTTACTCATACAGAGCTACAGGCGTTGTGAATGTTAAGGAATCGGGTCAATACACATTCAGCATTGCCAACACAGGCAAGGCAAAGCTCTTCGTGGACGGTCAGCTGACGATCGATAACACGGATTGGACGACTATCACCGGTGGCTTCCTCGGTTGTTCTAGCGAGGATCGCTGTGCAACTATACATCTCGAAGCAGGGCGCGCATACGCATTGCGGGTGGATAACATCGCGACCTTACCAACAATCGAATCCTTCGATAACACACTTTTCCCTGCCGTCTCTGGCCTCCGGGTTGGTATGGCCATGGAGGAGGATGAGGAGGCCATGCTGAACCGGGCGGTAGAATCTGCCAAAGACTCGGATATAGCTATCTTGGTCGTGGGACATAACAAGGACTCTGAGGGCGAGGGTGGCGATCGGCCGAACATGGATTTACCCGGTCGCACCGACGAGCTCATATCCTCGGTTTGTGCCGCGAATCCTAACACGATCGTTGTGGTCCAAGCGGCCAGCGCCATCGCTATGCCTTGGGTAGATCAAGCGCGAGCTCTGGTCCTTGCCTGGTACCAAGGACAGGAGAACGGGCATGCTTTAGCGAATGCATTGCTGGGACATTGCAACTTCTCTGGAAAGACTCCTATCACGTTTCCCAAGAAATTGGCCGATCACGGATCTAGTGCTTGGTTCCCTGCCGAAGCGGCAAATGACCACGCTGTCATCGGCGAGGGTGTGTTGACAGGGTATCGATGGTTTGAAGAGCACAAGATTGAGCCCTTATGGCCATTTGGATTTGGTCTGTCTTATTCATCTTTCAGGCTTTCCAACATCCGAGTGAGCGGGCGATTGGCCGCTTCGTGTGCTGCGTCGGAGATTGCGATTCACGTCACAGTCAGCAATATCGGATCGTATGATGGACATGAAGTCGTTCAGGTATACGCGTCGCCATCGAGATCAATTCGAGACAGTGGTCTTCAAAGCTATCCTAAGACTTTGGTCGGGTTCAAGAAGGTGTGGGTGCCTGCTGGTGAGGTTAGGAATGCGAGCATTGTCGTTAGAAGCGAAGAGTTCCGGTGGTACGATGAGCAAACCGCTTCGTGGCGTCTAGATACTGGTAACTACGATATCTTCGTGGGCACCAGCGTGCAGGACATTGCGTGTAAGTTGGAAGTTGGCATAGCTTAGTATGTTCAGAGATCTTGCAAAACTACTTTGCTATACCTAGTCAATCATATGTATATCTATCCTGTTGTCATCTTTCTTCAAGTTCTGGTTCCAAGTTCTGGTTCCGTGAAGCTGAGGGCATTTCTTCGACATTACGAGATTGTAAATATCACGCCGTTTACAATTAGACCAGCAGGACTGTGGGTACAGATAATTAAGGGGATAGATAATGGGACGTGGACACGGTGCGGTTCGTAGAACCGAGAACGCCTCCTTCAAAGAGTAAACAATGTATCTGGCAGTCTGACGATATTGTCACTTGAAGAGGGGGAGGAAGTGCAACGAAGAGTCGAGGAGGAAACAAATTCCCCCTAAATTTAGTGATTGAAGAAGATTCAGCCGACGGCGTGATATATGCAAGACCCTGGCTGCTATCCTCCCCATGAGACAACATGAGCCCTAAAAGCACCGGCGGGGAGGAACGAAATGTCTGGAGACGATGACTGGATTTTTCCCAGAAAACAAACAGCTCAGAGAGTAAGGGTGGCAGTAAATTACACATCCGATGGATGGGCAGTTAGCGATTGTGCCCAATAGATCCACGATCGGCAAGGAATGTTTGGCAGATAAAGCTCGTCAGTGGATGTCCACGGAAGCTTGTATGGCACGTACGCCTTACATACCCCGAGATGGGGAGCGTAATTTGGACGAGATTCCATCCGAAACCCTCTTCTTTATTGATTCAGAAGCACTGTGCAATGGACTCGGGAAAAGATGGCTTCAAAGCTCTCGAGATTCGACTGCTCCAGGCAATGTCGACCTATAGACAGGTTCTTAAGAATGAACATCTCCCGCTGCCTTGTCTGCATATGTCGTCGCCATACTCATCATTGCTGGATGACAGGGTTCAATCTCCCGAAGGAAAAGGAGCCAAGGAGGCTATCATCGAGATCTCTCAGCTAATCTGTGCCACGACGATGGACCCCGAGCTAAATCTGCTCGTCAGCTTTCTAAAGTTCCATTTCTGTTCATGTCTCAAAGTGGCAATCGATCTAAGAATTCACTATCACATTCCACTCGAAGGCGTAGTCGCGCTGAGCGAGCTTGCCCGGTTGACCAGACGAAGCTCTTCTGGGTATGTATGTGCGAACAAAATGCTCACCCGTCTCTCTCCTTTGATTGGGGTGATTGACCATGCGGAAAAAAGCTTATTGATATTGATGAGTTCGCATTTTGCGTGTTCTGGTAATTGAGCATGCCTTCATGCAGCCGCAGCCCAACTATTAATGCCCACACCCGAATGTCTTCCCTCCGAAAGCCCACAACGCACGACCTACTCTGCCACCGGTTCGCTCCTCCTCTCTGGTCACCGGACGATAATTGAAAGAAACTTTTCTGGTGTGTAAGCTACTGTAAATCTAAACAGCGATTAGGTTAGACGAAGCCTTCCGCTCTGCCAGCCGGGAGGCCGACGCCCTCGCAGCAGGCGGGTACCGCGAACTGGAACGAGCGCACGATTGCGCTTTCAACCTCGCCTTCGATACCGGAAATAACTTCTAGTGGTATATCGCCGTGGAAGATACGATCCGGGGCCAGTGGTCACTGTCAACTCTCTCAATATCATTCCCCGGCTCTACCCGTTTGACAGTCTCGTCGTGGACGGGGGTTCCATCGTTGACGTGGGCGGCGGCCAAGGCCAAGTGGCTAAAAGCATACTATCCGGATAGCAGATTATATTGTACAGGACGGATATTGTATGGCGAAAGCTTTGACGACGGCTGGCCCAGCGGTTGAAATGCAACTGCATGACTTTGTCCAGCCGCAACCGGTGAGAGGCGAGTTAATTTACATGAATGCTGTTCGTTGAGCAAAAGGCTTTTTCTCTTAAACAATTTTTCAGGGGGGGCGGCGTACTTTTTCAGGCACATCCTCCACGACGATCATCTTGAATCAGATGTGATCTTCATGTCACATTATCAGTCAGGTACCATCCAGCCAAGTAAGAGTCATGTAGAATCTCGAATCGCATTCCAGTTCATAATAAACTGGGTACTGCAATGAATGTTGCAAAATCTCGAGACATACTGTTTTATCTCAACCTCCAACTGACTGCCGTTTTCTCTCCTCGTTTGAGTTCTTCCCTCTATTAAATTGCTTGCATTGGCTCTCTTAGTGTCCGGTCAGGGCCTCGGAGCCTCGAAAGCACGAAAGTGCCGTGGGGCGTCTAATGGTTCTGCAGGCTACTGTTGTCATTACATATGGTTGTTGCCGATCTAGTATAAAAAGTCACAGCACGGTAATCGTTTTCAGTATGTTAAGAGAACCCTTGGACTTAGGAGCAACAGCGGTACACTAAAGCTTACACAGACCTCTATAGGATTCGTGGGGTATTTATTTAAGTAGTGTCTCAGACTCTCAGTATACTGCGGATCGCCCTTATTAAATGCCAATCAACAAGTGTTATTCATATGAACTGCAGAACTTCTGTTTTTGCATGATTGCCAAGCCTCCTTTCCGCCGTCAGAAAGTCCAAGCGGTGGAATATTGCAAGTGTTAATGAAGCTGAAACGATGCTATTCAAGAGCCAAGACGCTACCGCGAGACATAGCAAATGAGTGTCTGGCGCAGATAGAGAACGCTCCGTGAAATTTAGTGCCAAACGCAGATCGCTGCGTTGTTCTGTTTCGTGCCGAGTCACTCCTTCATTTAGAATTGGCTGGTCATCTCCATATTAATAGGGAAGGATGCACCGCGGAATATTGAAGGTAACCTGCAAGTCCCATCCTCCCAATTGCTTCAAACCGACTATTCCATTGATTTTCTGAAACTAGACTCGTCTTTACAATACCTCGCTAGTCTAAACATAATGTATTTTCTCCGTTTTATCAGCGTGATAGCCGCTGCATCAACAGCCTCCGCTACCCTGACGTGGTCGCTGGACAAATCCTCCGATCCCTCTTCCGACCAAACAGAAGCATACGGTCTGATCGAGGCCGCAATGGAAGCCGCAGTGGCACGGCACTCTCGCCTCGGCGACGCCAGCAAAGAGCTTCACGTCTCTTACGCGCCCGGTGTTCCGACCGCAGAGGCCAGCTACGACGGCTCAATTCGATTCGGTTCGGACCGCGCTTACATGAACGAGCGTACGGCTCTGCATGAAATCTCACATACCCTTGGCGTGGGCCAGACGGCTGCATTCGACACGCTTTGCGCGGATAATAACTGGCCGACTGCGACGCCTTTGCTGCAGTCGTGGGATGGTTCCGATGCTACAATCAGCTGCGGTGGAGGCCACTTCTGGCCGTATGGTTTGAATTACGACAATGAGTGGAGCGATGAGAATGGTGACCGTCATGTGCAGCTGGTTAATGCTATGCTTGCTGATGGCATGTAAGCGATTCTATACGATGCGAACCGCGTATGTTGGTGGTTTGGTTCTCAAACGTGTGGCAAGGTCGGCCCGACTCTCTTGAATTGGAATACGATATGTACATATTGCTGTGAGCTGATGTCTGCGGTATAAATAGAGATCGGGATTACAATTGACCGGCAAATACTTATAGTTCCGAGAGGAGGGAGCAGACACTAATTGATGGTTTTTAAGCCGGTGTAGATAAGAATAGTGGGCTGTCTGTATGTACCCGATGGTATTCTTGTCACAGCCGGATCTCGAGAATCGCTGCTTCAGACTCCGGACTACCCTTCTTATGCAATTTTGATTTCCAATTCTTAATCTATCAAGGCTAGCACGTCAGCTAGTAATGCTGTAAAAGCAGCCATAATCCTCAGTTCACTGGTCTAAGGCTGTATCAGTCGAGGAAGGAGGTGTTCACCGGTTGGTTAAGTTTCACGATTGATACGACCAGAGCTTTGCATATAACTCCCTTTCAGCTTCGTTCTCAGCCAGCCCAATGAAGATATCTCTAAATTTGCGGTTGTTTTCATTGGCAATGTCATAATCACCGGGATCAACCATGCCATCAACCGGAAGCACACCTTGGTCCTGAAACATTGCAAGCATATGCCCAATACCATCAATATTTTCTTCCTCCTTGGAATGAAGCTCAAGTTCTTTATCCGTGAACTCAATAGGGCAGGGTGGCCCATCACTCGGGAATATCTCATTCCATTGGTTGGCGAGGAATATGAGCGATTGACGGAAAAAGAAAAGATCTTTGTTTTCCCACATCTTGCTCACCAGCCAGACAGGCTTCCGCAGAGTTTGGATTGCTGATTGCTGAAGGACTGCCCAGTGACGAGGGGCTCTTTTATACACCTGAGCTTCGTAGTACTTGTGTATGGTCTCACTCTCTAGATTGTCGTCAACCTTCATTTGCTCCTCTTCGCTGAGAGTGTCAAAATTCGCAGGTCGTTCTGGTACAACCCAACCTTCTCGAACAGGCCCATGGTGTCGGAACATCTTGGGAATCTCTGACTGGTAGAATAATGGGGCGATGCATGAAGACTGCCAGTCCACAACCGAGACGATTTCACAGGTGGCCGGATCAACGAACACGTTGTCAAGATGAAGATCAGGGTGCCAGAGTACTTTGGACGTCGCTGCCTCATCCGTCGTTGATGGAACCAGGTAAGGTGCCACGTTCATGTACTGAGTGAGAAGAGCAAGCCCTTCACTGGGAAGCTTGTAATGTTCAGTTGACCTGTAGTAGTTCATTCGAGGTTGACCGTGCGATTGAATCCATGCGATCTCATTGCGTCCTAGCGCCTGAGTGTATTCACGGGGGTCCAGCCCTGCCCCAGAAATGTTAACATCTCTCTTGGGTCCAAGACCACGAGTGGTACTTACAGGGACCACGTTCAAGTTGCAGTTCTCTTATGCTTTCCTCCCAAAGCTCCGCAGATGTGAGAGGCCCTACAGAAAAGCGACTGAGTGATTCGGCATTGGAAGAGTCGATGTTGATATCTTCCGCTTTCCCAGTCAATGAGCGCAAATCGTCTTTGAAATAGATACAGCCGTGCTTGGGAAATGATACGGCGGTCAATGTATTCTCCATGTCCACAATCTGTGTAATCACCTTTAATTTGGCCTCTCGCGGCCATTGATTCCAAACAGAGCCAAGCCTGATTCCAGGTGCCTTCTCCGAAACGATGTATTCTGCTTCAACGGGATTGTTCGCGGCATCGGAGGACCAAGCAAGAATACGAGGAACAGGAATCTTGAGTACATCGCGTAACTAACATTCTTAGTAACAGGTTATCAAAGATGGACGAGGCAAAGCCTATCTCACCAGCTCGTGCGTAGCCACCTCAGAGGCCGTTGTGAATCGGGACGGTCCTGCCTTTGGATTCGGGATTTTGGCAAAAACCTCCGCACCGTTGTCCATAGTCAAGATGAAAGCCTTATTGCGCAAACCCTCTAAGCACTTTAGAACTCTGGTGCCTGTTGGGGGATATCGGTGAATATTAAATTCCGTGGGGGGTGAGGGCGCTTGAACATACAATTTCGAGCTCCGTCGCAAACATTGAGAGCAACTTCTATTAGCCGCTGTAGATTGAATCTAACGTAGCGCTTGGAAAGCTCATTCTGCTCGTTGAGCCTGAATGAACGCCTGTCAGTTGAAAGCCCCATCCCAATTAGGGTACCCACTTACAGCCATCGATGTCGGGAGTATCTGTACAGTTCGTCTTCGGATATTGTCTCGTCTAGGGCATTTCTCAGTCATTTGATACTTCCATGGCTACCGGAGCGCAAGTACAAGTACGGTTGGGTCTTTCCGTGCATAACTTGGGGAAATCCGATTTTGATAGTCCACTCAATCGCAGAAAAGGGAGGAAACTCATGCCCTGCGTCCGTCCGTCGGGGAGTCGGCTTCGCAAAAGGGCTGCGGTAGCGTAATTTCGCATGTTTGATGTATTGTTGTCGGTCCTCGCGGGATTGCGATCGGATTTGTCAACGGAAGGGGGAGTGTTCAGGTTAATTTAAGAATTCTCGATCTCATATCCTCAAAGCTACTTAGAGACATCCATGATACGACAAGGCCCGAAGACCTGATGCGGCCAGCGTTATTCGTGGTGAGAGATGATAGAATTCAACTGGGGGAGATGATTATGCAGATGGTGATCGGGGAAGAATGAGGCCAGCCTGCCCCGGCGTTGTATGCATGGAATGCTTGGCAGATTGCAACCTCAGGCACCCACCTTCATACCAATCGACAAATCACTATTCTGACCAGACATGCAGACTTTGAGATCAACCGTGCCAACTTCTCAGCTAGAAATAGTCGCCCTGTGAGTCTCATGAAATTCGTTATCCACGACCCATCGCACTCTTCGGTGGAAGCTGTCCTACATAGTACTTCGAACTCCGCAGTACGGACCGTGAACCTCCGCTCCACCGTCCTCATCAATCCTGGCAAATCTCACTGGTATATCACTAGGTGTGGGTAAAATCATAAACGTACTCCATATTGCCGCTGAGGGGAAGCTGGTGAGAATCGCTAATAAGATCTACCAGACCAACGCCTTCGAAAGTGAATACATCTGGTTCAAGAGGAGGCTGTGCTAGCTACAGCAAGCGTAGCCTCTTGAATATGGCATGTTGATATTTCGGTCTTGCTGCCGCTCTTCACTTCGCCCAAATAAACTAATCGGTTTACGAAGGCAAAGTAGCCTTGCTGTTGATAGCCAATCCTCTGGAGAAGCTCCCACGACTCAATCAAGCGACCCGTAAGCTATATACGAATTGCTACCATCGCCTGGTAGTCTGGTTGTACAGTAGACTGAGATATACGAGAAAGGAATAGAAGAATGAAACGAAGTGGAATTGAGGATGGTTTAAATACATATGAGCTCATGTTAGCTTCACCAAAAGGCTACTAGTCACCGGCCCTGCGAAGAAGGCTGAGCTCGTCGCCGGTGCCCCCCTCGACCCTCGTCCCCTCCTCCACCGGTCGCTCAACCAGTTAGCAGTTTCCACAGGATACAGACACTCACAGAACTAGCCCCCTCAAGTTCATGGTCTGCGCCAACCCACTCATGTCGAAAGATCGCGAAGATGAACCGCCTCCCAACCTTCAGGTAGAATAACGCCCCCGTCGATACCCTGAAGCGGTGGAATTAAGTATCGTCTCCTTGATTCGTTTCGAGCCCGGCCGTCCCTGGCGATTTGGTGCAGGGTTTCCCCCGTAGAAACTTGGCGAGATTTGTTCCTCCTCCGAAGATACAAACCCTTTACCCAAGGACCAAGATCGTAACAGAGTCGTCCAATTGCGATGAGAAAGGCGAGGCAAGAACAGACAGCAATGAACTTTTGGTAACCAGTCCAGGAAGACATGATGAAGATGAACGTATGATGGTAGCAGGGAAGTGGAAATTGGAACTGATGGAGAAAGGAAAGAAAAGAAAGAACACAACATTGCTGGGAGGAAAGGCTCTTAATGCAGGGCTGTCGTAAACACTCTGCGTTGGAAGGAACAGAGAAGGCAGCTTCCTCGATATAATAAATTGGAAAGAAGGAATAGAACAGACGGTTTCCTAATTACATTGGCCTGGGGAAAGTGCAAGGAGAAGAAATTTCCCGGGTGTTGCGTGGATTCTGGTCGTTCACCTTCTCTTCCTGGCCTTTGCTAACTGCCGAACGCTCCTCCTAGGCAACCCCCCAGATCAAGCGTGGTTTCATGATGGCTTCACGAGTTTCCCGAGCAGAGCTTCCCCTGAGTGAATCAAATTTTGTTAGCGCGAAAGACCATTTGAGTATCAGGGAGTCAAGTCCATCTCACCTCCATGAGAGCCCGATTGCTGCTTTCTAGGCTCTCGATGCGCTTCTTCATGCTCCATGTCTTCCGATTCGTTAGCTCAGCCCTCGCTATGAAATGAATTTGCTGCAAACACACCTCATATTGTAGATACATGATAGAAGCAACCATAAAGAAGGGGGTTAGAAGTATGAGTGTGTCCCATACTCCCATTTCGATGACGCGAGTGAAGTGATGACTAGCAGATTATCGGTGGTCAGTACTGCGACAAGTGAGTCTTATCAACTTACTGGGACGCGGCCTTGGTAGACTGTCTGGGCACTTGAATGGATCAATGAAGTGAGTGACCAGCTATGATGAAATTTGATGGAGCAAGGCTTCACTGATGGGGAACGTAGCTCGGTGTAGAGAAGAGGGAGGGAAGGCCGGTTAACCGGTTCCAGATTGGGGACTTGGCAGGAAATGACTAATCGGCCATCTTGATGTTCGCTGGTTATTCATCTACTTGGCGATTCATATGCAAATTGAAAGGCTCCACGATCACAGTAAAATGCGGTGAAACCATATTATCTTTTGGACCACTGATCCTGGCCTGTATGGCCTTGCACCTGTCCAACAATTAGTCTGCATGTCAGTTGACCCGCAGTGGATCGGCTTGGATCGTCTCGCTGTAGAGCTAAAATTCTACACTTGCAGTTCGGTCATTATCATCCCCACAAGAAAATCCAAATTCTTACAACATGAAGTGGCAACTGGCTTGTGGCATTTGAAAATTGCAGAGGTCAGCAGCGAAGACTACAATACCAGGATCTCCGGGGCCATGTGCATATGTCCCCTATGTTTCTGTTCAAAACTATCTCGAAAGAGCCTGGCTCTTGTCGTAGCGCAAATTCCTCCCCATAAACGCATTCCCACATGAAAGTGGAGGATTTATCGGTTCCATCGGTTCTGGGTGCAGACAAGAAACCAGACCCAGCTTCAGCGAAGAACTTTTCAAGCCAGCTCCTAATCTCCTTGCGTGGGCATGTAGAACGTTTTTCAATCCTCGGAGCGCTCGCTTGTGTACCTAATCCCTCGAACACGTATCGACTACGCACGTGTAAGCTCTGGGTTCTTTGATTGACCCAGAGCGTATTGAAAATATCAACCTTCAGAAATGGATGGTCATTGAAGGCGCAGTCGTGAAAGAGGCTGATCCGTCGTCTGTTAAAGCTTGGGTGATATAGAGCCTTGTTGTAGAAATACTCAATTCCCGGATGTGCGGTTTTCCGAGCCACCTCGATTGTCCCGATCAAGTCCGATTTATCGCTAAACGACATGGACAGACATGGGCAAATAGAAACTTCATCGACAGGCCGTGTCAAGCGCATTTGTAGACAGATTTGTTCCCCCAATAGGAAGTTTTCATGGCTGCATAGCACTTGGGTTAATCTGCTCCAAATACTAAAACGTCGGTGGAGGACCCAACAATGGCTGCAGAATTTCCAGCATTCATTCTCCAGCCGAAGAAGTAACTGATGCCTTTGTCTCTGCTTGTCATTAGGACACAAAATCGATGGTCTTTCGCGTGGTAGGAGTCGCGGAAGCCGCATTTGACGAGCTGGCAGGGATGCACGGAGACATTCTAGAACATATCTGCAACTTAGAGCAAGGCAGACCTGATCAGGGATGGAGAGAAATGTAAATAATAGTGAGATTAGTTCTGGCGGCAGGTTTTGTATATAATCTTTCTTTTCCTGCGAAGGAAATGCTAGAAACTGAAGAAATTGCATTCTTGCGCGAGATAGAATGATTATTGGCTTTATCACGTTGGGTGCCTTCATATTTTGGGGCAAAATACGGGTTGATCAAAAGTCAATCTGTTCCACAGCTGACACCAAAATGAGAAAAAGAACAGGGAGGAGCAGGGGATAAAAGATGAGTCATAAGAACACGCGGTGACGTTTTCCGGCATCATTCGTCTCCCCCATCCCATGTTTTTGTCGACCGGTTCCTGTTTGAAATACTCCAGACCGGCACGATAAATCCCATTATCTACTGGGGCATAACGCTCGTTCAGAATCCATTATATGAACAGGGCATCTAGGACTATTGCTCTTGAGCTTCTCCAAGGATATCCAGATAGCGTTTAGGTCTGTGTCCTAGGCCTTATCCTCTTCCAGGATGTAGGGCACGCACTGCGCATTGAGAAGGGAAAGAGTGGCAATGTTATGCAGCCTATCTTCTAGCCCGGGGCTTTGCCCTATTTAAATCGGCCAAGGAGCTTGTCCATCATGTATCCGTCTCTGATTCTCTCGGCGGCTGGTGATTATCTCTACGGCTTAGAAGAAGGATGCGGGGGTTAGGACGATATGAGAAATGTAGTAATGGAACTGGAGAAGGGAAAGTGAGTATGGACACGAGAGAAATTCAAGAGAGTCGAACATACGAGGGGCAGATACAGCAAAGGATAGTGAAAGGCGAGCAAGTTTCAATCACTCACACTGCGATTGGAAATCTATTTCTGCCGCTCAACAAGTTCAATGAACTGCCTAGAGAGATCAAGACGATCATCCAAGACTGCTTTGTCTCCAGAGCATTCACATATTACATCTTTAGCAGTCTGTAAATACTGTCTTTGAAATGCTGTCCAGTGCTTTGTATTCGGCCGTGGAGTGAAGGGATCATTCTTGAAGAATGCATTGACCGCTTGCTGGACACCATCCAAGTCCATAGAGAGAGAATGACAGAGATCAAAGTCTAACATCCACATGGTATGCTTCCCTAAGACATTTGTGATCGTCGTATAGTCCTTGCTATTGCTCTCATCTCTCCTAGGTAATGGAGCCAAAACGAACTCCACGTCGTTGCCATCCATCTCCCCAAGCCAGTGCAGCGTAGCCAAAGCTTCTCCCATCATAGCCGCGTAGCAATCAATATCGTCAGACGGTATTCCCAACTCAGTCATTTGGTCTACATGTAGCGGGAAATTCTGCAGACAGAAGCCTCGGAATTTAGAGCGCATATTCATTGCCGTTCGATAGGTGCGTTGACGGCCGATATAGGGCCTAATAAGACAGGCCTGGTTACTCGAACTGGCCATAATATGGAGGCGAGTTTCAGGTGGAAGCCGACAGTATTTCTCCACAAGAAGGCCCCTGATATCTTGGGGGAACGGGGGTATTCGGTCGGAGCAGATAGCGTCGCAGGGTAAATAACCAGGTGGAAAGAATGGGAGATTCTCTATCCACCAGGTTGTGTCTTCTGGCTCTATGTAGCGGTAGCACTGTGGGATACTGACTTGAGGATGCTTGCGACAGCCCTTGATAAGTTCTAGTTGCTTGAAGGCATCCAGCGCGCGTTGATGCATTCTCCAGTCATTTGCGAGTGATCGGGCTGGCCCCCCATCTTCACGTTTGATGGCGGGACCATCATGACCTCTGGCCCAGACAGTTCCACAGAAGCCGGACCCGATCTTTTGATAGACCTTTTGAGACATTTGATGAGTAATCATAGCATGTAATGTGTTCTGCTGATAGTGAAGTGCTAAGCGGAGGCGGGGAGGATGTACTCCTAGGATCCAAGTAGGCAGTGGTATGAGTCATCTAATGACCAAGGTGAGCATCATATCAAGTTTGACTCCTCACAAATGCAAGAAGACCTAGATCTCTGTTTTTCTATTGTCTTGCTCAAGTTCATCTTTCTGCACTGCACAGGTAAGTTAATATTCATCATTTTATCTAAGTAGTTACTCGTCGGTCTAGTCCTATTGGAGTTTAGTGCATATGTGACCCACAGTGGTCCTTAGGTCGCTGCCTAGTCAGCGGTCATTGCCTGCTTCATAGAAATTCGCCAGTTCCATCCTTATTTATTCGTCTCTCATCCTTGAATAGTGGTAGTTACGTTATTTCCGCTGACACTTCTGTTTTTCCTCCATTCTTTTCTCCCAGGCATCTGTCAACTCTCGGCCCAATCTCTTTCCAAAAACATGGCACTCGACTATCTCCCCTCATGGGGCCAACTCCCCGCCGAGCAATATCTAATCGTGAGACTCCTGTCCCTCTAGAATCTAAACCTATTATTCATATTTAAACTACAGCAATTCTGGAACCCCGCATCTACCGAACAACCATCCACGCAACGCGCACGCCTAGTCAAGCAATTCCTAAATCTCGACCAGTTGAACTCAGACTGGGACCCAACAGATGGTGCTACCAATCCAGACGCTCAACCCGCCCGCATCCCGACTGAAGAAGAAATAGCTATAATCCTTCGTCCTTGGCGGTCCGATCATATACGTCGACTAGCCTGGCGCGTCTGGGAGGTTTATACTAATAAAGGTGGTAATAACCCACTCCTGCTGAGGACGTGGTATAACCCTGATGATGATGAGCGCGTGAAGAGTTGGGCGACGCTCTCGGAGGAATTCGCCGATGATGCGGACTGGGCGCTTCTAGATGACCGCGCCGTCTTTGATTTTGGAACTGGTCCCTGGCAGCAGGTACTCGAGATTTTGCCGGAAATTGCTGTCCGTCTTTCTCAAGATAACCAGTGGGTCCGCCGAAAAGATTGGCGCGTGAATGATGAATGTGGGTTCTACTCTGATTTTAAGGAAGAGTTGAACGAGGTCAAGCGGTCGAACTCATCGTGGAAAAACGACTTGAATATTCTCGTTAAAGAGAACGCTGCCGCGCAGAGTTACTTGCATTATATATCAAGGAGCTACATCTTAATCGCGGATAAAGAGGCTTTTGAGACTGATCACTTTTTACTCGCTTATCTTGATACGAAAGGAAGAGTTACGATGCAGGGGCGGATTCTTATCGACGAAGATAGACTAGGTGAGGTTTCGTTGGAGTGGTTTGAAGGAAGGGCTCCGGTGGAGGTTTTTGAGGAGGGTGAGCTTGGTGCAGAATATGTTGTGGCTGCTGGGAATGGAGCGGATCGTGATGTGTATTACTGGACGAGGGAGGATTTGGAGGATGATCCGCCGCCATTTGGTGATGAGGAGGACCAGCTCTAGCAACCTGCTACTCCTCCAGCCCTCGGACCTAGTACAAATCTAAACTCTTTCAAATGCGGCGAAGACTTCCATCTTGCAAAAAGCTGCCCATTCTCCACCAAGATGCTTCGCAGCATCTTTCCCCTCTCCTCTACATTAGGACACTCCCTCTCATATCCTCACATCTGGCTCCATGACCCCTAAGGCCTCCCTCAGCCACAATGAGTTAGGTAAGCTGTGTCTCGATTGCTCGTCCCGGCTTCATTGACGGCTCTCTCAGCGCTACCGCATTCTAACACGATGGGCGTCGCCGATAGCGAGTTGTTGGCATAAAGCATACTTGAAGCCTGCTACATGGCCGAATTAGATCAATAGTCATTATGGGGAATAATGTATAGTCCTTGTCTCCGAATCAGCCATTGTACGCTCACAGATGAAAATCCCACAAGATGTTCAAACAACCTTTAAGAAGCTCTGTCAACACATCCCTCCTGCTCTACGTGGTACCAACCATCGTTTTAATTTTAACAAACCGAGTGTTCGTCATAGTTCCCGTATACAAGTTGTGCACGACCTGTAGGATACAACATTGGCGATGCAAGGCATTTAGGATGCATAGCTATATATAGGGAGTTCTATAATTAAGCCATTCATGAGATAGTAGTGTCTTCTGGTCTAAAAATATTCAAAGTGGCCCAAACCTCCTTTTGCGCCATGAACCCGGCTGGAATCTGCCATGTTTCTGCATCGTGTATTGGAGAATAAATGAGTTCATATGTCCGGCTAATCCGAGATCATGAGATTGTACGATATATCCCACTGTTTACCTCTCTCTAGTACATACGATCACAGGGTGTGGAGAACAGGGCTTCCCGTCCGCTCAGCCGTACTTAAGCCACACGCCGGCCGGTTAGTAGTTGGGTGGGTGACCACCAGCGAATCCCGGCTGTTGTATGTTTTTCTTTTTTTTCTGTTTTCTTTTTTGTCGCTCAGCAGAAGGTGTATTTTCATGCCAGTCGTTGTGAAGCTGTTGGCGGTCGACCCTCATTCGCTGGATCACTATTTGCAATCTATATCCATTATGCGCGGCAATAGAATACGGTAGGATCGCGGCTCGCGGCCTCAAGTATAAGAGTGGAACCGAGAGAGCAAATCGGGCGCGGGACCGCGCTGTACTGAAGTGGGTATTGAATAATTCCCTTTACCAGAGGAATTCGACAGCCAAACGCGCTTTCGTCAGTTTGTCGCTATCGTGATCCGGCAGCTGAGATATTGTGTCTTTAAGAGAGAACAAACCTGTGCAACTTCGCACGTCTGATTCTTTCCCTTTATCGGAAGGAATTTCCATACTACCACATGAGCTCGAAATCAACCTTCAATCCGAAATTAACGCTTTAGAGGCTCGAAAGAACTCTACCCATATCCTGGAAGAGATCTTGAAAGATGACGAAAGTGTCCAGATAGCTGGTGTCTAGTCCAACGGCCAGCTCTGTAGTGAAGTCCTGTAGAAGCTTCACCGATGTTTGAAAAGGCCCTTTGAAGGAATATACTAATCTAGCTTTATCGAAAATCCTAAGATAAGCAGTATTTGTTCTCTGTTCAGATCCAGGGCAGTAGATAACAACCTAAACTTTGGATTTGAGTAAGACTCAATCTGATATGAGCAAAGGCGATTATCCATCTTCATAGCCCATGATAAATGTGGGTCTTGCAGCGCGGTCTCTGTTTGTCGGGTAAATGAAGGTCTACTACGATTGCCGGAACGTTGTTGATATATGTTGTTGATGCAGGAGATTTCCACGTATTTTCACACAGGTGACGCCGTGAATTGGTCGTTCGGAGTCATCTTCTGAAACTTCCTTTGAAGCAGAAGGAATTGATGCTCAGCTGGGTCAGCGAGTCGCTCATCCCCATCCTCTTTCTTCTAACCTCCAGGGTTCATTGCCTCACCCATCAACGCACTTGATCTTCACCCACCCAATTGTTGTTTATTCGCAAGCAGACCCTCATCCTGTCCTTTTATTACACAGCGAGCGAAAATGGTTCTTCCCGTCTACGTCACTCCTTTTGACGTCTCCTACGCTTCCACCTTGCCTGATGGAGACGAAGGAGGACTGTCCCCCGCTCAGAGCTTCTGCTCAAGACATTCGAACAGATCCTCAAGTAATAAAAACCCGATTCCAACATGGGACGGGTTCATCGAGGAGGACCTTCGCGTCGGTGGACCAAATCTTTGTGAGGAGCCTTGTGAGACAATCAACAAAATTCCAGAGGACCACCCGTGTTACACTGCTCTGGCTAGCTCTGGCAGAGTCTATCTCGAGTGCGAGCTTTTCCACCTTGTCCGCCAAACCGACTTCAAGATAGAATAATCCGCTTCTGCGGAAAAAGGTCACTTTTTGAGGCCAGTCAAGCCCCGTCCGCGACTGTGTTGGTTTATGGATGGCTGGGTGCAAACCATGGGCGAGGCCTGATCGACGTTGTGAGAGAAAGTCACCAACGCGTGCAACAAGAAGGTTTTACCGAGGTCAAGGTTGAGATGATTGATAATTGTTACCGCCAGGCCTTGAAACTCTTTCCCTGCTTGCCAAGCGATGCGATTTATCCTATCTGGACAGATGTGGTGAACAGAATTTTTGAAACCCTTGATGTATCGGGTGTGTACACAATCGGTTGCTACCGCATAGGAAGCGATAGTCGTCACAGATGCTCGCCAACGATCCTTATCGGAGTTGACTGGAGATCGAGTCGCAAGTGGAAGTCATTCTGAGAAGCGTTGGTGAGAATGCTAGATAGCTTTGGGTTGACAACCGTTGCCGTTCTGTTACGAAAGGATACTGGTCTCTTGAGACAGGACGAGCGTACAACTATTTTTACCACAGATAATCTTGTTGCCAAATGTACAAAGGAGGTTGACCTAGGGTATAGCGTTTGCCCGCGCAAGCAAGCAGGGGGTCGTGGCACTTTCGGTGGCTGGGTAGAGCTACGAAACCCCAGCACCGGCGCCTGGGATACATTCGGCATTAAATGCGCCAACTGCGTTCTTCCTGATGAAGAAGGCCTTCTGCCAATGGAAAGTACATGTAAGGAATTATTTCATCCCGCATATAGCTTGTGCTAACAATGGAATAGTGGTTGAGGGCAGGAAATGCAAAGGTGGTTCATTTTCTGATCAACAAGCATCTAAACTCCTGTATATCGATTCTCCTAGCCAATAAGAGCTCATACATGGAATTGGAACCCTCAATAAAGAAATGGATTGTTTGACGCAGGACGAAATACCCCATAAGGTCGAGATGGCAAAGGCCGATGGTGATTCTACCATTCCCCGGGAAGAAGAAAAATACTGGCGAACTAGATGCGATATAATAAAGACACTCAAGGAGAAACGATCCCACCTTCAGGGATTCCTTCAAAACGATCAATTCCATTTCGGTACCGTCGTGGCTGCCTCCGGCCTCATTGAAAGGCCATTGAAAGCAAATCATGCCAAGATACCTGACATGTCTGTCTCCATCATCGACTGGGCATTGATCAAGCCCGGTAACCGGTCCATCGGGAGTAACAAAGTAAGTTAATATACTTCGAAAACCAGTATACCTCCCTTACGCTTGTGTCTGACGGTGTATAGGTTCCTTCCCCGATTGGACCCATTCCATTAAACTTATTCGATGCCCCCAGGCTCGAGAACAAGCAGGTGCTGGCGAAAGTTGGTTGCGCCTCGGGCTATACTGAGGGTCTCTACAGTGGCCTGAAGGTAGCAGTAATTTCGCGACACACGCTCAACGGACAGGAACAAGAAGTGAAGACCTGGGAGCACTCCATAACCCCTGCGTCTTTCGAGGATGAGTTTGCGGTTAGCCCGCATGAGATCATTAAGTATGGCGACTCTGGATCCCTCGTATATGGATTAGTAGGTCGTTTGGTCGCGATGTGTTTTGGCGGCAGCTACAGCGGAGATATCCTTTATTTCACCTACATCGGAGACCTGATCGAGAGCATTCGCGAAACCCGCGGAGACTCTGAAGTCCGCTTTCGAGATTGAGGTGAACTCCTCTTCCAATCATGGTTTTCCCTTGGGTTTTCATGTACCTTCCTACGAGCCTTTTACTGTTGCTAGATATCTTGCCCAGAGACTTTTGGTTCTTAACCAAGCTGAGAATTACTGGCGAGCTTTCTGGGTCTTTTCATCTCTTCTGCTTAGGGAGATAGAATCTTGATGAAAGTCTGGAGAACTGGGATAAGAAATGGAATCTTGCGGACTATCCATCTATGGTTCCCACATTAGAGCACTTTCCTGAGTTCAGGTGGTAACCTAGGAGCCCTAAATTTGAGCTTATACACTCAAATATCAGGGGAACCATTGAAGCAGAAAGTTCTTACTGAATGCAGATCTACTCTAGTAAGAAGTGCATAACTAGCTGGCCTCTGCATTCGGTTGTGGGGTTTATCGAACTACATGGTTTAGGCCTGCAGTAAGTTTTGTGTAGCTTGTACATACCTCTAAAACCATAAAAGTATTCCTTGTTTCAGATGGCTCTTCATCTAGATTTATTCGTATGAGATCATGAAACCCAAAAATCTATAGAATGACTCAAGAAAGAGAACGAGGCATTGATTGAAATGTTTAACTTCTCGCATACATATATAACCTGTGATTTATTCTACCCACCCCAGCTACCCCAAACATATACACATTCTATCATAATCATTTAAAAACGCGCTTATAATCATGACCATATTCCAATTCATCCCGAAAAGCATTTCCAGTCCCACTATAGCTTCGCCGCAGGCTGCAACAGATGCTTCATCTCGGCGTTCGGGTACTCCACGTTTTCAGACGAATCAGGACGCTGTCGATCCCAGGCCCATTTCTCCTCCAATTCGGGCGTCAACTCGCCCTCCAGCATCTGTACGACGTACTTTCCAAGCACGGGGAAGAACTTGTAGCCGTGGAACGAACCGCAAGTGGCGACGTAGAGTCCCTTTGAGGCCGAGTGAGGAGAGATGATGAAATCGGAAGTTGTGGTGAAAGCGTCCCTTTTAGTTGTCAACAATTTGTCCATCGCCATGGTCTCTGTAGGCTAGATACTCACCAGCAGATTCGGTGTTTCGTCATCTCCCAATCCGCGCTCGCGGGCCCATACCATAGATTCCGGGACTCGACAATGTCCTGCCTCAGAGGCCCGGGGACCTTCCACTGGTTGTAGTCGAATGTGGGCGGAGGGGAAGAGATGTGACTCCCAGGAACTACCTCACGAGTGTTTGTGAAGATTTTAGAACCCCACCACTTCATCTCTCCGTCCTTCGTAGGAGGGAGGGTACCAATGAAGGGCTTGCCTGTGAACAGTTAGCGGGTTTCGCATTCATGCAAATACATCAGAACATCTTACCCTCTTCGGGCGTGTAGCCCTGGAACCCGACCGGCATGTCCTTGTACTTCTTATACTGCGCCTCATTGAGCTGAGCCATTCCCGTCGTGATACCAGCAGCCAGAATCCGCTCTCCAGCCCGCAAACCAGGATTCCCGCTCGCTGCCGCGCTCCATTCCAATAACGTGGGCGTGAAAGCACCCGCAGCGACGACAACGCGCGTAGCCGACAAGACCTGACCCGATTTTGTCTTAACACCAGTACAAGAGCCACGACCGTCAAATTCCAAAGCGGCAACGTCAGCCGTCACATACTTGACGCCCAATTCAAGACACCGCTTTGTGACAGCCCTCAGTGAATCGCCGGCAGCAGCCCAGCCACTGGCCCGATTGATCAGAACCTCCTTGACCCCGGTATAGTCCGCATTATCGAAGATGCCACCGTACAGCTTCCGGGCCTCAGCGACCGGCAGGGCGATGATGTCGTCGTCGCGACCGAGCTCCTTGTGGTTCGTGATGACGTTCTGGGCATAGCTGCTGCGACAGGTCCAGTAGACGCCGGTCTGGTGGAAATAGGGCTGCCAGAGAGGATCCGTCTTGAAGATGTCTTGCGCCTCGAGAGCGAGCCGGCAGTAGACTTTGTCGTCGTAGTCGGCGCGCACCACCTTGTTCCAGTCCCACGAGGCAGCCACGCGGGAGTCAGCATCGTATGCATCCCGGTCTACTAGAGTGACCGACGCATTGGGATATTTCTGGATGAGGTGGTAGGCTGTGGATACGCCAAAGACGCCCGCGCCGATGATAAGGTAGGAAGCGTTGTTTGAGGTCATGGTGGAAATGGTTGAGAGTCGGGAGCTGCACAATGCGACGGCAGCTGTTGAACACTAGGAGACGGACAAAGAGGAAGGGATTGGCAATTAATCGGAGCGAATTGACTGTCTTATCTTTCTTTCCAGACTCAAAGCATCTTCATTGACCGCGACTCTCGTTCGTGCGGGGTTCATGCGGAGCTGGAGAAGAAACGGACCGCGACGGACCGTCGGTCCTTGTTAGAAGACTGGATGGGGAAGTTGAATGCAGGGGTAATATACTATACACCACTAAGAAGTAGGGACAAGCTAGGTGATCCCGCTGCTAGGCACGACCGCATCGGAGGGTGCCAACAAGTGTCTAGACCGAGTAGTTGGAGTCCATGTCAATCGATCTGGATGATGTCAATCAGTAGATAGTAGCATCCAGCTAAGCCTAATCGGGGCATCCGGTCCCTCCGGTCCGGGGACGGCCCGGCGGCAAAATGCTTAGCCGAGGGAACTATTCGCCGTTTTGGGTTATCCGGAGTACAATGCAACCGATAACTATAAGTCGTATCACTAGGATCTACTCAGTATGAGCTTAAATTTATTCTTGAATAGAGATATGGCAAGATTTGAATTCATACTACGATCAAATCTACTGTTCTTCTCGGAATGAGGCGAAATGACAACCAGTCAAGGACACGTTCTACTTATACTGCTTCCATTGATCTATGTACATATCTTTTTGCCGTACGTCCCCGCTACATAGCCTCTTTTTTTCCGTTGACTATTCTAAAATTTTTATGAAGTTCCCAAATTTTGCACTAACTAAAAAAAATAAGGTCTATGTACAGTGTCTAAATCCTCATGTAGGTTAATAGAGTACATATGGAAGGGTTAGTATTGGCACGTGATGCGCGGCCAACATCACGGTGTGTCGATGCGACTTCTTCGCCAATAGTATCGAAGCTTTTTTTCTCACCGACTGGAACACTAAACCTGGTCTATACCCAGCGACCGATGTCGAGAATATGGTCTTTTGGGTCTACTCAGATAGCTGGACTCTCTACCGAATGAGTATGGTGGCAAGCCCTTAACGAACCCATCGCTCTGATAAAAAAAAAAAAAAAAAAAAAAAAAAAAAAAAAAAAAGAAGAAAAAGAGAAAGCTGCAGTACAAAAAATAACGTCACCCTAGTCATCTACAACCCGAGGACTCGCCAGTACCACCTCACAGGAATTGCTCAGTTGAGGAAACAGGTATACAACCGGTTCACGGTTCCCTGGGATCCCGAGAAAGGGGTCATAGGGATTCCCCAAGAGAACGACCCGCAATTTGTCTCTCCGGTGGTGCTCGACCTGCCGTGGGAAAATTCTCTACTTACTTCCAAGAAGAGCCACGGCATCGTAGGTTACCTCATTCACCCTGCCTGTTGGCGGCTGGTTCAGATGTGTCTTGGACAGAATGTGGGGGAGAAGCGAAATCTAAGGCTTCTTTCTCGTGTCCTGCAAAGCAGGTATAATAGCATGAGGGATGACCCAGATACGCTCAAGATATCAAAAATGATGGTGTTCAATGGTACGATGCTTCCTTCCTTAAGCTTTGCAGCTTACCATTTCCTGGACCTTGTTCATACTGAGTACCGCATTAACTGTTTCGGTTTATAGAAAATCCTATCAGATCGAACCTCGTCCGGTCATTGATTCAACAGGCCAAGGTGGGCGACGCGGGGAAGAGACACCGAATTCGAGTGTCACCTAGAAATCCGCCGGTAGTATCACGGTTGGAATTTTTACCCGCGGAATTCCAGGTTGCCATTATGGATTACTTGGGATATAAAGACTTGTGGAGAGTCCAGAAAGCTATTCGATGGACCCTCCCAGTGTCATACTGGAGGACCCGCATTGACACTTGGCTTTTCTTTGAGGTGAAGGAAGTGCTCGGTGATGAGGACATTGACTGGCAGTTCCTAGCTCTTCGACTGGAAGAAGAGGCCGGACCTGTCCGATTATCCCTGCGTGGTCCTCTCAAGGGTCTCGTCAGGGACTTTGAACGGTTACTGAACGAGGACCAAAGTGGATCATCTGTATGACTTGGCACGGACGTATCCTGGTAATCGGTGGTCAACGAAAGAATTAATGTGGTTTTTGAGGGTCATCGGAGAATTAACCGCTGTATGATGGGCATGGTTGGGTGTTTGGGGTGGAGCAGATTCGCCCTAGGACTCACTCATAGTCTATATGTAGCGCTGCGTCATACTGCCCCGTCTTTGAAAGTACTCGCCATTTTTATTGAACCAACCATCCTTACAGGCATATCAGACACCATATCAGTGCGGACGCAAATATGACACTGACCCTCTTCATCGGCAATAAACGCTACTCCTCATGGTCAATGCGGCCTTGGGTCCTCCTCAAAGCCCTCGAAATTCCCTTCGAAGAAAAGGTCTACTTCTTCAAACCCGGCGCCGTGCAGCAAGACTTTCTATCTTTCTCCCCGACGGCCAAAGTGCCCTGTTTACACGATACTCCCACCTCGATCGTTGTCTGGGACTCGCTCGCCATATGCGAGTACATCGCCGAGAAATACCCCACCGCCTGGCCGGAAGATATTGTTGCGCGTGCATTTGCTCGAAGTGCGTCTGCCGAGATGCATTCTGGGTTTTCTGAGTTGCGAAATACGTGCCCGATGAATGTTGCATCGAAGACCGAGTTAGGAGTGCGCAGCGAGGGGCTTCAGAAGGATATCGCTCGGCTCAACGCATTGTTCGAGGAAGGATTGACGAGATTTGGCGGGCCTTGGTTGGCAGGGAAGGAATTCACTATTGCCGACGCCATGTTTGCTCCGGTCGCTTCGCGGTGCAGGACTTATGGCATTCAGCTAGAGGGCAGAGCTGGGGAGTATGTGGATCGGCTGTTCCAGCACCCTGCCGTGCAAGAGTGGGTTCGCGGGGGAATTGAGGAAGGAGCACAATATTACGCGGGTCTGCCTTGATTATACACTTTGAGTATTTTATTATATAATGAGCACTGGTATTGCAGCTTCAGTGAAGGAAATGAGTGAATCTGTTGACCTCCAACTGTATACCTCCCTCCCGATTAGGACTAGCGTAGATCCAGACAAAACAAACAAACAAACACTACGTCAGAGGGTCTACCGAGCGATAAATATCATCCCATTTCAACTCCACTCACCTTCCTCCGCTCATCTCCATGTCCGCCAACAGCACCATCCTAGGCGACTCCTGGGTGGTCGAGGCGGCCGCTACGCCGCCGCCGAACAAGCACCGGCACGAGGCTAAACAACTCTCCAGTGCTCCAGCCCCGCGTGCCACTTCCGACCAAACAAAGAAATCCCCGTCGTCGCCCAGCGATACGAGAACTAGTGACTATGGATCCGAGTCCATGGCGACCTCGGTCTCCTCCGTCTCCGGCCCGGAGCTGATCATGCCGTCGATCTACGAGACGCCCGTGCCGGAAGGGTCCTGGATAGCGCCGAACGTGCGATCGCCCCAGCACACGATCAAGCGCAGACATCACGGCAGGGAGAGGACGCAGGCAAATCCCTCGAATACATCGCCGCAAAATGACCAAAGTGCTCAAGGAGACGGCGAACTAAAACAAGATCAACACCCCCATAATGTCCCCGACAGTGACAACAACAAACCATCCTTGCTCCACCGTCTACAACCCACCCTCCGCATCCTCCTCAACGCCCTCCTCCTCGCATCAATCGCCCACCTCCTCGTCCTCCCCGAACTCATCACGCAACACCAAACCTTCTTCTGCTCCATCCCTGCCTTCCCATCCCTCTATCCCTCCAGCTGCTTACCCCCTCACTTCCTCCTCCCGAACAACCCCATCCAATCATTCACCACCACCAAAGCAACAAGTCCCAACCACCCGCCACTTACGCCCGAAGAACAACTAACCCTCCACGCCACGCGCCTCGAACGCCTCTTCTCATCCACCCTGAACACACTCACCCCGCTCCCTCCCGTGCTCAAACAAAGCGAGTCGCGTCTCCGCACCCTGCAATCCGACCTCCGCACCGCCTTCCGCGGAAGTCGTCATGAACTTGAACTCGAATTCTCAGGACTATGGGACGCCGCGCGCGCAGGGACTCGGAAACTCGATTCCCTGAGCGCGGATCTACGGTCCGCGGTGGATAATCTCATCGCGACGAATGCTGACACTACAGCACCACCGTCGCCGCCACGAGGAGGCGGAGCACCTGCACCCGCTGATAGTGTTAACGGGGGAGGAAAAGGCGGAGGCGGGGGACACGGATACAGACACGAGGCGGCTCGCGTCAACGCCAACGCGCACGCTAAAGCACAAGCCCGCGCCGCCCAAATAACATCGGCTCAACTCTCCCGCCGAGAAGCGTACCTCGATCAGCTGACGTTGCGAATGCAAGGGAAGGCTGACGCGCTAGCTAGCGATCTCGCGACCGTAGAGGATCATTTGGAATCAATTGAGAGGATTATTTTGAGAGAGGACGGCTCCTCATCCTCCCGACCCTCGTCCTCTCTAACCCGAGAACAGAAACAAATCCAAAACCAAGAAAACAACCACGACGGACGAGCAGGAAGAAACCTCGCCCAAAACCTCATCACACACCTCCAATCCCTCCGAACCGAAGGCCTAGGACTGAAAGCGCTAGGTCTAGGAAGAACAGGAGGAGGCGTTCACCAACCCCCCTCATCACACGAGTCCTCTGGCACGGACCCCTCGAAGCACGAGACATTCCTCGCAGCAACGAAAGGCCATCGCGCTGTTGCGGAGGCGGTCCGAAACCTGTCTCAGCGGTTAGATGCGGTGCAGGGACGGAAGAGTTGATCTAATCGACCTATCCTGGTCTGGTCTATTTTGGTTATGAATGATGGGGGTTTATTTATGGTACTACCTAGGGATACTACCTAACTAACTAACGAGTGAGATGATTGACATGAATTAAGTTGAACGGAATGGAATTGAATGAACGATCAAGACATTTATCTATCTTCCACACTATCTCTACCTAATCTTACCTGGTGAACTAGTAAACCAGCTAATCCAAAGCAGCGATAGTCAACTCCGGTACGACCAAAGATAAGACAACCAACCCACACAGCACACTACCTATTTTAAGGCAAATTCCTATTCCGTCCCCGTGACCGTGCCATGACTTTATGACTAGTCCATTTATAGCCTGTCAGTGTCTTTCCTTATCAAAAGCCAGGTATGAGACATTTGTCAGACAGTCCCAAGACAAGACAAGATTAGACAAGACCAACAAAAATAAAAATAACCGGCCCAGCCCAACCCAAATGGAGGAATGAATCATGTACACTGATACGATACAATATCCAATGTCATATTTGAAGAAGAAAAAAGCTATTAATATTATCGTGTCAAGTAACAATTCCGGTCCAATAATCCATCAAAGACATCACTAGAGTCGACTGAACCAGCTAGTCAAGTACCCTTCCATTTCCATTTCCATTCCATTCCATAAATAGCATATCCGTCATCCTGTCCATTGCCGCAATCCAGCACGGAGTCCGATTCAATCAAGACAAGCGCATTCAAAACAAAGGGCCAATCTCAAAAATAGACGGTCGCTTTCGAGCTATGGGCAGCTCCGCGCTTTGTTATGTGTCTGTCTGTATGTACTTAAAACTACATCAAAAAAGTGGTTAACGATACAAAGAACCAGCGGGAGTGGATTCAATCCAATCTCCCTGAAAATAGAGACAAGAAAACGGTCGGCCAAAACTCCCCAAAAATATTACGTTTTGGCTTAAGACTCTCCTCCCCTCACCGTCTGCGACACACTCGTAAATTCCTTACAACTGCAGCATGGCGGTCATCAGACCCAGAATGGCCAAGACCATTGAAGTGCCGGTCGAAGGAGAAGCGGCTCCGTGGAACAGGCTAGGGGAAGGACTGGCGCCAGAGACGGAGCCGGAAGGAGAGGGGGTGCCCGAGGGGCTGACGCCGCCAGCAGGGCTCGAGCCGATGACAGAGCCGGAGCCAGAGCCATGGCCAGCGCCAGTCTCGCCGCCGTGTTCGGCAGAGCCGGTCGAGGTGCCGGAGGACGATCCAGAACCAGAGCTGCCGGTGGTGGCAGCGGCGCCAGTCTGGGAGGCAGCGCCAGCGCCAGTCTCGGACGCAGCCCCAGCGCCAGACTCGGAGGCAGTCTCAGCGCCAGTCGCAGAGGCGGCACCGACGCCAGTACCAGTCGCGGTAGAACCACCGGTGGTCGTGGCACCGGCAGTGGTGGTAGCGGCCTCGGCCTCGGACTTGGTAGAAGCGGAAGAAACGCTGGTGGTCAAGGTGGTGCCGGCGCTGCTGACTTCGGAAGAGGTGCTCGACGACTCGGAGACCTTGGCGTCGCCCTTCTTGATGCTGCCGTAGCTGCCGCTGTTGTCGGTGTAGGTGTAGGACGAGGCGGGGTTGTAGTTGGTGACCTTGACGGACTTGACGTACATGGTGTAGGGAGCGCCGCTGTAGTCGGTCTCACCACCAGCCCACTGGATGGTGCCCTCGGCGTTGTCCGAGTCACCACCGGCCCAGATACCCAGTCTCAGACGCATGGGGGTCTGGGGGAAGCGAGTGCCGCCCTTGGCATCGTTGTAGGCGACGGTGCGCACGACGTTACCATCGATAGCCCAGGACATCTGATCCTTGGTCCAGTCGACCGTGTAAGTGTGGAAGGTTTCCTGGGGAGTAGCCACGGTCTCAAAGGTGGCACGGTCATAGGACGAGGTGTCGCCCTTGCCGAAGTAGTTGGTCTGGATTTGAGTGGTGTCTCCACCGAGAGCTTCCTGTATTCCATCGGGTTAGCTTCGTGTCATGCATGATGCAATGTGACAAGGAGCAAAGGGATAAGGGGGGAGGGGTTGCGAGGGGCATCGAGGGGTGTCAACCTACCCAGTCGATCTCATCGAGGACGTCCGACTCGAGGACAATGCTGCTGACAACTCCGGTTCCGGGCGCCGCCTTCATGGTCACCTCGACCTTACCGAAGAAGATGTGGAAGTTGGTGTCGATGGTGGGAGCATCACCCTTCTTGTTGATGGTGAACTCGGCTCCGTCCGAGCCAAAGGAGACCTTACCGCCGGTGGTCTTCCATTTGTCGAGAGCACTCTCGCCGGTAGTGAAGTCGGCGGTATATGAACCCGTATCCAGACCGCTAACGGGGTCGCAGGTCTCTGTTGCACATTAGTCCTCGTAGTAAAGATATATGGAGCGATTGCGGAGAACCCACTCTTCAAAGGGTTGCAGTCCGAGTAGGTCTGCGCCGAGGAGAAAGGAAGCACTGCGGACAGTGCCAGAGCGGCGTATTTGAAATGCATGGTGGCTAATTAATGAACACTGCTCTACACAAGAACGAGTGTGGGCGATCAAAGCCGGAACGAGAAAGACGGACGAGGTCTAGTCTTTGAATAAATAGCAAGCAACCGTTGCACAGAAGCTAGAATTGAACCGTGGAATGAGAGTTGCAAAAGAAAAGGGCAGCAAACAACAACAATAAGAGGGACCGTCTAGTCTAGGTAACAATGACCTCGTTGCTTGGGAAAGAAAGTTGAGTGAATGGACGGAAGGCGCTCGGTGACATGGGGTTACATTAATATATGCTGGGTAAGGCAGGTACCCCGTTAATCACTTGCGACTAGACCCGGACCATCCCCTGAACACTTGCACTAGAAAATAGTATTAAACAAGAAAAAGAAAACGAAAATAATAAAAAAAATAATGGGGCAGAAGGAGAGTTTTCCAGCCCCAAGAGGAGTGTCATTGGCGGCGCAGTCGTTGGACCTCCCCCCGGTTGAACCTGGCAGAGTTAATCCAGACAGGAACCGAGCGCTGAGAGGCCAGCGTCGTCACGACCTGGCGTGGTCAGACAATATGATTGACCAGCCTAAAGTCAGAGAGCAGCCGACCGATCCAGTGGAGCCCCCAAAGAAAAGGTGGGGACTGGACCCATTGATGGCGAACCCCTCGTCTACCCTGATAGGGGGATTTGACCGCGACTGGAGACTCACCTCCCCACCGATGAGGATCGTTTATTGAACCTGAGCGGCCGGGGAAGGCAGCACCGCGCAACGGGGGAGTCTGGCTGTCTGGCAGCGGAGCCCGAGCGAGCAAAGCTTGTGCTTTTTGCGGTGACTTTGTCCGCTTGCGTACGCGGAATATTGTGATTTATTTTCCCGTCCACGGTTGACGTCGCACTCGTACACGAATTGTACTCGCGGTCTTACCGGACTTCCTTAACTCGTTCTTTCATTACCAGGGAGAACGAGGGAGGGAACGGGGGCACGGGATGGAGTGCGCCTTGAAAGGAGGTTGGTGATCTTGGGAGGGGGCCAAGGGACAAGAAATCAAAGGGTCGCAACGCCAAGCGAGTCGTTGCCACTGTTTACCGGGCGGGCGACAGGCGATACGATACGATCAAACCAAGGGCACCAGATCCGCTGCTGATCGTGTCAGAGAAGTGTTGCAGGAGCGGTTGGCAGTCAGCGTGAGGTGTCAGCCACGGAGTACGATGTGATGATGTGGGCGGTAGACGCCGTACGGAGTCCAGAAAGTAGGGCTAATCCGACCGACGAAGACGGAAGTCAAACGAGAGGCATGGGAAGGCCGACCGAACCACGGGTCCGCTTGCAGTCGAGATTCTCATCGATCCAGCTTTTTCTTTTCTGAATTGATCTTACTTCGAGTCTCTGGATCACCGACTGTTGGAACCGAACATCCAGGCAGATCCAAAAACTATTTGCTCGGACAAACCAGTACGGAACGGAAGGTCACAACCGCGGAAGAATTGGCCCCGGTGACATGGTTGGACGAGAGAATTCTACAGGCCGAGCAAAGATAGTCGCGATACGATGCGACCGAAGACGTGTCTACCGAGCAAGTAAGTACGTAGATAAGAATCCGAACCCGAATCCGAATGAGAATGAGAATGAGAATTCACAAAGATCCCATCACGTCAATGGTACTCCGTACTCTCGCTGCATGAGCAAATGGCAGATGGGTCTCTCCGTCGAGTGGGAAGACCCGAACCACCCGGTGGGCGCACCAGCACTAAGACTTGCTAGTCTGCTAGTGAGAGCAAACCCACGGACTCCGAGGCATTTCTGGCAGGCCTGCGAGCGTTCTGCTTATCATGGCGACCCAACCGGATAATAATAACCGGCGCGCCTGCAGCGAGTCTGATCGCAATCTGAACCTGCATGGCCGGCGAAACATGGTTGCGTGGCCGCAGTCATCTGAGACAAGGATTTAATTTAACGTGGTGGATTGACTGCAGTATGCAATGTAACCAAGAGCGAGAGGGCTGGGATCTTCCCCAGGTCCGGTGTGCGCAGAAATTAACGAAAACTAATTTCTTGGTTTCTTGGGGGTTGGAGAGGGGAAAAGTGACTAAAGGATCTCTTGAGAGTCTCTATCCGGCAGGTCTCGTGCCGATGCTGCGTCCTGACAATTTAGGCACCCACGAATCAACCACAAAATCATGTGACTCCTGACTCAGCATTGTCCGCGGCTCGGATCAACCTTGTCCGGGCTATCACCTGACTCCTCCCCGCACCGCGTTGTTGGGACTTCCCCGTCCGTTGGGTGATCTTCGCCCGCCTCGTTGAATCCCCTCCTTTTCTCGCCTCGTCGGCTTCTTCTCTTCCTTCTCTTCTCTCACTCTACCACCTACTGCGTACTTTCCTTCCAACAACACAACTAGCTGTCATCCACCACAGAATATGGTCCACAAATCTTCCAAGTCTTCCTCGCGCTCGAAAGCCTCTCGTTCTACTTCGCCGAATTCAGACATGGACCGCAAGGTCTACATTCCGCTCTGCTTCTGCCTGATCTCGTTTGCGGTCCTGGTCTATGTCAACTAATTCACGGCCGGTCGCCAGTTTCGAACCCAATCACCAAACCTGGCAATAATCATCCCTTCGACCCCAGCTACTATTGTCCTCTCTAGTCCTGGACTCTGTCCCGCCGTCGCAATCAGCAGCCGCGATGGTGGGAATCCTTATCGCCCCACCCACCGTCTTCACCGACTCGATCCCTCGATCCACTCGCAACAATTCCACAACCCGCGCACAAACCGATTCTTCGATTTCTCGAGATCCATATTCCTCGGCCATGAGTCGATGCCGGCGAATGAGCGACGATGGTCAAATCCCGACCGTCACAACCCGTGTCGGGTCAGCTGGATCGGGCGCAATGAAGTAACTGCGACCGATGGCTATGGACAAAGAACGGCACTCAACGACTCAACAATCGAGATGGCCAAATACAATGACTTTGAAGGTTGGACCCCGCTCGTCTGGCACGGGTGGATTCTTGAGTTTGGCTTCTGCAGCCTGTACGCTCGTGTTCCTCTTTCCTTATCTTCTCTAGTTGCCTCCCCGCCCGGTTGCCAGGAGTAACTGGATGCAAGACAGGAATAGAGGCTGCAGAAACATACCCCATATCAGTACATCATCTATGATGGCTGCCATATTAGGCTCGAGTAGCCTGCCTTTCCTTGATTTTCTTTTCTTCTGGATTTCCTCACGTTCATCAATGCTTTAAATAAATACCCCGGGCTTCTTCCACAGACTACCCTCGCGATTTCATATGTCTCGTTATGCTTGATCAGTGATCAGTGAACTATCTATATATCATGTTGATGGTTATCAATCGAACTATATTTTCCTATCCATGGCCCGAGTAGTGTTCATTCCATGTAGAACTTCGTTCATTAGATTCCAGCATGCCTCTCCATCAGGCTAAACAATCTCCACAATCTCCCCAGACTTATGACAGTGCAAACCAATGCAACCTTAACCGGGTTGGCGATCCTCAATATGATCGGGCAGAGCCGATGGTAGCATAAATAGATCTTATCTGTAGAGTAGCATCCAGGCATTCTTGTTCCTTTTCCAATCCCGCAGGATTCCTGAAGGATGCGAGAGCCTTGCATATAAATAAATGATGTGAAACATGCACCCCAGCGCAGCAACAGTTCCAACTAACACCGAGCTTACCTCGGTCATCTCAAACACAACAATCATCTAACTTCCTTGAGATTATGCGCTTGTGAATCTCGACCTGAAACGTCATCCCAACGCCAAGAGTAAGAGTAGCAGTGGACTCTGCAAGTCACAACTGCACACACCCAGACTATGACATGAATGGACCAGAAGTAGATGTGCTGAAACACGCTAAGTAAACACCGGAAATTTTTCTAATGAATGGATCCGGATTCTGAAGATGTTGGCCCGTTAGAGTTGGAGTTTCAACCTGAAAGTTAGCAAATTTTTGGACCCTGGATCCGGGATCGTAATCTTGCCCCTCCCCCAAACCCAATCCCTCCTTGCCCCTTTTTTCCGGCGTTTCAGATCTTCAGGGTCCGAGGGGTGTGACAGTTGGAAGTGGCACTTGGCGTTGAGACTGACGGGCTGGGGGAGTTTCAACGGAATTCCAACCTGTCAAGCCCAGTCTCGTGGGGCGGGACTTGGTTAGCGAGGGATTCGGTGTTTGGGGTTTTTTGGTCATTAGCTATGTATATTTCTTCAGATCATTAACTACTGTAAGTGTACATACGATGTATGAGCAGTGTACCCATACATGATACTATTCACCTACCGTCTATGCCCAATCAAATGCACAGAAAGCAGTTCTAACGGTCTTAATGCATGTTTGCGCCGGAGTCCTATCCTGGTCTGGTGGATCTAGTCACATTGACAATACTTCGTATGCAGTACAGATATATCGCGGCAGTCGGAGCCGAGGAGTGAGAATCACGACTTCAATATCGGCGTCCATCTGTTTGTCTGTCGAATGTTGCTATATCAACTGGTGCTGGTATATGACAGACAGCCGAATGCGTGACATACTTGATTCAGACAGCACCTATACTGTGGACCTTCTTAACCTCGGGATTGGCTTAAGTGGTGCCCACGCTGGTTAAAGCGAGGATGGAGATATGAAGCTTGAGTAATCAAAATTGTGCTGCTTTCATATATATATATATGTACTTATATGTACCTTCTTTCTACAATGTTCTTCGAAGTTTGGAGACTATTGCTCCCCTAACACAACACAAAATACCGTCATGCTTTGTCGATATATAAATAAATTGACATGTATTAATGCTTGGTGGTTTGTGATTATACGAGGGCTTGTAGGCTCTAACAGGATGCAATATAATAGTAAACCTGAAATAGAGTACCTTTAATCTAGAAGAGATACAGACATCGGCTATATAGCTAGGTAGATAAGTTAGTTTCTATTGCGACACTCGAGATGGTAAAAGATCCCAAACCCACTTAGGCCGATGACGTCTTTTACAAAGATAAACTTCTAGAGTGCTCAGACGGATTAGGTACGCCTAGAAAGGGTAATTATACAGTTATACTAGTAGAAGCGAACATTTCTCTACTACGCTCGGGCAAGTCGCGACAATTTCTCCGTTCATAGCCAGTTAAGATAGACTAGACGACCACGTTCCGTTACGGTCGCTTTGACAGGACCGAAATCTAGAAGGCAAAGAGATTAGTATCTAGAAGAATTGATCGCTTTAAACGGTCTAATAAGGGCTGCGGCTAAGGAAAATATACAGTTATAGAAATCACACAGGCCGCCGATGAATTACTACGCTCATAATAGCCCTCACTTTCAACTCTGCTCGGAGCGTCCTATTCAAACCCTCAAATATCCTCTAGCAGTGCTGCAAACCATGACCACTCTGGCTGTGTTGTGGCGGGAGAGTCACTGTGCTATAGTCAAGGATACAACCGGCCAATTTACGATGATTATTAGACTTGAACTATCTAGCCCTGTTCACCCTCCTCCTTATCCTCAGGTGCATGCGTTGCAAGCCGCTTCCAAGGAACAAACAAGGTAGCAACCAGGGCAATAGCGCAAAAGGCAATGGAAAGGGCAAACGTCGCCTTCAGTCCGTGCATGTAAGCTACCAGCACACCAGACAGGTCCTCCGGAGAAAAGACGTTGCGCAAGTCTGAAGCGCCCGCGTTAATGACTTTCTGTCCGGCAACGCCGGGCGCAGATGAAGCGAGCTTTGCCAGCATCTGGTTTACAAAGGCCGCCTGGCCGGAGGAGACGGTGAATGCACCTCCGACTGTCTGGAAGACTGTACCACGTGTTAGTTTATTGGCGTGCCCGGGATAAACGGCGGCGAAGCAGGTACTTACAATAAAGGCAAGCTGTTATGGCTGGCAGATCTTCTGGGTCGACACTGGCCTGCGCAATGTTTAGGCCGTTCTGAACCGAAAATGCTATGGCAGATCCGGTGAGTATTTGGTAGCTTATCCACTTTGCACTCGGCGTGTCAATCTCAAGCGTGTAAAAGAGGCCGCAGCCAACAGTCCCGAGCAACGCGCCGACAAACATGGCCGGTGCCGGGAGGCCTGTCGTGGTCACGAAGACGCCACCTAGGACAGCGAAGATGGCAACTGCGATGACAATGGGCAGATTATCGACGCCAGACTGAATGGGGCTGGCACCCTTGACAGACTGAAAGTAGATGGGAAGGTAGTACAGGAGAAGGAGTAGATCGCCGAGGAAGAAGAACTGGTAGGGGCAGACGCTCCAGAGCCCGCGCTTCTTGAAGAGCCGCGGAATCATCATGGCATACTCGCCCAGCCACATGGACCAGAGAATCAGGGCAACCGTGAGCACTCCAAAGCCGACCAAAAGACCAATCACCTGGCTACTGCGCCAAGGATATTCGACTCCGCCATACTGCAAGCCCAGCACGAAGCATATGATGGCCGCCATGGTAAGACACACCCCGACGGGATCCAGGTGAAGCACCTTCTGGCCGAGACTGATTGGCGGCGTTTGACCGCGGCCGGGAGGTGAAAGAAGATGACGACGATGGCCGTGCCGAGGGCCCCGACGGGAAGGTTGATGTAGAAGCACCATCGCCAGGTGGCATTTTCCGTAAAGGCGCCGCCAATCAACGGCCCAAGCACGGAGCTCAGCCCGTACATCAGTCCGATGATCCCCATGAGAATCGGTCGCGTCTTGGGCGGGACGCTAAAGGCCACAATGCTTGTTCCGCCGACGGAGATGCCAGCGGCGCCGATTCCAGCAATGGCACGCCCGATGATCAAGGCGACAGACGACGGCGCGACGCCGCAGATGAGGCTGCCAATCTCGAAGATCGTGAGCGATGCAATAAACGTCCATTTTATGTCAAAGTATTTGAAGGCCTTGCCCCACGATGCCTCGAGGCCGCCAAAGGTCATGAAGTAGGCCGCGGAGTACCAGGATACGTCTTTGAGACCATCAAACTCGGCGGTGATCTTCGGGATCGCGGTACCGACAATTGTCTAGAAACTCGATTAGCTTTGTCCAGGAAGAGACTTGGTAGTAAAGAAAACTGCCTACCTGGTCCAGCGAGATGAGGAACACGCCCATGATGGACGCGCCGGCCAGAAGAATGAGTCGAATGCCGTGGGGGTACTCATCGACGACGCCGGCGCCCGTGTCCACGGAGGACTGAATGTCGGTGATGTCCTGGGGTGATGTCTTCTCCGCGAGGCTTTGCGAGGTCGTCTCGAAGTGCGGCCCTACGCTGGCCTCGGCCGCCGCCGTGCCCTCGGTATGCTGCGGTGCGACCATATTTTCGGACTGCAGTTGGACACCTCTCGGATTAGGGGTGACAATAACGAAGGGTAGCGATGGTTGGATTGAGGTAGTCCCTGACACCTGCGAGTATTATATCCTCTCTAGTGTTTTCCATAGCCTGATTAATCGCTCACAAACTCGAGCTGATTAAGCCTCGGAGGCAGCAATTCTGATACAGCCTTACAAATCAAGCAAACGTGCGAAAAATGCCTTGAGGTACCAGTAGTCACGGCGAGAGCAACATGACCCGGCTGTTAGTTGCACCAGAAGACTGACAGAGCCACCGAGATGGGAGGGCCACTTTGGATCGTTTGCGTTGTCCGATATTCTCGGTTCAATTCGCCTGGATTACGGGCAGCTATTGATCAACTGGCTGAAAAGAACAAAGAAGAGGTATAGGGGAGCGTCCATCGGCATATCTGTGGCGTTGCTAGCTTCTCTGTTACTATGCGGCCGGGCGATTAGCGTGTTCACGGAGTTCCGTGTAGTATTAGTCAACCGACGATTTAACAAAGTAGACCGATTTACTCAACGTCGTTGATAAGGACCTCTATTATATGCGTTATATGCCCGGCCCTCCATAAACATGTTGAGGTCCATGGGAAAGGGCATCAGAACCGAGCCAGCGGCGGCGGTGCCGGGCAGCATCATCTCTCCGATCAGGAGGCGCGAGGTAGGACCCATGACCTCGGCCAGCTGGCGCAAGATGATGAGGCTCCTCTTGTAGTGGTTGTGCAAGACATTGCGCAAAAAATAAACATATGCGTCTGTGTGGAAGTTAGCGTTGCTCCCGCGGTCAACCGGAGTAGGAACCTCTGTCTTGGGGACAAGGTAGTGTATTAGGCCGGGGTAGTGTCTGGGTGCTGGTCGCAGGACCGTTCATTGAGGAACTTGCTATATAGTACGTTTACTGAATGGCCTGTTGGTCATTGCGCCTTTTGGCATGTAGAAACAAAGGAAATAAGATAAGATAAACGGTCATCTAGAATTGCTGCATCATAGACGCAGCAAGCATAACGAGATTACCAATGCCATCCATGCCCGAACACCACTCGTTCCACTCGATGGTGATGTCGTCGCCGCGTGTAATCGCTGCTGTCGCCGCAGCGTCTCCGCCGAGCCTGACCAGTTGGCCGTTCTTGGTCAACCCAAATTCCATCTGCGCGCCCGACTCCGTCTCGCCGTCGCGCTTCCAGACTTTGTAGTCTGGTGCTTCCCACAGCTGCTTCTGGGCGGGCAGAGGAGCCAGGATGACGTCGCCTACGGCTTTACACATCTTGGCCGGCTCGAACGACACGAGCATGCTGATGACTTTGAACAAGACACAGAGTCTGCATGGACGAGTCAGCTAATACACACTTTACTGAATCTTGATTTTGCTGCTGCTGCGGCTTATCAGAGAGCAGGCTGGCCTACCGTCGTCCTGACTCTTCCAGAATCCAGTTTTTCCAGGCAGTATGGGGCGTCGAGCACGAGCTGGACCTAAAATCAACGGCCAAGAACTGAATAGCGACGGCCTGTTGCGTGTATTAGCAGACGAATGGAAGACCGGGTAGTAGACTGCTCAAACGTGGCGCACCGTGACAGCTCTGAGCAGCAGCCCGTCAATCTCGGCGTCTTGCTGGCTCTCTTCTGTTGTTTCGTCTATTCTCATTATGACATATATAGCCAATGCCTGCATCGTGGCAAGGAGCTCCCACCTGTCGAGCTCGAAATACTGTGATTGCCTGTCCGTCAGTCTCAAAAAAATGGAGCCACAATGGAAACTAGACAGGGACGTACGCGTTGGCAAAAGCGCTCACACTCGGCCTGGACGTTTCTCCAGAACAATCTGCGACTGCCCTTGATTTTACTATTGGCCATGTACACTAGGTTCATGCAGTTGTGCCACGGCTCAAGGCTGTCGGCTGTCTCGTCGGGCGTGCTGGCTGCGAGCAGGGAGGGATGGAGAAACGGCGGAGGGGACTTCTGGCGAATCATCATCAGCGGATAGGACTTGAGCGTCTGCAGTATGATCTGCGAGACGCGCTCCGTGCCCGCGTCGGCGTGCTGGCGGCGGAGAATGGACGGCATGTCGTAGGTCGGCAGTCTCGGTATCTGGGACTCAGCGGTGGTCACGCCCTGGGGGTCGAGCCGGTTGTCAGACGAGGATGATGGGGTCTCGCTGTCTGCCCCCGTGGTTTGCGAGAATGACGAAGAGTACAACCCGGTATTGGCGACCGCCGGCGAGGATAGAAGAAATTGCCAATCGGTATCATCCCAGGCGCCAAAGCACGGATCAAATCCAAGTGTTTCCTGAGGCGGCCATGATGACAACGCGGGGCCGTACGCGACGCCGTCGATATCGCTGGCCAAGTCGAGAAGAGCGCTGGCCTGGGCGATGGAGGAGGGCATGGGATCAAACGCAGGCGCAGGCTGTTGTTGTTCAGTTGTCGACGGCATGCGAGTGCGATTCATCTCAGCGGCGCGGATTGCTCTCGCAGGATACCGACAATGGAGGCCTTTGGTGCTGCATCTCGAGCAAGCAGGCCTTGCGTTGTCGCATCTCGTTTTCGTGCTCACACAGGACACGCAGGCCCGCGCACGAGGGGGTTGAACGCCGTTTCGAGTTCGACAGTAATAGCCGTGTCTTTTCAGAGTCGATGCTGTACATGGCGAGCATGGTATGTTAGATGGACGACATGTTTGTCCAGGGCTAAGGTATGCATAGTCGTGGCTCCACCCTAGCGTGGGCATGCGTACGGAACCCGGCGAGGGCCAGGCGAGAGCGAGCACTTACATCTCTCAAAAGCCTTGCCGCACAGGGGGCAGCTCAGTATGGAGACTTGATCTGAAGCCATGCTGTGTTGTGTTGACGTCTGCAGGCGTTGGCAGTTGTTGATGGGCCATCATCGGCGATTTGTAATGGGGCTTCCGTAAACGGATTAGTGCCGGACGGAGCAAATTGTAAAGTCCATCATAAAGTACGTGCCGAATTGGTCTGCGCATAATCATATATGCTAAGAAAATTGGTAAACTCGGCAAAGAATATCAACTTACAGAGACTGTTCAAGGAAGCTCGTGTGTTATTCAAACATCACTTGATTGATTTAGATACAACCCTTGAACTTCGCCGGCATAAAAGCTTGATACATCAAGACCCTCAAATTATTCAACCCCAATTGGCTCACACTTGACAGAGAAGTTGGATGAGCACCAGACCAAACTCGCTGTTGTCTCTCAAAATTTCTTTGAAACGTTCCTCTTGATACAACAAATTCGCATTACCAGCAACAAAGAGAGTAACCAACTCGCGAAGTGGTGACACTCCGGCCGGCTCCACAGTGCTGGTATGCGCGTAAGTGTACGCTAATAGATCGAGAATCAGTCTGACCGGCTTTTTCTGTTCCCGAGCCGCAACTAGATCGCGATACAGGGAGCTGACACAGAGCTGGCGCAAAGGCTCCACGAGATATTTGGTGGCGAAGACATAAAGCTCAGCGTGGAAAAGCAAGTCGGGCGAGTGTGTTGTTGGCACGGGCTGCGTTTGATATTTCAATCTTCCGAAACAAATCTCCATTGAACTCCGTGCGCATGAGTTATAGTAACCCCCAGTACGAAGACTGCAAGGCGGGTTGCTGTTACAAATGTCGAGTAGCTGGCCCTTCTCGTCATCAGGCTCATCGACGAGGCTCGGAGTATTGTACGTGCCATGATACGCAAACTCGCAGAATGCCACAAAGATATCTGGCTGAACGTCTTCAAGATCGGCGACACCAGTGCACGATTCTTTCATTTGTCCGTTTTTCATGAGCGCTCCTAGGGGGGACGAAATACTTCCAAAAGTTTTTATATGGATTGTGTATTCAGTCAGGTCTTTTCCGACGCGAAACCTAAATTGAGGGGACCTAAGGACACTTGAAAAGGTTAGCAAAATAGAGCATTTTCTTTGTTATTTTATTGAGCGAAGAACGAACGAATCAAAGCTGGCCGTCTGGGTGGCTCTTCTTTTCGATGGCATTTCGCTTGCTGGTAGAGCACGCTTTTTTGTATTCTTGTTGAGGGTTGAGGCAGATTTATCAGACGAGGCTGACTTTTTCGGGGACATCTTCGACAGGCAGGTGAGAATGTGAGGAATTCAAGTTTTGAAGTGGCGGATAATGGGTAAAAGTGATGTAGATATATCGTATGAAGGAGCAGGTAAATGATGACCAAATCATGAAGTGGACGAAATCCACATCAATGGGATTTGAAAGGACAAAAGGTGTGGAACATTCCTGCAGTGGCTAATTGATTTGGCAGGTTGCCTGATAAAGTAGTGAATGAGAGATTGAAGGCAGTCAAAACAAGTCGGCAGTGCTGAGTTTGCCTAACGTAGAATTTACTCTAGCCCTAGAGGAACATAACATGAAAAATTCTATCAAACAAGATTTATTCATATCCATGAAACATGTCCTAACAGTATGTCAATGTACGACCTCATGAGGTATTATTCAGGCAGACGTTTGTCAGAGCTACAACTACAGGTATCGAATAGGCATATATCATGCTCATGTCTTAATTTTGTAATTACTCCCAAAGTATCACTGAAAGAAGACATTAAGAGAGAAGGGGGAAAAGTTTCAAAATATCTTATTCAAAACAAGTGTCCTTTTTGCTTATTACGAAAACAGAAAATAAGTCAGTAAAAACCAAAGGGGAGAAAGACGTAGATCGCATATTCTTCCATTACCTACACCCAGTCTTTTTCCTAGTGTCATTTACAGATTCTAGCAAACTATATACCACATCACGAGTAATCTCTCCCCCGGATAGAAAGAGCTCCTCGAAAGGTACTTCGTCGTCAGCATAGGTCAGGTAATCAGAAATGAAACTGACAACTGTAAACCGCAGCAGCGAGCTTCCACCAGGTTCGGTGCACGACGTGTGTGCAAAGACATAATTTAGAAAGTCTAAATAATCAGGCGCGTTTTTACGGTGATTAACATCTTCTTCCAGAATCTCCCATATATAGTGGCGAGCGCACTCCCGGAGTTCCTCGTAAAGGTACTTGGTTGCAAAGATGTACAGCTGAGCATAAAACTTTAGAACCCGCAAACTGAAAATCGGTCTGGTTTCCTGCTCGTTCTTGTCGTTTTCATTGTCATCGCCCATCTCACTCGCGCTATCCTGGTCAGTTTCGTCTTCGTCATCTTCCATTGTCGAGTCACCTAGTTTGTCTAGATTACCAGTCTGTGGAACAGTCACTGGATGGTGGATGAATCCTGTGTAAGCATAGTGGCAGAATGCCTCGAAGACTTCATGCTCAACATCTTCTAGTACTGCAACGCCTTCACGAGACTCCTTCATTCCATCGTTATTCATCAATGCATGCAGTGCAGGTGACGCGGTCCGAAGAAGTTGGAAATGGATGAAAAAAGGAGTACGGTTTTGACCTACCAGAAATTGGAAAGGCGAAGAGCGAAACACACTGGGATCATGCCTGGCTGGCTTTTCGTGGGCGTTTGGGTTTGCCATGGCAGGTAACGAAGCCGGAGAGATGGCTCCCGTAGCTCCCGATATTCTTTCTTTGATAGAAGTAGCCAGGACGCACCGAACACAAATGAGAACAACTGGTAAATCAGGGTGGTGATCTAACAATGAGAGGGCCAAAGGAGAGATATATGTATAGCTTTTTTATATGATAATCGGAACGAACAGGGCAGAACAAGGTGAGTCTTCCGCGAATATGTAGGAAGATTCCCTTGGATTCTATATAGATAGAAAATCTCTTTATGATCACTAGTAAACAATGAAATCCAGAAAAAAGATAAAAAGCACCTGCATACTTTTGGATAGGAGGAGTAGAAAATATGTTTGTTTTACACATAAATTGAAGAAACCACAAGCTCGAGAGTCAGACAGTATATTCCCTGATAGAATTGGCTGAAAGGATAAGGGGACATTATGGGAGCTACAAAAAGGATGCCAGCTGTACAACTAAACATAGACGTAATCCATCTACCTAGTAATACACAGAGGAATACACCACCTGCATCATGAGGAATTCCATCGGGTACTGGTCCAGTATATCGGGCACAAGTTCAAGCCAGTCGGGCTTGAACGTACAGGCGATTGTAGCGTTACAAAAATCCCAGGACTCGTCATACCACCCAGCGCTTTCCCAGTCCAGTAAACTGATCCTATAGTCCAGATGCCCTTCACTATCCCCGAGCCTTTCAACCATTATATTCTTCGGTTGAAGATCACCGTGAGTGAAAACGTTGCGGTGGCCGTTCAAAGTCCGGTCAATCATATTCCGCAATAATCGGATATACTGGTCTGATCCTGTCTGGCGCAGTTTCTCGATGATTGCAAGGTTCATTTCTTCCTGATTTTCGAAAGGCCCTGATATCCGAGGATCTAGACCTTCAGTCCAGAACACCCCGTCAAGGTAAGGATGGCGATTCAGCATTCCGAAGTAATCTGGTGGCGGTATACTCCGTAGTTCAGCGACTGCAGCTTTGACCAGGCTGCATATCGTCGCTTTTTCAGTCTTGCTGAGGGATGGCAATAAGCTTTGGAGAGTATCACCCGGGATATATTGCATAATGATATAGGTTTTGTTAGTGTCGGGGTCCTTGAAGGCGGCGTGGACTTTGGGAACTGGCACTTTGCTATTCTCTGCGAGATACTTCATGTTTTCAGCCTCAATTATGGTTACATTATGCCCCATTTTCACAGCGAAATCCTTGTTTACCCGGACGACTTTGGCGGATGTGTCTGCCGCGCTCAGGACTTCTGTCGCGGCCTCGATCTCAGCGACGGTGGGTAGGCGAACTGCCTCGAAAGTGAGATCTTTCGACATCCTCTCGACAAGATTTTATCTCGTGAAAAGCTCTGGTTGGAAACAGGAAGATGACGAGAGAGCAGAGTTAAGTGGTTAGACTTGAAATGTGGAATGGGCGCTTTTGTCGATGTTGTTGTCGGACTGGATGGTCCCCGAAACAAGTCAACCGCACGCTGAGTCATGATAGTAAGCTTTCGTAGTGGAGAACTCCGATTCGGATGAACCCACGGCATTCTTTTTCTGCCCATAACAATCGAGTTCAACATGGAATAATTCCCATCCAACGAAAGACTAACGACTTGCGAGCTGTCATGAAATTAGGGGTTGAGCACTGTGAGGGTTTGAAACTTGTCTTGAGGGCCTGGTCTTGTCTCTGTGTCAGGTACGATCTGAATTTTGCTCCGGGTTAGTCTTTCTGACTCTAGGGCCTTGATAATGTAAGTAGCCAGAAGGTCGGATGGACGCTGTATCCAATCTTGTTGGGGACTTGGGGCCAGTTTTTAAACAAACATATCACCAATGTATCCTAGATGAGAACCCCCTAAGTGATATGTAATTCTGTGCCTTCTTTGGTGCCCATTTGTGCTGTGGGACCTGCGGGATGATCTGTATCTCATAAAATGTAAGGTGACGGCTATTCTGGAATGTCCAGAGCCTGCCTCTATGTATAGGTATAGGTTTGGCATCCCATTGATTCTCTGTTCTTTTAATCAGCATCAATCGATTATTGATAGTTACTAGGTAGGTGATCAAGCGACGGGGAGAACAATCCATTGAGTATCACCCATGATCTAATCGAGAAAGCGCACCTTGACATAAGAGTCATCGTCAAGATTTCTGTCGAACGCAGGATAGAGATTTCTGACGCCGCCTAGTCTTTTTGTTCGGTAGGTAGGGAATCTTAAATAAACCAAAGAAAATTCCAAGTACATATTCTCATGTCTTCATCAGGCAAGAAGCAAAGCCAACCCGCTCAGTCCTCTCAATGGCTACATTCGCTAACCCCTCTCTCCCAGATACTTCCACACCTCTATAATGCTCGTACTCGTCTTCTCCCACGGCACACTATCCGCGTCGATGCTCTTCCCCCGACACCAGCACTGATCGCCGACATTTGGACACAGATTCCACGGATTATGCCTTATACCAGCCAGATCGAATCTCACGTTCGGCACCGGCACAGAGCCACGAAAGACATGAAACAGCGTATAAGGACGGAAGCTGCCAAGCCAGCCCCCGCCTTTCAATTGTAGTCTCCACGCTGACTGTCCGGGTCGATCCAACTCTGCGGGGTCATTTCCTTGAAAGGGGACGCATTCGAAGCTGACGAATAGCGTGACAGTTTGCAGGCTCGGGAGATGGGTGTAGTTGAGACGCAAATACGTATCACTCAGTCCGTTTAACCTCTCGAGGTGGCGCTTGTACTCCTCGTACTTTCCTTGCATCGTCGAGTGTTTGTCAGGGTCAGACCAAGATGTTCTGTAATGAAAGCCGTCTTTCAAATCCTAGTTTACCTCCAGTCTGGCGCAGAAGTCCAGCGACCGAATCTGCGAGAGAGGTAGCGAGGGCGTTCGACCGCCAAATGCAGCTCCCAGGGTGACTTTATCGCAGATATGTAAGGACACGTTATTGGCCAGGAGCGGCTTCGCTTCAGTGTAGATCAGGCGACAACTGCGCAGCCAACTCAGTGCGCCGACGGGCGAGGGGGCAGGGTGTTTGGCAGGTTCGATGTTGCTGTGAGGCTCGTGGGCAGGTTCAGTGTGGAAGCTGTTGCAGGTGGTCTCGAGGTACGAAGGGAATGAATGGATGGCACGCGTAGTAGTGATGTGGTCTGCGCTTTCCAAATCGTAGGGGATGGTATGCAGAAGGAAGGGATCATCGAGCATGGCTTACCAGATCATGTTACGCAGCTCCCAGGGTAGGCTGAGGAGGCGTGATTGGAACTGAGGCGCTGCGGACTCGGTGTCTAGACTTGTCAGATGTGAGGTTGAAGTGTTGGGAGATGAATGGGTATACTCTACCGAGAGTCGACATCTTGACTGACTGGTTTCTCTATGGGCTGGTTGGTTCTGTAGTAGATCAGTCCTCGATGTAGAGAAGAGATTACAGATTCGATGTGGTGAGTAATAATGACACGACCGAGAGTGAATCAGTAGATGAAATTGTAAGACTGTCGTCGCTTTCCTTAATGAGGAAAGTTTAGTGAATGGAAAGTTTTCTCTGTGCTGCAGCTGCCCTCACATTGTACATTTATTCTTGTAGGACTCTGTTTAGTGTATTCCAGACCGAAGAAGCGACGAAAAGTGAATAGCAAAGGAAACAGCACACCAAGACAGATGAGGAAAACTACCTACATGCTTTTCTAGGCCAACTGCCCTATCCCAATAAGTTAGTTAACATATTCGGTAAGCGAGCGGCGCACCTCATCAAAAATCTACGCGTTGTCTTGCCTTAATTCAACCATCTACCATGCCTCCAAAAGCACCTCAAATTTCAAAACATTCGAAAGAGAAAGAGGGGAGGGCTCTTCTAGCGATTTCTGCTTTGAAAAATCGGAAATCTCCAGTATTCGCGAAGCAGCTCGCGTATATAATATCTCCCAAACAACCCTCCGCAAACAACTACACGGTATATACGCGCTAACAGTCATGAAATGACTCAAAATAAAGAGGAGTTTCTCGTACGGTGGATTCTATCGCTAGATCAACATGGATCTCATATACAAGAACTAGCCAATATTCTACTCGCTCGGCGTAATACTCACAAGATCGTCTCTGCAAACCGTCGACGCATTTGATGCCTGAGGCATAAACGCCAAGCCTTTTATGCGCACAACTCACAACTGCACAACGAAGTATAGCACCATAGCCCACCTTTTCTTCCTTGGATACTTTCCACATACTCATACAGATTGCTCAAAATTGATTCTGATCAAAGGTTATCTTTTCTTATCGATCACACCTGCCGCCAGGCTGGTAACAAATCTCCCAGTTCCCAGGCATCCCAAGTCAGGTGGAGGGGGCAAAGCTTCGCCTGGCCAAGCCCCACCGGTAAGGCTGTAGGGCTGATCCCCATTTCCCTCCTCCCTTTTCTCTCTCCCTCTCTTCCCCCGTCAACTTCCATCAGATATTATCGCCCAGTCACTCTAACTTTCTGGCCAGGATCCTTTATCTGATAAGATCATTCTTTTCCCCGTCTATAATCATCATCAATAATTCCCTCACCCTGAGATAAGGGTCCGAGACATCCCACCGTTACATTGCCAAATTTCTCCGACGGGGTCCACATTCTGGATTCATTTCCCCTCGGCTAAATTCGCGTTCCAATTAAAGACGCCGATAATCGATGGCTCGGACCAGGGAACCACTGCGAGAAGCTTAGCCATTACGTCTCGTCGCTGCAAAGTTGCCAATGGAAAACAAGCAACAATTACTCAAGGGGCGTGAGACCCATTTCGTGCTCCTTTTGGAAGTCGACAAGCCCTGTTGTCTATACGGAAAATCGGGTGGCATTTCCGAATCTTTTGTCGATGAACGATAATTTTCATACTTTGAGATAGAGACTCAAGGATATTTCTAGATGTTGATCACCTTCACGGGCACCAACGGAGGTCTACCCCCAATGTGCGATGGGTGCTCTGCACCCGAGGACACAACCATGCTCCGGAGAAACAGGGCCACATGGGCTGCAGTGTGGAATGGCACTGAGACAAAACTGTCCTAGAATTAGGCAGACACCATTCGTGCCAATCTCGTCGCGAACTCGTCCTCCACCCCAGACGCTTGTCTCCCCGTAGGGCTACTAGTCGCCGGAGTGAGACCGAGGTGGAGACCCTGCAAGGATCCACTGGCACGCAACCATCGGATCCTGAATTTCTGATGCCAGCGGAAATTCGGAAGGCCGTGTCAGGTTGCAAAATCTTATCTGATGGAATATATCTGATCAGATATCTCCTGTCCTTCTCGTTCGCTCGATCCAAGGTTGAATGACAGCGCAAAAATGAGGGTCGACCACAAGCAGGGTGTAGATACCCAAGAGTCGTCCGTCTCATCGGAAAAGATCATCGATGGTAAGGCGTTTCCTTGTTTTGTGGATGAACACACTAATTAACCCCTGAATTCCACAGACTCGCAGTCAGATGTCTTGCGAGCAGCAGGAATTGGCATCCAAGAGGATGACCCGACGGAGCCTGTCCTTACGCTGCGCATGTGGCTTCTAGGTATTGCGTTCTGTCTCGTCGCCAGTGGTCTGAACACGTTGTACACGCTTCGAGTTCCCTCGATCACGATCTCGTCTTCTGTCGTCCTCCTGCTCGCTTATCCTCTTGGTAGACTATGGGAGAAGGCCATTCCTAGCTGGATTGTTCCTTTGGGACGTTGGAGTTTCAACCTAAATCCTGGCAAGTTCAATCAAAAGGTGTGCTTTCGAGGAACAAAAGTGTCTCCCATTTGACGCGTGACTAACGTTGATTGACGCGTAGGAACACATCCTGATCTACATCATGTCCAACCTCAGCATCTACGTCCGTCTCGGTGCCGACGTCTTAACCGAGCAAGAGATGTTTTACGGACTCAAGACCGGGTGGGGGTTCAAGATTTTGATCACAATGGGGACGTTTCTCACGGGCTTTTGTCTTGCGGGTCTCTTCCGTTCGGTCGTCGTCAATCCTCCGGAGCTCATCTGGCCCGGAGTCCTAGGTACAACTTCGTTGGCAACGACCCTTCACCACATCGGCCGGGGCGACCAATTGTACGTTCCACAACTCCAACTCTATAACAATGCTAATGCAATTCCGAAACAGCACAAGTACGTGGAAGATCTCGCGGTACGCCTTTTTCAGCATCGTATTCTGCATCTCGTTCTGCTGGTACTGGTTCCCAGATTTCATCTTCCCGGCTCTAAGCTACTTCACCTTCCCTTGCTGGATTAATCCGAAGAGCAAGGTTGTAAACCAACTGTTCGGAATGAAAACCGGCATGGGGTTGTTGCCTTTGACGTTTGATTGTGAGTGGTCCTTCTTCGACTTTGCATATCAAGCTAATGCCCCACAGGGAGTCAAATCTCGTACGTTGGCTCGCCTTTGTTGATTCCGTCCTGGGCCATTGTAAACGTCTTTCTTGCTTTGGTATTTTGGATTTGGATTGTGGCGGTGGCCTGTTACTATACCAACGTCTGGTATTCTGGGTACCTGCCGTTCCAAAGCTCGTCCAGTATGCATCTCCATTCTTCTCTTTTGAAGTGATTCTAATGAAGTCAAGTTTACGACAACACTGGAGGAACGTACAAAGTAGCCAAGGTCGTCAGCGCAGCTACGAATTACAAACTGGATGTGGAGAAATACAAAGCTTACTCCCCGGTCTACATGCCTATTGTCTACTCATTAAACATGTTCGGTCTGTCTTTTGCAACTCTGAGCTCGCTGCTCGTCTGGGTGATCCTCGAGAAACGCCATGTCTTGGCCTCCGCAGCACGCAGCATTCCCAAACTTTTAACTCAGTCATGGAAACGCGATTCATCCGAAAAGACAGATAGTGTCGATGTGCCCATGTGGTGGTATCTGATTGCTTGCGTTTTTGCCTTGTTCATGACCATCTTCGCTGTCGAGTGGTGGGAAACTGAGCTACGATGGTATGGTGTTCTTCTGGCTTGGGCTGTCGCCCTGGTATTTTTCGGTCCAGTGAGTTTATTACCCTATGCCAGACAAACATTGACTCACAAGATTAGCTCGCCCTGGTCTACGGCTCCTCGAGTCTCAAGATCAACATCGATATTTTCTGCCGTATCATTGCAGGATTCGTGTTTGAGGGTAAAGTCCTTGCCAATATCTGGTTTTTCGATGTCGGCTACATTGCCACCATCAAGGGATTATGGTTTGCCGAGGACATGAAACTAGCCCATTACTGCAACGTAAGTTCTGTTTCTTTGAAATATCTTCACAGAATTTTTAACACCGCCTAGATTCCCCCTCGCAGTCTGTTCCTCGTCCAATGTGTCGGCATGGTTGCCGGAACACTCAGCTCCGCCAGCGTGCTGACCTGGGCACTCGGACATATCGAAGGTGTCTGCACTTCTGACGCCGTCAACAACTTCTCCTGCCCCTTCTCCCGCACCCACTTCAACACCAGCCTAATCTGGGGCGCTATAGGCCCTCGCCGCTACTTCACCAGCCAAGTGGGCTACTCCGCTCTACTGTACTTTTTCATCTTCGGCGCCGTCCTCCCCATTCCCGTCTACCTGCTCAAGCGCCGGTATCCCAACTCTCTCTGGCGTCGCGTGCACATCCCGCTGTTCCTTGGCGGACTGAACTATCTCCCTCCTGCTACTGGAACGAGCTACGGCAGTTGGGCGCTCGTGGGGTTAGCCTTTGGATGGGGATTGAGAAGGAAGGTGTACGGGTGGTGGTTCAAGTATAACTTCGTGCTAAGCGCAGCGTTGGACTCGTCGGTTTCAATCGCCGGAGTGGTGATCTTCTTCGCGATCTTTTACAGCGGGGCGTCCAAGGGGTTTAGTTGGTGGGGAACGGAGGTTCATAAGGTATTCCCTTCCCAGTATCTTTCTTTTGTTTGTGTTTTTTAGGACGACTAACTGTTTTATTCCAGAATACCTGTGACTGGGATGGATGTGCGCATTTGGACATTCCCGAGGGAGGAAAGTTCGGTGTGTAGTAGGTATGGTACGATGGTGCGTTGCGGTTTTCATTAACTTCGATATATCGGGTATTCGATCACATTCTTTTACATTCAAGCTCAACATGCTTTCGAGTGTTAGTAGCGGTGCAGAGTCGTACAGCATTATCATTCTAGATTCATTTTAATTCAGGCCTCCAATGAGGCAGATTGTGTTAATCTCGCTTTTAGAGAACAGAGCAAGCTACTCTATGCTCATTTACTCTACGTTTGGTTGCTACGGTCAAGGCGATCATATTGAGATGGATCTGGAGCGACGTTGAACCACCTGGAACGAATATTTCACAAAACAAGACAAAATCAAATTTGCAGTCTACTCAACTCTATCTTCCCAATATCTTTTCCTGATGCCTCAAAGAAGTTTATACCTCCAAGCCACAACACACGAAATCACCATAAACGCGACAAAACCCCCCACAATCCCAAAGAACCACCCCAACCCATGCACCTCCTGCCCCGGCACCTCGACATTCATCCCAAACAAGCCCGTAACCACATGCATGGGCACAAAGATGGTCGCCAGGACAGTAACCTTACTCAACACCGAATTAATATTCAAACTCAGTCTCAAATTATTCGCACTCAGCTGCGCCAGGCAATTCGACTGCGACCGGCTCACAATTTCATCGAAATGCGACAGACTCTGCAACGTCGTCACGAGATGATCTTGCACGTCACCCAGGTACAAGATGAAATCGCCATCTGGGAAGACGGGGTTCTTGTCTTTGGCTTGGCAGCGCTTGACGAAACCGTTCAGGACGTCGAGTTTACCGGTGAGGCACCGGATCAGGTGGGTGATGCGTTTGCGGAGGTTGTCGATGCGCGGGATGAGGTGTTTTACGTCGTCGAAGCGCGCGATGAAGACGGAGTCTTCGATGGATTCGGATTCGAGTTCGGCGGACTGGCGGTAGGGTTCAAAGGAGTCGACGATGTCGTCGCTGTTCGTGGTTAGTTGCTTGGGTTTCATCAACTGCAGGAGATAGAACAGATCGGAACAATCGGGATCTGAAAGGTAGGGGACATACATCAAAGCATAACAAATCCAATCACTCGACAGCACCGTCTCATCATGAAGTTTCCGCACGCGATCCCTCACCCTCCTCACATGGCTACACCCACTCGGCGAGAAAGTGACCGTGCCGGTATTAAACACCAGGATGAAGAAGACAGCCGAAGCGGGCGTCTTGGACGTGATAGTCGGCACGTGAAACAGACTCTTCTCCTTCTTCTTTTTCTTCTCCCCCTCTTTCTCACCCACATCGTCCCCATCCCCTCCTTTCTCTCCATCACCCTCCCCACTGCCACCTCCCTCGTCATCCAAAAACGTAACCAGCGTCTGAAACGAAATCAGATAATAGTTCCGAAACACCTCCACCTTCTCCCTCGTCTCGCGGGTCACGATATCCTCCGCGGTGAGGGGATGGATGTTCAACGCCTGCGAGAGCACCTCGACGTCTTGCTCTGTGGCATCGCGGACATCAAGCCACCAGGTGGGTGAGTCAGGGGCCTTGCGTTCGTCCTTGTGGGCGAGGAACTCCGGGGTAAGGATGTCTGCCCAGGTGGAGGAGGAGAGGATGGGGTCGGATGAGGCGGAGGTGGAGTATGTGAAGCGGGGGGTGTTGTTGAGGTGCATTTTCCTGATCCTATTCTTGGGGTCTTGGGGAGTTGGAATGTTTATGGATCGGTAGGTAGGGTGGATGGATGGTTTGGTATAGATATTTGTGTAGATGGGTGGTGAAGATGGAGTTACCTTCTTCTTTCACATCGAGTGAAGACAAGGAGGTAAAGAACAGCGAACAGTGCTGACAATGAACAGATAAATCACAGACGGAAAGCACAATATCGATACGGAATCCGTTCAGCCCATGATAGTGATCGACTAGGAGGATAGTGGAATCCGAGGTCGGATTCAGAGTATTTCATATGCGAGGCGAACCCTATCTGGCTCATTGAGAAAGAAATCAAGGCCTGAGTGTACTGGACGAGCTGACAAAAACCAAGTATCAGATCGAAGGAGACGAGAGTGACAGGATCAGAAGCAGAAAAAGAAAGGAAAAGGAAATTAATGCCAACCCAACGACACCGCATTTCATCCCCTGAAAAACCGGAACCCTCATAGGGCTGAAAACGCCCTAACCCAGAAAAGCAAGTCATCGTCGTGGAAATGAAACCCTCTGGCGGAGAAACCAAACACAGACGAGAAAAGGAAAAAGAAAAGACCCATAAGACAGACCCCCGGACATGACGGACCTACCATGACCAAATTTAATTAGCTAAACCAAGCCAAGCTGGTTCCACCAGCGGCAGCATGTTTGGTCCATGTGAAGCCGAAGTCCGTCAGTCATACCCCAGGCAGCAGAATTCATGCCTTGGCTGGAATCGGCAAAGACGGTAAAGACGGGTTACATTTAAAAGGAAGGACAGCTGAACAAGTGTCATTCAGACAGATTCAGTGATATCATCACGAACACGTTGTTGCTATACACCTACACAGGTTGGCTTGAAATAGGGCGACTCCCATCCTACACACCTACAGAGTACATACAGCAGCGAGATGGGCTTAGGAGAAAACACTCTCACACAAACCCACCTCTTAACCAGAATCTCCATCCTCCCAACGCGGTACGACGATCCTTTCCTCCACCGCAAGGCCCCCAACTAACGGTGTACTCCTGTATCGAATAGACTCTCATCCACCCTCCTCACCCTCCTTCTCCTACCTCTCGTCCTGTCGTTCATCCGCCGCATTCTATCGGTCTGGAGACGCGCTCCCTCCGTGATGTACGAACTGTACGTTCAGTCCTGCATCCCCTCGATCACATGGTGATGGACAACATGACTAACAGCGCAGAACAATGTGGTTCACGGCGTAGGCAGACACGAATCGAATGGCGGATGGATCGGAAGTGGATGCCGGCTTGGCAGAGAAGCTGTGGGGAAGCGCCTCGTAGGGCTGAACGGAAGAATCACGAAAGGAATATGAATTGATGCATCATGACGGGGTTATGGTTACGGGGTTGGCGTTTGAAATGAATTTATCTTCCATTCTAGTATGTTCCATAGGAATTGTTCACTTTTATGAAAAAGACAGACCAGGAGCTGGGAAATTCATATAGCGCAGTATGAAAGTATAAGAGAACTTGCCACATCCTCTTGGCAGTTCCATCTATAAGAGTTTTACTTCCAAGAGGACCTTGTGAGTTTCTCGCTGCCTGACCGTGTCGGAATCTTTCCTTTGTCGATTTTTCTCAGGTTCCTCGCTGGGAATCAAGGAGAAATTCCGATCTTCTCCGCGGAGATGATACAGATTAATTTATACTGCACATTGCCAGGGGCATTCTTTCTATCCGGGCTGCATACGGTATATTCTATAGTTACTAGGAAAAGCAGAAATATTACACGTACTCTTTTGACTTCCAACTAGCATATAATATCTATATATCCCGTCAAAAAAGCAATCATTACATTAGATTCAACTTTTCTCTGAATTCATCAACTCCCTTGAGCACTAGCTATGCAGATCACCCAAAATCATACACATCATCACCCCAGGATATCAGACAAAGTCCCTACGACGAAATAAAGAACCAAGCACTCTCACCCTCGCCTACGCTCCCCCCGTCAGTCCACAAAACACAGGCAACCAAACCAAACCAAACCAACCCCCCAATAGACAATATCTCACTGAACAACAAAATCAAAGAACAAGAACCGAACTATCTCAACAAATATAGACAGGTCGATAGATCAGAATACCATATCAGCCCATAACTCAATAATAAACTCAATCATCAAGCGCTACTTCACCCACATGGACATAACTATCCATCTGAAGCAGCACGGACAAAGTAAATTCACCCCTTCCTTAGAGACACCTGGACATTCTAATGAACCACGCGGAAGGATATTCATAATGCCTGAAAAAGAAATTTACTGAATGATCAAACAAGAGGGTGAACAAGACCGTACATTATTTGGAAGAAGGAGAGATGCTTTCTGGTGTTTTCTGTATTGTATCTGGCTTGGCGGGTTTGATTTGCTATGCCTCGGGCATTGATAACATCCATAGCTTCTAGGGGGAAATGTATTAGATAGCAACTTGATGAAATGGAATAGTGAAGAGTCGAGAACGGTACAGTCTAGCGTTTCGCATCTCTGTGGGCTTTAATTTCTACAGATACCAGGAATCAAGTGGAGATGAAGTCAAAGAAACACCAATGTTACATCTATGGCTTAACACCAACCCTCACGCAAATATCAACATTTGTTAACTAAGACAATATACACATTCTAATCTATCACCGCAACGTAACCAACTCCTCCGCACTAGTCGGGTGAATAGCCACGCAGCTATCGAAATCCTTCTTCGTAGCGCCCATCTTCACAGCAACACCGAAACCCTGCAACATCTCGCCCACGCCCAGACCCAGGATATGCAGACCGACGACCTTCTCCTCCGGACCGGCGCAGATCAGCTTGAACTCGGTCGGGTTCTTCTTCTTCTCCTCGGCCGGCATCACGTCGTAGTACATGGCCGTGAACCGCGTCTTGTAGATCTTGATCTGGTCGTCGCCGTAGCGCTCGCGGGCCTCGGGCTCGGTGAGACCGACGGTGCCGACCTCCGGGTGGGCGAAGACGACCGTGGGGATGTTCTCGTAGGAGAGTTTAGAGTCCTTGAGTTCGGGAGGACCGAAGAGGCGGTTGCCGAGCTGGCGGCCGGCGGCGATGGCCACTATGATCAGTCAGTCAGCATTGCACGGTTGGAACTGTATTGGCAGTAGAGATTGCAGGGGATGATTCGGTTGTAGGGGTAACGTACCAGGAGTCAGTTCGGCGTGGCCGGTGACGTCACCCAGAGCGTAGATACCGTCCACGGAGGTGTTCTGGTAATCGTCAACGGTGACGTATCCGCGCTCGTTCAGCTTCACCCCGGGAACGTCCAGGTTCAAGTCCTCAACCTCGGGCAGACGGCCAATGGCCCACAGCAGCTCGTTAACCTCGATCGAGGATCCGTCCTGGTTGATCAGTCGGAGCAGCTTGTCCTTGCCCTTGCCATCCCGGATGAGCTGGATCTCCTTGAAGCCGCCGTGGTTCTTGTGGAGCTGAATGCCGGTAGCCTCGTACCGCTCGGTCATGGTCTTCTGGATCATGGGGTCGAACTTGCGCAGGAACTCCTGGCCGCGGATGAACATGTGCGTCTCAACGCCCACGGCGCCCATCACGCCCGCCAGCTCGACGGCGATGTATCCGGCTCCCACCACAGCGATCTTCGGCGGCAGCTCCTCGATCTCAAAGAATCCGTCGCTGGTGATGCCGTGCTCAGCGCCCTTGATGTCGGGAATGGTAGGGCGTCCACCGGTGGCGATCAGAATGTGAGGCGCGGTGTACCGGGCCTTGGTGCCATCCTCCAGAGTCACCTCGATGACCTTAGGTTCCACGAATCCGGCGCGGCCGTGCACCAGATCGATGCCCTCGCGGCCCCAGTTGCGCTCGTAGGCGCCGTTCAGGCGCGTGATGGTGGAGTCCCGGATGTCCTTGAAGTGCTTGTAGTTGATGTTCACGTCCTTGGGGATGTCGTATCCGTAGTGCTGTCCGACGTGGAGGGTCTCGTTGATGGATGCGAAGTTCCAGGTCATTTTCTTGGGAACACACCTATTCTGCTGTTAACACTCTCAACCCACAAGACACAACAACACTAGGCTCAAGGACATACCCGACGTTGACACAGGTACCACCGGAGCGACCGCTCTCGACAATCAATGTCTTCGCTCCGTACCAGCCGGCAGCTCTCCGTCCACTACCACTGCCTCCGCTACCACCGCCCAAAACAATGTAGTCATACTGATGCGTCTCAATGGGAGCCATGTTGCCCGCGTCGGTCACAGACGAGGTGGACGAAAAGTGTCGAGATAGAGAGGCGAGACGAGATGCCGGAGTAGCCAGAGCGACTCGGTTGGAGGGGCTAATGGCAGCGTTTCGGTGCGCAATGGTTGTAATGCTCTTGCGTCCGGTCACGGAGAGCGACGAAGGAATTGGCGATTGGCGAACAGAAGGGCGTTGCAGAAGCCGGTTCCTAGAAGCCTGGGCAGAAAGGGAGCGAAGGGAAGAGCGAGGGAGCATGGAGATGAAATGGAGGGGTAGAAGGAGGGGGGGGGGAAGAAAAAGAAGCGAGGAGTTAGTGGACAGGATGATAAACGGATGGGTAAGCTGGCGGGGAAGGGAAAGCGGCGAAGCTTCGTTCGGTGTCTGACGGAACGATGGAGGCGAATCCCCGAATGACTGCAGCAGAAGAACACGAGGATGACGGATGATGGACCAATTGAAGGGGCACAGGGATCAGACTGGGTCCCTTGCGATCAAATGGAATTCTGCAATGCAGCTCTTACTTTTCCTTCCCGAATCAGCCAAAATTCTCCTGCGATGTCATCATCGCCAGCCAGCACGTGACGTGCTTGATCAGCGGCTTACCAATCTCGGCCTTTGATCGGCGACTGCTCTACGAAGACTTACGATAAAGACAATTGGGTGTAGGAAATTCTAGATTGTTTATGCTGAATACACAATTCATTCTCTGCAATGTGACGGACTTGTGACCAATATCCCCCAGAATGAAAAGAAAAAAAAATAGCCATTGCAGATACCATGTCTCACGTCTTCACAGTCGTTATACATATCGAACATATGACGGTATATCAGTCACGTCAAGTCTGTCAGATCTCGAAGTCTTGAAGGAAAAGGATAAGGTGATCCCACAAATCAAGGAGAATATGAAAGAGGATAGAAAGGGGGGCAGGGGAGGGAATGAGAAAGAAAATGCGCTAAAGGTTCATCAATCGAAGCTTCCAGCTCGGACGCATCATAGTATCATCTATCGCCTTATCACCAGGCGTGAGGTACCTGCGCCGTAGCTTTTCAGTGGTTCGGTATCAAGTGCAGTCTCTACTGGGAGTTACAAGATGTAGGATGTAGAGTTGTAGGTGGATGTGAAGTGGGGTGGAAATAGTTGATGAGCACAGAAAAGTGCGATCGATCAGGCTGGCAGACTCATCGTAGAAGGGTCGTCGAGTAGAGGGCTGCCGGGGACGGCGTCTAGCGCCACGGCATGCAGAGCGGGCTTGTCGGCCTCGGGTGCCTCGCCGCGACGGGCCAGTTGCTCTTTGACCCAGTTGGCGACCTCCTCATCCTCGGTGGCGGAGGACGGCGGGTGTTCGGCCGCTTGTTGTGATTGACTGTCCTCGGCTGAAGGCGGTTGCATGAGAGGTGCAAGCCAGGGGTGTCGCAGCAACACGCTATAGGAAGGCCGGTTGTTGGGGACCTTGTCCAAGCACGCGCGGACAAATGCGTGCGCATCTTCGGAGTAACCAGATTCCGGAAGGGTAGGAGGGTCGCCATGGACAATTGCCTATAAGAGGTTACGTTAGAAAGGATTCTTGAAGACAGGATGAAGGCGCGACTTACGTGTAGTTGACTGAAGATGTTATTGAAGGTCTCCGGCGGGTACGGATAGCGCCCGATGGCACATTCAATAATGGACAGACCCAAACTCCAGACATCGCTCTGGACGCTGTAGGTTCCGCCGCCGGTCGATCCGGCCTGCTGCACACCCCCACCCGCTATCCGTTCGGGGGCCATGTAGCTCTGACAACCAATATTGGTCTTCGCAATGCTGGCAACTAGGTTTCCGCTGACGCCAAAATCGCAGATCTTGATCTGTCCCCGACTGTTGACGAGGATATTTGTGGGCTTGACATCGCGGTGGATGATGTTGTGGTCGTCTTTGAGGGATTTGAGGCCCATGACTGTCGATAACGTCACTTTTCGCAGGATACTCTCGGGGATGCCCTCTTTATAAAGCTTGTCAATCGAGCCACCATCCATGTACTCGACGCAGATGTAGACAGCGCCTTCTTGGAAGAAGGCACCGTAAAAGTCAATGATGAATGGCGAGATGCACCGGTGGAGAATTTCCAACTCCATAATGATCTGGGCGAACTTGCTCTCGTCCAATTCGAGGCGGATCTCTTTCATCGCCATGATGATACCCGATAGGTTGTCGTTCGGCTTCGGCGTATCTGACTCGTCGGGTCGACTGACGATACCTCGCAGTCCCATGCCCGGTTTGCGCATATGCGGCCGACTATGTCGAACCTTGTAAACCGTCCCGTAGTTGCCCTTCCCTAGCTCGTCCATACGGTCCACCTCGTCAAGTGAGATTTTGAAGCTATGCCCCGAGGAGAATTCAATTCCACCGCCATGGAGAACGGCTTTGTTCTTGAAATTTAAGGTCCCTGCCTGCGTGTCGATGTATTCGGAGTATTTGCTAAAAGCCGACTCAGTGGGCGCGCCGTTCTCAGACGGTTTGTCGCCGGACGAGTCGCTCGGCCCCGTGGCATCCGATAACTTCAACCCGGGTTTCATACGTTTGGCGGCCAGGCCGCCGGGTTTCGGGGAATTCGACGGCGAGGACGCTTGAAGCGAAGGGGAGGATTGCCAGTTCTTGTTGCCGGGACGGGCCACGGGCGGCAGCCGTCCTCCCATTGACCCTGCCAAAGGACCGTTGGCAGCCGGACCGGGAGGCGACCGGACAGCGTCGGGGGAGCGAGGGACCGCACCTGTCGAGGCGGCGTGCGGCAGCGACGGAGGAGCTCCCTGTCGGGAGAGCGAGAAGGCCTTCATCTTAGCCATAATATCCTGGTTCAATCCTCCTGGGGCGACGCCGCTCATCGACGGTTGCGGCTGGGGTCGCTGGGGAAGCGGTCCCTGAGATCGCGGGGCACCCCCTTCACCCCGGCGGGCGGCATTGAGTTGACCGAGATGTGTAGATGAGGCACTGAGCCCGCCGGAAGGGTCGCGAGTCGAGCGAAGGGTCGGAACGGCGGGGGACGTGTTGAGGGACGGGGAGAGGTCATCGTCCGTGGTGTCGGACTTGGTGTCCAATTCTGGTTGCGGCGGAATTTCCGCAACGACTTCTCTTTCGGAGCCCATGGTCGATAAGAGTAGCGAATTACCAATTGTGGGTAGCGGTCGACGTCCAAAAGCACTCGCAGTCTCGCACAGTCTCGCACAGCCACCGAATCTGGACCATAAAAGGGAAAGGGAGAGGGGAATCGGTGTGGGGGCAAAACGTCGTCGGTGCGGTCGGAAACCGGGAAAACCGGGCAAACTAAGTCGAGTCGAGGACCAAGAGAACGGGGCTCTCGCGTCGTGAACAGGTCCAAGGGAGCCGACAGAGCGGGACGTTTTAAGATGATGATTCCGCCGAAGGAGAGAACGATTGATGGATCAAGCGAAGGCAGAAACGATTTCTTCCGGCGAAGTTGCCCGGGAGGCTTGCAGAAACGAAGACGAAGGTGTAATTATAGGCGTGGGGCACGAATCAAGCCATCGGAAGATCAGAAGGAGGAGGGAAAAGAGAAAGCTCAGTCAAGAGTGCCCGGCCGAACAGACGTCTTTTTAAGGGATAGTATAGAAGAAACAAGTACGAGTAAGAAAAGCGACGAAAAAGAAGGAAGAAGAAAAGCACAAGGAACACGACGAGAGAAGCAGAAGAAGTGGGGGGGAAGAAGAGAGTCGGGCGTTGAAGAGATAAGAAAAGGCGAAAGATTGGCTGCCTCAGTCATGCATTCCGTACGATTGGGGTTTAATTCGCTCAGTCACTGACCCTTTGGACCATCCCTCATCATGACAATCCTCTAATTGAATTTAATCCGGAGTCAAATATTGAAAGTAAAATAAAATAAATCTAATATAAAAAATTAAAAGAAAAAACTCTTATCTAATCGACTACCAATCGGGATGAGACGCCGGCCAATGGCAGGCCTCAGGCAGCAGCTGCCCGACGCTGAGTCATCCGGCGATCGGCGTCTCAGCCACGAAGGAGTGGCAACTGTTGCCACCACCGGTCAGACCATCAATCAACGCGAGAGACGTCGATATTGCGACTCAATTCTCGTCGATGCCTCGGCCAATGACTGTCGCCGGAAACAAGATAACCTCGGGGCCCTGACGCCGGTTCGCGCGGATTCACGGAAATGGTCCCAGTCTGGACGGAAAGAGGGCCGCTATCTGGCACTGCGATCAGTCCACCGATGTCGTTGATACTTGTAACTTGGTAGGGTTTCCAACGAGGCAGGCTGGACGCGCAATCTGGGACAGGGTCAAACGCCCCGATGTGATAGCAAACAACCCTCGGTCAATAAGATACAAGCTTCCCCGGTCCGTCGGTCTGGGGTAGGCTGGTAGCGCTGGAGGGCTTGCCTCCGTTGCGTGTGGGCTGAGATCATTGGGCCGATGAAGTCATCGTCGGTCGGGCAGACTGGTCAAATCAATGATCTACACGCTGCTGCATTACAATGGTGGTGTCGTTGCACGTGTGGTACAAAAGTACTTGATTGGAGTGCCTTCTTCCTCGGATTGGATGGGAAGTCGTTGGCATATCTTTTCCTGATGCTGTGGAGGCACCATTCGGTCTCTAAATATAGTTTTTAACTATTTGATGGAGGCAGATGTGCAGCGACATCCCAAAGTACATGTCAGTCCGTGCAGAAGTCGGTCGAAATAGGCTTTCCTCTCTTCCGTTCACCTTGTGTCTACTGTCTATCACTCGACATTGTAAGAGTACACTCTCTAGGGAGGGTCCGTGGTCAGCTATGAACCACAGTAGTTCCAACGGTCGTGAAACCCAAACCCTCCAGCACCGGTCAAATCGAGGACGCATCCGGGGAGAAGCAGCGTCGAAAGTTCTGTTTCAACCAGCTCCCTTGGAAGTCAAGAGTAGCGGAGTAAAGTTTCGTCGCCTGCAGCCAACGGGCGGATTTCCCTACTGCTCCCTACTCCCTACTGCGAAAACCTGCGACAAATTCAAAATCCGGGGCGACACGCGGAACAGCAGATGTTGTTCTGACCAAGTAAACAAGCGCCCACGGATCCTGGATCCTGCAAGGTGAGTGGATGCGCCGCGGTCGGGATGAGTCCACCATGGCGTCATCCAGGATGGGATCCCTCGTACGCAATCTGGCGTCAACCCGGCGATACCAGTGGCAATGGCCAAGATATGGAGATGACAAGTGCGGAGACAGCGCATTTTCATCACGGCTCGGTCATGAATCATGATATCACCTCCCATCACATCATCGGGATCGTTATCTTGGTCGCATCCCTTGCCGGGATGCCAAGAGGAGATGTTCTTCACCGCGGATGCCAATCCATTGCGACGGGAGAATTGGCGGAGTGGAAGATTCTGCTGACACCGATAAGTTTGGTGTGGGAGTAACACTGGGAATCTAGATACGACCAACGGAGAGAAAAGTAGTCAGACTGAGAACCTCGACTATGAAAGAGTATGAAACAGATCAAATAAATGTAAACGAGATAAGCGAATCTTGGACGCCGCCTTGGCAAACCCCCGACGCGCCTATCGGAGGGTTGGACAGCGACATGTCGCCATCATCATTCTTCGTCAAGTAAGGTCAAAGGTGAAGTAGTGAGGCAACTCTTCAGCACCGCCTCGCTCGCTCGCTCTTTGTTCCTTTTCTTTCCTTCCGCCAAACCCTCCGCAGCTTCAACCTTATTTCGGTTCGCGCAATTTCCATGCCATTCGCATCTTCTGCGCTCCAGCTCAACTCTTCTCTTTCACTCCTTCATACACATACACCGTTTAAACCACCAACTTCCCCTGTCTCATGGCCATTTTTAGTGCTCCCAGGTCCGTTCAAAATGCCCACCTCTCCTCCCTGGTGCCTCGTCAGTTCATGACGCAGTCTGATTTGGGCATCTCGCCCGCTCTCCTCCAAAATGTCCCTCATTCCAGTCACCCTTCCTTTTTGAACCTCGTCCTCCTGGTCTTCGAGGCCGTCCTGGAGGTCATCTGCGTCAGTCTGCCCGGCTACATTGCAGCTCGACAGGGCCTATTCGATGCCGATGCGCAGAAACTGGTTGCCAATTTGAATGTCACTCTTTTCACGCCGTGCCTGAGTATGCTTTGTTCTCATCTATGTTTAACCATGTTTTTAAAGAAATTTCGCTAATTGACATCCATTGTAGTCTTCACCAAGCTAGGCTCGCAATTGACAGCCGATAAACTCACCGATCTCGCCATCATCCCCGTCATTTTCGTCGTTCAAACCTTGATATCCTACCTTTGCGCATTCGTGGTAGGCCGATGTTTCCGCTTCAAGAAACGGGCGGCCAACTTTCTAACGGCCATGGCGGTGAGTTCCGGAACGATGTGAATTGTTGGTCAATGGGTGGAACGGCGCGACTGACGGGTCCTACAGGTGTTTGGCAACTCAAACTCGCTTCCGATCTCCCTAGTCATGTCACTGTCGCAGACGTTGAAGGGCTTGCATTGGGATCGAGTGCCCAACGATAACGACGACGAAGTAGCGGCCCGGGGAATCCTTTACCTGTTGATCTTCCAGCAACTGGGTCAGCTGGTCCGCTGGAGCTGGGGATATCACGTCCTTCTTGCTCCCCGTGAACGATACCTTGAGGAAGCGGAGAGGGAAGAAGGGCCCACTCGTATCGAGCAGGGTCAGGAAAGATACACCGACAACCCAGAGCAAACCGACCCTGACGAACCGCTCGTTAGGACTCGCAGCTCGGAGGATTTGCTGAGCGGCTCGTCGACGGGCGGCGATGACGAGACGAGCGAGTTTCGCTCCGGCGACCAAACCCCGGTCAACCCGCGCACCTACTCGTACACGAAACTGCCGGCGCACGAGCCTACCCACGAGGATCACCCTCGCTTGCTTGGGTCTCCGCCACGTGGGGATTTCCTGCCCCGACAGAGCACCCACGGCGATATTCTCTGCTTCCCCAACGTCGAACTGCCCTCTGAGGACGACCAGCCCAAAACCGGCGTGATTACGCGCGTGCGAATCTCCACGCGCCATCTAGGCGGTCGCGTCGCCGGTGGCTGGGAGACGGCGTCCGGCAAAGCGTTCCAAAAACTCCCCACGCGGCTGCAGAAGTTCATCTCGCTCGTCTGCATGTGGACGCGGAAGTTTTTCCGCGGCGCCTGGGAGTTCATGAACCCGCCTCTTTGGGCAATGCTCGTGGCCATTGTTGTTGCGTCCGTCCCGGCGCTGCAGAAGCTTTTCTTCGAGGAGGGCACTTTTGTGCAGAACTCGGTCACTCGCGCCATCAACCAGAACGGACAGGTCGCCGTCCCGTTGATTCTCGTGGTTCTCGGCGCCAATCTGGAGCGAAACACCCTGCCCAAGGAGGCCATGGAGGACATGGAGCATCCCAGCGAGGAGCGCAAGCTGATCATCGCGTCCCTGGTGGCGCGCATGCTGCTTCCGACTCTGTTTATGGCTCCGTTGCTCGCCCTCGTGGCGAAATACGTCCCCGTCAGCATCTTAGACGATCCGATCTTTATCATTGTCTGTTTCCTGCTCACGGGCGCGCCGTCCGCGCTGCAGTTGGCGCAGATTTGCCAGATCAACAATGTTTTTGTCGGCGCTATGTCGAAAGTATTATTCCAGAGTTATGTTGTGTGGTATGTTTCCCCTTTCCACCTCGGATCAATATTTCCAGATCACTAATTGATGGCTGCAGGATTCTACCCTCTACTCTCATTCTTGTCATGTGTGCATTGGAAGTCGTCGAATGGGCTTCCGCTTAATCTATCTCTCTCTTTCTCTTCTTTTTCCTTCCCCTCTGGACGGACAGCTACAGCAAATTACTTCATACATTACTACCTCACAGGTACTTCGGAATGGTGCATAGGCGTTGCGGTATTCAATATTGAATATTCGGTATTAGGTCGGTAGGACAAATTGGTCTTCGGGCTTCGGGCTTCTCTCCGGAATTATCTTTGTCTTTGTATGTACCTATTACTGAAACGGCGGCTTCTTCTCTTCACTTGAAGTTAGTTGTCTTTCACTTTTTATGATACGAACTGAACTCTAGATTGGACGGTGATGCCATGGATGGAACAAGGATGAATCATTTGATGTTTGTGTGCAAGGTCTACCTCGCTACCTACCTAGGTAATCAATCGCTTTGCGGTCAGAAAGCTGGCCTTTCTTTCGTTCGCAGTTCGATCTTGGTTTTTTATTCGTTCTTTTCATTTGCTTATGTAGAGATGACCTTGTAGGCAGGTAGGAAGCTCCTTCGGTAGTCGTAAGGTGGATACATATCTCTTATCTAGGCAGTGCCTAGATATTCGTGATTTAGCAATGCTGTCGTAATTGTCAGATTCGTGTGCGGGTAGGCTGGGATGGTCAGGGCTATTTTATCTTGCTTTCTCTTATGTTTCATGTTCAATGCCTAGGGCCTGTCCATGTTCTTGTATCAGTCAGACCTTACTACATACAAACATAAATACATATATACATCAAATCAGATAACCTCGAAGAACTATCAGCTCGTCTCACTGACAAAACTCCCGAATAAACCTCGTATAAACCCCCTCCTGCTCTCGTAGACTCCCCACCTCCACCCACTCCTCCTTTCCATGCAACCCCTGGCCCTTAGGGCCATACACGATCGCCGGAACCCCAGCGTCGGTCAACAGGGCAGCATCGCACCAGAACGGGGCCGTGCTTATCTTAGGAGACTTCCCGAGCACGGAACCCGCGCACTCAACGGCCTGTGTGACGAACGGATGGTGATTCGGCAACTTCTGCGTCGGACGGGACATCGTGATGCGAGGTTCGGAGGACCGGAAACGGGGGTTCTCGTTGCTGATCTCTTTCAATAACGTGGATAGGTCGCTGAGGATGGATTCCCTGGTTTGGGAGGGGACGGTTCGGAACTCCACTGTGATAGTGCATTTGGCTGGGTAGGATGACGGTTCTTCGCCGCCTTGGATCAGTCCGCAGTGTAGGGATGCCTGTCCTAATGTGTCGTCGACGGGGAGCTGGGTTTGGTACTGCTCGAGAGCGCGCAGGAACCAACCCGCGGAGAGGATGGCGTCTTCGCCGCTGGAGGGATCGGATCCATGGGCAGCTACTCCCAGGATGTCGATCTCTACCCAGAGGAAACCCTTATGCGCTGTGATGATCTCGCCCATGGTGGGTTCCATGACGACGGCTACGTCGGCGCGCCAGCCTGCGGCGAGGAGATCGCGCGTGCCTTGAGAGGCGTCCTCCTCGTCGGAGACGGCGGCAATGATCACGTCCCCGCTGGGAATGATGCCGCTGGCTTTGATGCTAGATACCGAAGCCATGGCGGCTGCGAGACCGCCCTTCATGTCGAGACTACCGCGTCCCAGCACGACGGGCTGGCAGTTGCGTTCGCCCAACGCCCCTGATAGAGGGTCCTTCTCGTAAGTGGAAAGACTGACGGTGTCGACGTGGCCGTTGAACATGAGAGATCGGCCGCCTCCGGTGCCGCGCAAGATGCCCACGATCGACGGCCGTCCGGACACCGTTTCCAGTCGGTGATGCTCAATTTCGCGATACGCGAACCACTCGGCCAGATAGTCTGCGATTCCGGTCTCGCCGACTCCGTCCGTCACGGACAGGGACGGGTTGGAGGAGTTGATCTGCGTGAGAGCTTGGGTGAGACCGACGGAATCATCCACCGAAACGTCCCTCGGGATGGGATACGGTCGAGCGCCTTCGGTGCTTAGGAGAACCAGAACAGAATCCTTTCTCAGTAATGAACTGGCTTTTGGCGCCTGGCTTAACCGTCGCAATGCAGCCAGCGACGCACCACCACACGGTCCCGCCGTCACCGAGCGCGTCGCCAGATACTCCAGCGCGCAGTGCGTCTCAAACGACGAGACGGTGACCGAGGCATCCACGCCGCGCTGCAGATCCGGCCACGCGGTAGTTGACACCGTCCCGCAGTTCATGCCGTTCATGATCGTTGCGGACGTCTCCACTGTGAGTTCCCTTCCAGCTTTCAGACTCGCATATAGACAAGGCGCCGTCTCCGGCTCGACGACGACCACTGAGACAGGCCCATCATCGCGCTCTTTACAATGCCTCGTCACCGCATGCGCCAGACTCCCAACCCCCACAGGGGTAATCATCAGATCACATCGCAGCGCCTGGTCCGCCAACTGCTCATCCACCTCGGCCATCAACGTCGAATACCCCTCGACAATCCACGCCGGCACATCCTCGTAGCCCTCGAACGCCGTATCCTGCACCAGGACACCCCCAGGCGTCGCTTTTGCCGCAGAATCCGCCTCGGTGACCGCCGCATCATAACACCCCTCCACAATCTGCACGATCGCCCCTTCACTCGCAATTGACCCCCTCGTCCCCTCACTCATACTCGACGACACGAAGATCCTCGCGGGAATCCCCAACAACTTCGCCATGAACGCAACCGCCCGACCATGATTGCCCTCAGTGGCCGCAAACACCGACACGTCCTTCCCCGCCAATGCAGCCTTCAATCCACCCAGTCCGATCGTCGGCTCGAGACCCAGAACTTGCGCAATCGCGCGATAGCAGCCCCACGAGGCACCGAGGACTTTGAACGACGGGAGTCCGAACCGATTGCTCTCGTCTTTGACGAAGACTGCCCGAACGCCAAGTTCCTGCGCCAGCGCGGGTAAGGGGACTAAAGGGGAGGGTGCGTAACCGGGTAGAGACTTGTGGAAATCGCGCACGTCGCTGGTTTGTCGGGACTCCTCGTGGTGGCGCAGAGGGCCGGCCGCAGGGTTGATGTAGATCGGACGACGGGCGGACATGTTGTCTCTCGCTGAATGGATCTCAGGGGGGGGCAATTGATAATCTTGTCAAGGGGATGGCGGAAGGAGACCCTGGAGCTCAAGCGGGTTATATCTGGGTATCGGATAAGGGCATAAGAGGGTCAAGGGACCGGTTATCAACTGGTTTCTGTCTGTCGAGCCCTCCGAGGACATTCGGTGCGCCTTCCGGCGACACGGTGGGGACGGTGGATGTCGAGGGGTTTTAGTCTTTTTCTGCGAACCATCCAGTTTGCATTGGTTCTTCAGAATTAGTTTTTCGTAGGGGAGGGCATTGAATAGGAAGGTTAGCTCGTTCTATGTCATCTTTTTTGTGGATGAGATGAATGGATGAATGTGTTGGAAGAGATCTGTTTGGTCCGAGGAGGATTGTCTGGTAGATCTTCTAGGTGTGGGGTGGACACCGCAGTGATCAACAATCATCACGAAATGAATGATATGGATGCCTGAGTCGACTGTTCTTATTGTGATGATTCATGAGATGGATAAGATGGATGTAGGAAGAAAGAGTCTTCCATGGTGTTGCAGACAGAAAATGGCCATTGCTTGGCAGTTGCCCTCAGGCATCTACAACGCCTACATGTACAGGATCAGTCACAGTCTATTCACAGTAAAGATGACAAACTTCGTATTAGTTCTATTTGATCTACAGCGGATCTTTAGTCTACGACATTGATACTTCCTAACCCAGTCCAGTCAACTCACACTCTCTCAGCCCGCAACTGATCATAGTTGACCACAGACTCCAACAGAGCCTGAGCACCCAAAGCACTATCACAAATTAGCATCATCATGAAACACTAAACACCAACCAAGGAAACTTACCAATCATCCTGACTACAATACTCCTCCGAATGATGACTGACCCCGTCGCGACACGGCACAAAGATCATCGCCGTGGGACAATGCCGGCTTGTATACACGCTATCATGGCCAGCACCGCTGACCATATCCATCCATTTCTGCGGCCCGACCAGCGCGTCAGCAGCCTTCTGGATTGCCCGCGTGCAGTCGCCGTCGAACTGAACGGCAGCCGAATCCGTATCCAGCTTCCAGTCAAAGGAGACGCCCTTTCCATCCTGCGTCGCGATTTCATCGAACGCTTCGAGACACTCCCTCTGCACCGCCTCGACCACGCTGTCCTGCGGATGCCGGATATCCAAGGTGAAGTTGACCTGCGACGCAACCGTATTCGTGGAAGCATTCGCCGGCGTCTTGATCACCCCCGTGGACGCCAACGCCCCATGCTTCTGAGCCACCGCATTCGACGCAGCGATCATCTTCGACGCCGCGAGCAGCGGGTCCTTCCGTGCGCTGAGCGGCGTCGTCCCCGTGTGCGCGTCCCGCCCATGCACCGTGACCGAGAGCCACCGGTACCCTTGGGCCCCCTGGACGATGCCCAACGAGCGCCCGGTCTCAAGCAGAATCGGACCCTGCTCGATATGCAGCTCGAAGTGCGCTCCTAGGGGCACGCCGGTCGGCGAGCAGGCCACGTCGCCGAGCCATCCGGTTCGCTCCAGTTCAGACCGCAGCGTCACGGCCGGGTTGTGAATGTCACGCAGATCCCAGGCCGCTTGGATGGGGATGGCGCCGGCCCAGACGCCAGAAGAACACATGGACTTGGGGAACCGGGCGCCTTCTTCGCTGTTGTCGCATTCATTCGTTAGCATCGGGTGTACCACACCACCAAGATATCATAGATATCCATTCCACAACCGGACCGATAGGCCAGTAATCCGGCAAGAAAAGGGAAAAGAAGAGGGACATACTTCGTCCAATTCACCAACCCAACATCAAACTCCGTATCATACCCACTCTCCTTCATCGTCCTCAGCACCTCCAACGCAGCCATCACCCCCAGGATCCCATCATACCGACCTCCCCGGGGCTGGGTATCCAAATGGCTGCCCATAGCCGTCATTGGAGCCTGCGAACGACGTCGACCCGCCCGTCGCGCAAACATGTTCCCCATCTGATCGACAACGAGGGTGCAGTCTAGCTTTTTGACCTCGTCGGCTAGCCAGCGACGAACTCGCGCGTCAGAGTCGGTGAGTGTGAGGCGCGCCATGCCGGTTTCTTCACGTGCTCTGGACATATATATTTAGTATTTGTGGACTGAATTAGGGAATTGATTTGCAAATTAGATCCGGGGTAAGAGGCAAGAGGAGGGACGAACTCGCCGTAGCGATGGGCAGATCCCCATTCGCAGGTTTCGTGGAGTGTATCCCATAGTCGGGCGGAGTTGATGGAGAGGCCGGAAGGGGTGGATGTGGATTTGGTGGTCGTGGATAATTGTCTCGTCGGGTGAGATGAGAGCGCGCGGTGAGCGCGTCGTGCGAAATGCATTGCCTCTCTGCGCTAATCGAAGTATAGAGTTAGGTTAAGTTTGAGTCCGAGAACTCGGTGTGGTTTGGACATGCGGATGTTAAAACGATGTAAGGAGAATAAAGAATGCGCATTTATAGCTGTCTAGGATAGACGCCTTCTCAAGACAGAAATTATGGAGACACTCAGTTCCTTTCAGAGATGGACCTAGGTCTGGTCCCTTCTGGGATCGTATGAGCGGGCAGGAATTGCGATGAGTTCTGTAGAAGTGGAGAGGGCGGAAGTCCAGCGCCTTCCGACGACATGCGGTGGAGCAAAGTTATACTCCCTTCGAGGCACCCGGCGAACTACCGATATGCGACCAAGCATCTTTGAATTAAATGAAAGCTAGTATTATGGTAAACTGGTCGAATTTAAAACATTACTAAGTGATTAAACCAGTGGATGGTATGACACGCGGACCCATTGACGAACGGCGAGTTCAAGGCATACTCTCCGTCATCTACTCCGATCAGCGCAATTTTGGCCAGGGAGGGTCAGCTACGGGGGTTAGGGCTCACGAATCATGACTGTCCAAATGGTCACAAAGACAAACAAGGCCAAATAGGCAATCTTCTGAAGCGGGAATAGGAACGGGTACAGATGGTAGGGGAAACTCTGGCTGAACCCGTCTACCGGGTGGAAAGCATAGCTGGCGAACGGCGTCGACACGATCCATTTGTGGTGCGCCTTGTGCAGGTGCTTGTATACCCAGGGGTGATGCAGGCCACGATGGATGAAGTAGATGCCGCAGTCCGTGAAGGCGATGAAACGCGGGTACTGCAGGTAGGTATAGAGCGCAAAGGGGCCTTCCTCAGGAGAGTCATAGAGTTTAGTGTAGCCTCGCACCTCAACCACGAAGCACAGTGCAGTAAGGACGGCCATGCCGGGCATCGATAGCATGGCGTGTTTGATCTCCAGGCGGATCTGGTTGCTCTGCAGAATCAGAACAGGACTGCCTACCATGCGATGAGAAACAAAGTCAGTCCCTGTCGCAGGGTCCTGTCCCTCGGCGTCTACTTTGGACGGCCCATTCGGATGGAGGGATCGCGACATAGCGATTGATGTATTGGTTCAGATTATCCCATTCGGTGCTGTTGGAGGGAGATGGTCGACCAGAAAGGAGAGAGAAGATATTTTTTACATGGACAGGCAGACAGGTTCATCTCACCACCAGGTGTAACAATGTCACGGGCAGCATGGAATCAATCGACCAGAGATGTTTGATAATTCCATTCTACAGAGGAGTATCCAAGAGAAGTTTCCTCCCCCGTCATCGAATGCACGCCGGGGTGCCTGTATCTCGACACCTGAGGCTGCATCAGGCACCAGTCCGGCGCACGGGCCTCACACGAGACTGCAGACACGTGACCTCTCTCATCCCAGCCCTTCTGCACTACAAGAACACTAGAAGATCGGTATAAAAAGATTTAGAGAGTCTCGCTTCTGATGATTACCAGTACTCAAGTGCACCCGATCTGACACCTGAAGAGGACAGGTTGAGAAGAAAGATGGTCTCCTCAGACGAACTTATATAACACCACCGTCACTCTAAGGTCCCTATACGTTCAGACCAACCTAAAAGCGACTACCAGCATAAGGCTGCAGATGAAGGTCTGTCTGTTGTCTCTGTGTCTGTATCTATAGTTATCTATAGTGCTATCCTCTATCTGTCTCTGGCTGCTGTAGGCTTCTTGTAAAGCGGCGAGGGCGGTAAAGCGGCGACTGACGGGGTATTGGTATTACCACCAGGGACTGAGGAGATGCACCGGACAGAGTCGAGAGAGAAAAGATGGGATGCGTGAAGACAAGGCAGAATTGGTTTCTTTCTGATCTCCCCGTCTCCTATCTTCTTTTTCCAATCTTCCTGGCAGTTCTTCCGGTACTTCTTCATTTTTTTCTACTTCTTCTCGTACTGACGAATACGGTACGGAACGGCGACCCTGGAAACCCTCGTTTTCTTTTCTTTGCTGGTCAGCCAACTTGCATCCTTCTTCTTTTCTTCTCTCTTTTGTCTTAAAGAGATTCTTTGCTAGTGTTTATTTTCTCTTGTTCCGTCTCGTGGTTAGGTAATCCTAGCAACCCCCGACAGAGGAGATCCGACCGAACAGACAGACCCAAGACGGCGGGGTTCCTTTGAGCGAGGCAAATCCACACACTCCTCGCCCCCCCTCGGCGCTTTTCCTCTTCGCACCAACCCGCCCTCCGTTGTTCGCCCTTTCTTCCTGTCTTGCGCCTACACCATGGACTGGCACCCTCAGGATGAGCCATTGAGGCAGCTGGCCTGCTGTCTTCGTGACTCCTTAAACCCCTACAATCGCAATGCTCAGAAACAGGCCGAACAGGTGCGTTGTCCCCCCCCCCCCCTCCGCTCGTTCGAAGTCGCTCCTCTGCGTTCTATCCTTTCTACCCTCTCTGTCCTCCCTTACCTGGTCTCCGGCAACCTGGCGGCGGAATGTGTTTCCATATAATCTCTCAGTCAAGAGGACCGGATCCGGATTCTAACTGTTCCCTCCCCGCCCACAGATGCTAGTACAAGCAACCTCCTCGCCCGACTATGTCAACTACATCACCTATCTGTTCAGCACACCGCAGGCCCCCTCCGTGGTGGCTTTCGACGATGAGACCTGGAATATGGTTCGTTTCGCCGCGGCCATGAACTTGAAGACGAAGATCCGCGTGGCCTACAATACTGTCGCCCAACCGTGTCTGGCGTACATTCGGTCGGCCACCCTGGCCGGTCTCCGCGACGGGAACTTTCAGGTGCGAAACTCCGCCGGAAGCATCATCACAGAGCTGGTCCAGCAAGCGGGTCTGCTGGCCTGGCCCGAAGTCCTCCACGAGCTGCTGGCCCTCGTGGACAACTCGTCCAGGGATACCCCGGCTCTGGCGCAGGAGGCCGCCATGTCGGCCCTCGCCAAGGTCTGCGAGGACAACCGAAAGGTCCTCGAGCGCGACTACCAGGGACAGTGCCCGCTCGACGTGATTATTCCCAAGCTGCTGGAGTTCACCTCGAACCCGAGTGCCAACGTGCGCGCCACGGCCCTCAAGACCATCCACATCTTCCTCCCCCACCGCCCCCAGGCCTTGGTGGCCTCGATGGACCTGTTCCTGTCGCAGCTGTTCCAACTGGCCAACGATCCGAATACCGATGTCCGCCGCACCGTCTGCCTGACCTTCGCGCAGCTCGTGGATTTCGCCCCCGAGAAGCTCGTGCCGCACATGGAAGGCCTGGTCAACTACATCATCCTGCAACAAAACAACCGGGAGGATCCTGAGCTCGCTCTCGACGCCGCCGAGTTCTGGCTCGTTGCGGGAGAGCAGATCAAGCTGCAACAATCGTTGGCCCCGCACATGTCCAAGATCGTCCCCGTGCTGCTGCAGAGTATGGTCTACGACGAGGACGACGCCATTCGCTTGGCCGGGGAGGGAGACGATGCCGAGGTGGAGGACCGCGCCGAGGACCTGCGTCCGCAGTTTGCCAAATCCAAGGGTTCGCGCCTGGACTCGTCCAAGCCCGACGCGCAGGCCAACGGCGACGCGCCCGTCGAGAACGATGACGACGACGATCTCAGCGAGGGGGAAATCGAGGACTCTGAATTCGGCGACGATCCCGAGGACGAGTGGACGTTGCGCAAGTGCTCCGCGGCCGCGCTGGACGTCTTCTCCAACGTCTACCACCAGCCGATCTTCGAGATCATCCTGCCCTATCTGAAGGAAACCTTGCGCCACGATCAGTGGCCCCAGCGCGAGGCCGCCGTCCTCACCCTGGGCGCCGTCGCCGACGGTTGCATGGATGCCGTCACCCCCCACCTACCCGAACTCGTCCCCTACCTTATCTCGCTCCTCAACGACCAGCAACCGGTGGTCCGACAGATCACTTGCTGGTGCCTGGGCCGGTACTCCGAATGGGCCTCGCATCTGGGCAGCCCCACGGAGCGCGCCAGCTTCTTCGAGCCGATGATGGAGGGCATCCTGCGCCGCATGCTGGACAACAACAAGAAGGTGCAGGAGGCGGCGGCCTCCGCGTTTGCCAGTCTCGAGGAGAAGTCCGACGCCAACCTGGTGCCCTACTGCGAGCCCATTCTGCGCCAGTTCGTGCAGTGCTTCGGCAAGTACAAGGACCGCAATATGTACATCCTGTACGACTGCGTCCAGACTCTGGCCGAGTGCGTGATGGGCGAGCTGGCGAAGCCCAACTTGGTGGACATTCTCATGCCCGCGCTGATCGACCGCTACAACAAGGTTTCCGACCAGTCCCGCGAGCTGTTCCCCCTGCTTGAGTGTCTGGGGTACATCGCCGCGGCCTACGGCGACGCGTTCGCTCCCTTTGCACCCCCGCTCTTCCAGCGATGCACCAAGATCATCTTCGAGAACCTGCAGGAATACGTCGCGTCCGTCAACAACCAGGGCATTGACGAGCCCGACAAGGATTTCCTGGTCACCAGTCTGGACCTGCTGAGCGCGATCATCCAGGCCATCGACCCCCAGAAGAGCGGCGAGCTGGTAGCCAACTCGCAGCCCCGCTTCTTCGATCTGCTCTGCTTCTGCATGGAGGACCCGAACTACGAAGTCCGCCAGTCGTCGTACGCGCTCCTGGGCGACTGTGCCATCAACATCTACCCTCAACTCGAACCCTTCATCCCCAACATCCTGCCCACCCTGATCAAGCAGCTTGACTTGGACCTAATCCGGGACGACGAGCGGTACACCGGGTTCAGCGTGCTGAACAATGCCTGCTGGTCGTGCGGAGAGATCGCAGTCAACTCAGTCAACGAGAAGGCCTCGCTATCCCCGTACCTGGACAAGCTCTACCAGGGTTTGGTCGTCATTCTCAACAACGAAGAGATCATCGACTCGGTCAATGAGAACGCCGCGATGGCCTTGGGCCGCCTGGGAATCTGTTGCTCCGATCAGTTGGCTCCGCGCCTGGGCGAGTATGCCGGCGTGTTCCTGAAGTCGATGGGCAAGATCGATTTCACCCGGGAGAAAGCCTCGGCATTTTTGGGCTTCAACCAGGTGGTCATGAAGAACCCACAGGCGATGGAATCCAGCTTGGGTGACTACTTCCAGGCCATTGCCTCGTTCCCTAGCAAGTCGCTTAACACCGAGGACTACCGTGACATTCAGAGCTCATTCCAGCAGGTAAGTTTGCCTCATTCCGTATGCCGGGCCCGTTGCTAACTATGGACCAGGTGCTGCAAGGCTACAGAAATATGATACCCAACTTCGATTCCTTCCTCTCGCAACTCCCGCCCAACGTTGCTCCGAAACTCCGTTCTGTATACCAGGTTTAGATCTATATTCGGCATTTGTTAAGTGGTTTGTGATGACAAAATCCATGGCGAAAGGCGCATTAAAAATTGTTTTCTTTTTTTATTCTTTCCCTTTCACTTCACCCAATATCCGTATCCGTATCTCATATCAAACCTTTCACCCTTTTTACCCATCTTGGCCATCTTTCAAACTCTATTGGATGGAAATGAAGTGACCACTTAACGATTCTCTTACATTTATTGCTTTCATCTGCTTTTCATCATGGCGTGTTTTCTTTTCTTCCTTTCTTCATGAATACTTTCAGTTCGTGCGGATTTTATTCCTTCTGGCACGATTGATTGCATAGAGCGAAGGTCCACGGGCTCGCAGGTCCCAGTGAGCGTTTTACCTGATGGTATGATATGATATGGAATGATACCTAGGAAGACAGCCAGGACGGACTCGACTTCTTCCATGTCATCCATATACAAGAGGAGGAAACAGGCACAGGTACAAAGAGGAGGGACAAATGAAGCGATGCATAACGATGCATGATGGACTGTCTGTTTGTTTTGTCTTTTCTTTCTTTTCTTTTTTATTTTTATGATGGAACGAGGATGCATCTTGTACCATTTGGTAGATAGACTTAAGTAGTTAAAAACATATAGTTAGTTTAGATAGATCATTACTGTGTTGAGAGGGGAAGTTGATTGCAAGCTTCCGTCTTTTCTTTTTCTCATTTTTGTGCCGGTATTCCTCTTTCGTTACTCTACCGTATACCTGCTGCTGCTAAGTATAGATACAACACAGCTGCAGGAAACCAGCCCCAGGATCCCCCCTTTCTTGTGCATAATGCTACTGTACCTAGTTACAGTACCTACCAATTTACAGCATACATACACGTGTAGCTAAAGAAAGAAGAAACGCGGTGTTGGGGGCAGTTGGACGGGATGAACAGACAATCAGATGGACAGACAGACCCCATCCATCATCCATCATCCATTCATCCGGGATATTTGCATGCAGGTAGGCAGGCGGGCAGGTGGATACTTACCTGGCATCCTCGTGGCTCGTAAGTAAGTCATCCATCTAATTATTCATTCTATTTTTAATCGTAGGTAGAGTTGGTAGTACTTCTGTACTGTATGTAGGTTATTGAGTTGAGTATGTGGTTAATAGATCTATCTACGTATAATCTCGGACATGTTCAATCCAAGAGAGAGGGAGAGAGAGAGAGAGAAACATATTGATCGAAATAAAGAAAGAGACAACTAAAATCCCAAGCACGGAAAGTAAGTAGTACGTCAGTCCTATCTACCTAGAATCCATCCATCCATCCATCCATCTACATCCACATGTCCAAGAAACAACACTATCCACCAAACGGGAAAAAATCGCGACCTTTATCTAGGTATTTAACCAACTTTCCAGCCCAATCAACCCCAAACTCGCAAGATGCCACCAACCTAGGAAGGAGACACAGCCAGACAGACAAAGCAGATGAGACTCTGCACGAAAGCAGCCTAAAAAAAGATGAAACAAGTGATCTGATCAGGACGGGGTTTGAAGTGGTTAGTTAGGAGTACCTAGTATACCGTAGGTTGCAGTAGCATGCGTTTCGTTCTTGGCCTAGCTAACCTAACTACCTAGCTAGCATTACTAGTACTAACTAACTAACATAGCAAGTTAACGCTGCAACAGTGAACAGACAGACTGCTTACTCCTTACTAACTGGGCTTACGGCTTACTCGCTAGAAGAAAAAAGAAGCGGTTGAGAAGGGCTAGTTAGTTAGCTAGCTAGCTAGCTAGTTGCTAATTAGTTTCCGTCCGTAATATCAGCCAGATCTCTCAGTAACGTAATTTAGTGGCGAGGAAAAAAAAAGAAAGGGGATTTTTCTGTTTGGTAGGCTCGCTAGGTCAGGGAGGACTACGTCTGACTGACTACGCCTAGGTCGATTACTCGTTAGAAACTAGAAGAAAGTATGAATAAACTAAAGTAACGATGATTTCATTCAGCCTTGTTGACTTCCTTTTCCGGTGGTAGTTGCTGACTGACTGACTGACTGACTGACTGACTGACTGACTGACTGGCCGGTGGTTAGGTTAGGTTAGGTTGGGCTGGAGTATCTATCTATCTATCTTTTTTTTTTCTCTATCTGTCATGTCATATACGAAGTTACTGATATGGTTAGTAGTCGATGGCTGCTGGATTGGATGGGATTAGTGAGTGGCACATGATGAACCAACAACCAGCAACTAAGTAACTCTATCGAGTAGTAGTAGAGAGAAAGAAAAAGTATGACGAAGTAAAGCGGAAAGGAGAGATAGGAACGTTCGTTGCCACTTGCAGTTGGTTAGACGGATGACGGTAAAAAAGTATGTAGTTTGAGATGTTGGTTAGTAAGTAAGTGGGAAGGAAGGGATGGGAGAGAGGGAGGAGGGGGGAAGGGAAAAAAGAGAGAGAGATGGATGTATGTAGTTTATCTTTCCGTAGGCAGAAAAAGATCCAAAAAGGATGCAAAAAATGGGTTTGCTCCCTGTGGGAATCGAACCCACGACTTCGGCTAGTCACAATTCATGGGGAATCCTGTAGTAGGAAGTACACCATAAGAGCCACGCCATAACCCCTAGGCCAAGGGAGCACTTTGTGCATGTGGCAACCCGTTTTGTCTCATATTTTGAAGCTCTCGGATGAGTGTGTTAACCGAGAATTATGGAGCAAAGTGGAGATGCAACATCATCATCATCCACAATCCAGTTCCATGGACAACACATCGTAGGTTCTATTGGTGTAGTCATTTCCTTAGAGTTGCCTGTCATTTATGTAAGTTAGTTGGGTCTGTTTATCCCCATGTCCTGTTAATTCAATTTAAGGACCGTAATCACTCTGTATATTGAATGACTTCACTCTGTTCCATCTATCCACTTCCCCATGGCACCCTCTCGTATCCTCGAAGATCATAGTCGGGCCGGCCCGTTCGTTCTCCATGTTGATACGAAGTACTGGGGGATAATTAGTTGATCCAAGAATATCCGTACCTAGAGTCTGGTGATGATTCTCTAAACTATAGAGCGGGTAGTGAAGCTGACATATATAGGGTTGTAATCACAAGACATAAATCTATAGTCTCGTGCCCCGGTTTATGACAGTGCTCACTAGCATCCCTAGAACGGATCCGGCTGTCTATCTTGCCCAGCTCAGATACATAAGGGTGTAATACACACGATTGAATCTCTATATATAGCATTATCCTCTACCCATCACATTTTATTATGCCATCACATTTTATTATGATACTCACAATGTAGTGGACATTGAATCAAATGCTGAAAGCTAGCAAGTCTGAAACACTTCAAACCGTCTAGCAAAGGAAGAGATGGGTTTAAGATAGACATTTCCGATTGCCTACATTATTAAAGTAAGGTATTTCTTATCCATGACACAACCTAGAAAGACACAACTATTCAATTTTGGCCTCTGTAAAGGAAAAAGTCTCAATAATCGGTGACTACGGAAGCAAGATAGAACAACAACCTATGCATCTTACTGCCAAAAGAATCTAGCACTGTATCGCCAAAAATAGCCAGCTAACTGGATCTCCAAGCACCTAAGATCAAGCACATCCCATTACGCAATATATGAGTAGATCCCAACGAGACAAATCTCACAAGCCACACCGTTCACCCTTTTTGGCTCTCCAGCTGTTCAGCTCTCAGATGACCTGGATTTCTCCTGACGGAAGACTCAATAGCGCTGTCCAACCGACTCAAACATCTACCAAGTCTAAGTATGATAAAAGAGAGACACGACAAGAAAAAGAACGAGACCCCAGCTCTCCCCGAGACAAAAGCCAACAACAACTTCAGGTCCCCATCAGCCCTGACCTCCCATTTATCGATCGATAAGATGATAGACTGCCTCGTCATGTGTGTATCAAGTTTCACTCGGATTCGAGATGACCAGCGAGACAAACATGTCTTGATTCACTGACGACACCAATAAAGCTAAAAGGTAAGTTACTCTCAGTTGAACACGTTCTGTTTCTGTTGGGAGAACCCGTTCGTTCACCGAAGAGGCCGATTATCTGACTGGGGCGTTTAGAGGTCCCCGAAACAGACTCGGATGCTAGTTGAGGAGCGACCATTGATGAAGTGTCAATATCTCAGACTAGATAGTCAGCTAGTTACTCAGACCTGCTCTTTAGGTCAGCAAGTCTTGAATAGTTAGCAAAGACACACACACGCTCCCCGAGACTAAATCCAATCAATCAATAGCCATCACTAACTAACCAACATCTCTCCTCTCCCCACTCCACACTCCACAGGCCCGAATCTCGAAATCCACCTATCTCTAAACCTCTATCCTCTATCCACAGAACAATACACTACGCACAACAACCAAGCACTCCATAGTTACCAAAAAAACAAAGGAATCCAGCCAAGACGCGAAGGATGCCCCAATCCAAAAATCCCATCGCAAAACCACTTCCCTAAACGGACCTCCTCCGCCGGATTCAGAACTAGCATGTCCAGCTAGCGTAGCCTTGCTCAACTTAACTTAGGTTACTCCGTAGCACCGTCCTCCGTACATTTGCCGAGTTGATTCCGTAGATCTGGAATACGGAGTCTTGTCTTATTCTCTTGTCTCGGAAGATAAGATTGCGCGAGTCTATGGCTCTACGTCGGTGGATGGGTAGCTTATGCGGATAGCTTAGTTATACGAAGTAGTAGTAGTGAGATATGTCAGATTTGAATTGCTTATTTGCTGTCAATGAGTTTTAGGGATTTATTGCTTCACCGTACAGTACATTGTACATTGTACATACATACAGTACTGCAGAGCACTGAACACCCAGACTGGAAGTCACTAGCAGTAACTTAGCAGCTAGAGAAAGAGCAGAACAAACAAGTCACCTGAGAACAAACCAAGAAAAAAAAAAAAAAAAAGGAAGATCTCCAATCAAAACCCCCCCAATAGATCGGAGACAGGAGCCAGAAACCCATCCGAAGGACGTGCACCCGGGGGGGCCAGAAGTCAAAGACATCGTCAATCGGGAAGTATTGGGTAAAGCGTGACTTGGCGGAAGTGGAGACCGGAGACTACTGAGGCTCCGAGGGGTCGGGACTGATTGATTGACATTCTCCATTTTTTTTCTTTTTCAGTTTCATTGTTATGTGGTCTGTTGGTCTGTGGAAATCATTTACACCGTAGAGAGCTCCTAGTCCGGTCCGGTACGGGGGATATACATTCCAGTGTCCAGTTGTCCAGACTCTAGACAGCGAAAGATGGACCATGGCACAAAAGGGGGGTTGATCGCGGTAATGGCTGGTACGAACTAGTGGGAAATAGGTTTAGAACGGTAAGATCCGCCCCCGACTCCGACTCCGTAGGAAAATCGCAGAAAACAACAAGTGAGAAAAAGGCAATTAATGCGGTCTGGTGAAAAGTTTAAAAAAACTAAGGTGTGGAACTTGCGGACTGCCACCGCCAGGCAAGGCCGTGCTTTTTTTTTTTTTTTTTTTTTCTGTTTGGGTATGGAGTATGGGCTCTGGACAATGGAGTCCCCTAACTAGAGATCGCCGCCTCTATTTTTGTAGAGTTGATGCTGTCCCAAAGTTTACTTGGGTTTTGGTTATTGGGATCGGCCGCGCCTCGATCGAAATAGAGTCGAGTCGGAGGTAGAAAATCTAGATGGGGGAAAGTTGCAAGAAGACACCCAGGCCAAAGAACAAAGATA